AAATATTATAGACATCGTGAGACTATGCCTTTTTCCGGTTTGATCGTTATAAATGGTAGGCTCTGCCTTCTTTACGATCAAATAAAAAGCTATGTCTTTTCCGGATAGATCGTTATATATGGTAGGCTATGCCTCCTTTACGATCAAATAAATGGCTATGCTTTTTCCGGATCGATCGTCATATGGTAGTTTTACCTTCCAAACGATTAAATAAAAATTTATATTTTTCCGGATTGATCGATATATATGGTAGGCTCTGCCTCCTTCTCTACGATCAAATAAAAGCTATGCTTATTGAATTCTTAATGGAAGGCGATGCCTCCTGAATTCTTGTATGAAAAGGCTATAGTCCATAAATTATTAATTTTGTGCAATTATGTGTTTAGTTATTTTTATTTATTTTATTCGTAAAGAATAAATATATGTGTTATATGAGATTTAAAGACTTTGAAATATGTCTTTAAAATCAAAAATATATTTCTCTTATGAGAATATATAAAGCACGTGTCAAAATATTTTTAGACAGTGCAAAATAATTGGAAGGTCTATATGAGCTAGTCTCTTGACTTCCAAATGCATCAGATTCATAATAATCGATGCTTCGTGTTCTCCAAAGTCTCAAAGAAACTCGTGTAGTTTCCAAAATATTTTTCTTTATAATTATTATATTGAGACTATAAATAAATGTGGTATTGAATGTCCGACCACAATGGAGACATGCAAATGTATGATTATATCATGCAAAAATAAAGATGGCATAATATTTATGATAGTAAACAGAGGTTTGCTAATTGCTATAGCCTAGTATAACCGGTCAAGCCATCCCGGTATAATAATGAAATATACATAAAAATCCTAAAAGAATTTAAAGTTCTTCAGCCATTAGACTCAAAGTCTAATGAAATATTGCGGTCAAATTACGGTGATCACTTTACGGATTAAAATAATCCAGACGCATGTGATATAATCGCTTAAGCGATTATTTGTTAAAGAAAGGGTATATTTGTTAATAACGATATATGCCCTTTGCGTCTTTCTTAAGATATCTCTATCGAGATTTGTGATCATTGATGTATATGTTGATGACCTAAACATAATTGGAACTTAAAAAGAGTGATTAAATATCACTTAAATTTTATGTAAAGTAAGAGAAGCCTATTCAAGCACTGCATGCTTCCGTCCATATTTCTGAGGTAACATTTAATTTCTATTGAATTTATTTATGTTCATTTAAATTTATTTAAATTTTATATTATATATGAAATCGAAGGTTGTATACCTTCTCTTTAATTCTGTAGTAGGCTATGCCTCCAGAAACATATAATTTTTGGCCAAATCACCATTTTTTTATTTGATAAGCTCATCGTATATGCTGGTTGATTTCCTCAATAATCCCCAAATTAAGCCCCGAATATAACCGATCTAAAAATACGATTCGGTCCAAGATAAATAGGCTTGAAAAGCCATCATCTTGGGAGGGCTTATTACAAGTCCCACATTTTTATAAGGATCTAAGATTAAATACATGATCCAGATTGGATATGTTATTGATCCTAAAGTGGGATTCAGTTCGAGATGAATGAACTCGAAGAGTTATCATCTCGAGGGGGAGAATTAAAGGAATCCCACATCGACAATAAGTCGATGAATTTTTGTGAGTTTGACACCCCAGAGCGAGATAACTCTGGTGAAGTCATATGCTAAAATTTATCACTTTGTGATAAAGTGCAACATCTAAAATGATGTTCACTCTCAAAAAAAAGCTTTAAGCGAATCGTTCATAATGCAAATCCAAAAGAGATTGCAAAACGATTCAAGGTGATTTAATCTCCATGTTTTTACATGGAGCATGCAATTTTGCATGTATTAATGATTATATACAAGGCCAATGATTTATAAGAAATATTTCTCCCATGTTTTATATACATGATTGGAGATCAAATATTTCTTATTTTTAAATTTTATGGGTGTGAGATATATGTTATAAATGCTCTTCTGCACCGCATAAAAATATCATCCAAAAAAAGGATGAAATATATAGATGCAGGAGATGAGTCTCTGCTCTACAAATACTGAGCCATCTTATGAGAGATGTGCCTATTGCAAGATTTGCATATCATCATGTTGATGATAAAATTCTCCATCATTTTGGGAGAATCATTGAATAGTTTGGATTTTTGAACAAATGACTATAATAAATATGAACTTAAGAGTTCAAAAGTTCAAATAGATCACTATTCATAAAAAATTGCAAATCAAATACAAAAAGCTGATGGATGAGATTTCATGAAATTATTGATCCTCGTATAAATGCATATGAACTTAAAGTTCATAGAAAATCTCTTGTCCCAGCTAAAAAAAAAAAAAGCTCTACAAAAATATGTCTCTGGCGGATGACATATTATTGTCTATAACACGATAAAAACGTGATAGACAACTTTGGTTCCAAATATAACGAAAATCCTCGGAAAAAAAGGGAGCATATTAATACTAAAAAGAGGATTAAACTCTTAAAAGAGGAGCATATAAACTTCTAAAGAGGAGCATAGAGACTCCTCAAGAGAAGCAAAGAGACTCCTAAAGAGGAGTAAAAAGACCGATTGGCATGGTTGAAAACGAAATCAGGTACCTAAATAAAATCATTTATAATGATTAAGAAATCTCGATTAACCATGTCATTACGGCAAATATGGAACCAAAGACAACATGATGTCGACAATAAAAATGATCTAGCGCACAAATGTGATTAATGAGGATCATAAATCTCCGCTCTGTGAGCGTAAAGAGATAAATATTGGCCAATAAACAAAGAGGCAGCCAAGTCTATATTAATCTCGTATAAGAAACGAGTAAATCTTGGACACATGGTTCAAGCATCGAAAGAGTATTATGATACTTAAGACAAGACGGTGTGTCGCACCGGATTTTGTCAAAATCACTCGATATTAAGTTGATGAATAAATGACTTGAATTGCGCCTCATGGGATGTCTGTAGGACTAATCCCTGAAAGATATATGATATCATAGTTATAATCCCGGGAAGTTATAAGTATGATGATTTTGAACATCATCGAAACTTTTTAAGAGTTATTTGGAATAAAAGATCTTGGAAAGACAAAAGTGTCTCCAGATATTCCAACTAAACATCCAAAGAAAGAGATGTTATATTAGTCACTTCTAAAGGAAGTCGACTCTATATATTTGATCATGAAGCACTATATATAAATGCTGACGAGTATTTATATATTTTGTAAATTGTAGCTAGCATATATAAATGCTGACGAGCATTTATATATCTAGTGAATATATTGTACCTAGCATTTGCTACTGATCTACTTGCAGGATTAATTCATTTCCTCCGACTAGACTTTGAATGAGTTCAAATGTGTCTTCCATATATGCAAGGTACGATTGACTTGGGTTTATTTTATTTTAGAAACCCCGAGTTTGGTTTAGTTGGTTTTGCAGATGGATGATCTATATAAATATATATCGCAAAACAACAACTACGTGGCGTTTCCAAATTTTGGTCGCCGCTTGCTCAAGCCATGCCAAAATTATTGCGCTCCATGAAGAACGTCGAAAATCGGTATGACTCAGATTGATAGACTCAAAATATACAAGAAGCAAGCAATATAGGCACCAGTGAAGAGCCAACAACAAGATGTTGTTACATATGTTTTCCAACACAAAGGAAGCTATGTCAAGAGCAAGAGAGAAGACATATTTTTTCAAGATTCTTCTCATGCACTCAAGAATCTGAAAAGAAGCAAGAAGTTGATGTTCAGTAATGTAGCAGTTTCAGTTCAAAGGCGCTTCCTGCTGCAACATTAAGAAAGCATCTTCACAGATCGAAATGCATCTTTTTAAGATGATGCTTCCAGGGGGAGACATATGATGGTGAGCGTGGCTACACTCTTTTTCCCTTATCATGGTTTTTATCCCACTGGGTTTTTCCATGACAAGGTTTTTAACGAGGCAGCAAATAACACGCAAAAGATAGACATTAAAGTGAAGGTCTATCTTTCTGCCAAAATCTTTGTCATATATTGACGAGATCCGAAGAAGCGCAGAAAATGATCGAATCATCTACGAAACTTATGAAGAAAACAAGGTTCGTCTTTTCCAGGGGGAGATTGTGTTACTGTACTCTTTTTCTTTATCATGGTTTTTATCCTATACGGTTTTTCCATGATAAAGTTTTTAACGAGGCAGTACGCAATACGTTGATGATGATAGATAATCAAGGGGGAGTGTTATAAATGGATTATTGTCCATTTGTAGATAATGATGATTATCTATCATTTATCTTTTAGTATTTACTTCACTCCTAAGTATCTTATCTTTACCTTGATCTTTATCTCTTTATTTTAGCTTGATCCCCAAGTAATTCACCACTATAAATAAGAAGAATGTGCTAGTGGTGAACCATAAGAGATCGTGAGTAATAATAAGAAGAAGAGATGTATGTTATATTGTTTTTGTTCTCTCTCACTTCTCCTTCACGTCTCTCTTCCTTTTATTATACATAAATATTAAGATACATACATATATATACGTTATATTTTATAACATATTTTTATTTTTTCCGATCAACGTTTGAAATTTTTTAAAGAAAATGAGCACATTCAATTTAATTTAAACAAATTAAGAACAAATGGACCGAAATAAGAGATGGGCTTTTAACAAAGACGATCCTCTTCACTGAGCCCGTGTCTCAAGAGGATAATACATATAACAACAAAGCAAAACGGCACGCCGTTTAAGTTGTAACCAAGGATTGCATGTCGTTCTTGTTTCAACAACCGAAACTTCATGAAATGCCAAGAAAAATCTGGTGACTTCACCAAGTGATCATTGTGTATGTGTCTAAAGACTCTAGATAACAAGCGAAGGTCTTAGAAAAAGCGCAACTCCTTTTCTATTCAAGAAACTCCAAGAACGTTCTCTCTTCATCATTTAGTTCCCTATAAATATGAACCAATTACTCATCTCAGAAATCAGATCAAATCAGCAAGAAAATCAAGAACCAAAAAGTCACTAGAAAAGCAACAAACAATGTCTCTAATTCCAAGCATTTTTGGAGGACGTAGATCAAACGTCTTCGATCCTTTCTCGCAAGATGTATGGGATCCATTCGAAGGATTCTTCACCCCATCTTCTGCATTAGCAAACGCTTCAACCGCTCGTGATGTGGCAGCGTTTACAAACGCAAGAGTGGACTGGAAGGAAACGTCGGAAGCACATGTGTTCAAAGCGGATTTGCCAGGGCTGAAGAAGGAAGAAGTGAAAGTTGAGGTTGAAGACAAGAACGTTCTGCAGATTAGCGGAGAGAGGAGCAAGGAGAACGAAGAGAAGAACGATAAGTGGCACCGTGTGGAGAGGGCTAGTGGGAAGTTTATGAGGAGGTTTAGGCTGCCGGAGAATGCAAAGATGGAGGAAGTGAAGGCAACTATGGAGAATGGTGTGCTTACGGTTGTGATTCCGAAAGCGCCAGAGAAGAAGCCTCAAGTCAAGTCGATTGATATCTCGGCTAATTGAATATGAAGATTGAAAATGAAGATTTGGTGTGTGAAATAAAAAGCTTGTGTGCTTAAGTTTGTGTTTTTTTGTTGGGTTTGTTGTGTTGTGAAATTGTCGCTTTCTTTCTAAAATCATATGAATGTAAGATCTCATTATAATGAATAAACGAATGTTTCTATAATCCATCGTGAATGTTATGTTGGATCTCTATAACGGCTATGCTTTGGAATACGATTAAAGATAAGATGGGCTCATAAAGTAAAAAGAGGTAAGGGACCTATAAATCTTCCATGGGCCTATTATCATCATCTTATATATTTCATGATCTATTTTTTGGGATAAAGCTTTAGACAAAGTACGCGTAATAACCGCAACACAAATGATTTAAAACATGGCACATAATGAGGAGATTGAATTTTGTTTACGTTTTTATTTAGTACTACTAATTGTAACGTGAGACTGTGTATCGGGAATCGCCTAATTAAAGCATTAATGAGTACATGTTTAGATTCGTCGACCCTCCAATCGTTGTCAACCTTTCTGTTTGTTATAAATTTATGGTAATGTCAGCTTCGTATTTATTCGATAAGCAATTTGCATTTGAAATTTGTACTTCGTATTTCTATTGTATTCAAATGGACTTGGAGTTATATACCACAAAAAAAATTACAGTTAGTCAAAAGAATTAAAATTAGACAAGAGAGTGAGAGCTACTTATGATTGTCTTTGACTTATATGTCTATTTGCTCAATCTTCAAGCGTCGGATAAAAATCTTTGTACTTTCCTTTGTCGTTGATAAATCACAAAGTTCCAAAAATAATCGAATGATTTGATAAAAAAGACGAGAAGAATTCAAATAATTCAACATATCTGTACACAAGTAACTGAAAAAGAGATTCGATACATCAATCACTATGGTTAAACTATAACCACACAAACTAAAAGAAAATAAAAAAACTAATATCACCAATAATAAGCAAAATATCACGAGATTCTCATTCAATGACTACGTCCGCCGCGAGATTTACCCGTAGCCGACGAACCCGTTCCGGATCCGGATCCGGATCCAGATCCACCAGTTGTCGAAACACTCCCTGAGCCTCTAGACCCAAAGTACAGATCCGAGAGGTAATTTCCTATATCTTCAGGGGTATATCTGCCACCAGACTCCTTATCTCCAGCCAAACCGAACCGGTTCATCCGGTAAAACTCGGTACAAACCAGCATAAGTTTCTGACTCAACGAGATTTTAATCTGGTCCCTAAGTTTCGGGTCGGGTATAACCCACGAAGTCTGTCTCCGGTACGACGTCTCAAACTCATCGTTGAATCTCCCGACCAAATCCTTAGCTTCCTCCGGCGAAATCTCCTCCGTCGGAATCTCCGGTAATAAATCCAGCACTCTCCCCCACGCAAGCTTCTCAAACTTATCAGCGTACAGCTTCACCTTCTCTTCGTGCCTATACACCCAATCGTCGCCGAGAAGAAGCTTCAAATTCGACGATCGGACTTTAACGACGACGTATTGGAGATTGTTGGCGAGGAAGAGATAAGACAAAGCAACGTCTTTATACGGCTGAGCTTTGCCGTCGATTTTACAAAGCGTGAGTAAAATCACCCAAGCGATACGTACAGAGACCGGAGATGAATACAAATCCTCCGGATTCGCTTCATCGCCGCCGCTGATGTATAAAGAATCCGGTAACGGAGTCGGCACACTTAGCTTCCAGTTTTCGAATATCGCAGCGATGGATTCACTGTAATCGGCGAGGAATGAGAGGTAATTCATAACGTAACGAGTCAGAGGATGAACACCACCGCCGATGATCGGAGTTTTCGAAGTTTCTTTCTGAATCGCCGATTCGAAATCCGTCATCATCAACCTCGTCGCATCGCCGAGTCTAGCTAACGAGTTAATCACCTGAGATCTAACCGCAGCTGCTGATTCAAAGTAGAAAATCGATTCAATCTCCACGTAGAGATTCGCAAGAGCTTCATACATATCAAGAAACCGAAACATTTTCTCTGGAGTTAGTTTCTTGATCTTCGCAGCATATTCCGGGAAAGTGAAGAGAATCAAAGCTCCTTCTTGAGTAATCTCAGTGAAAGAAGATTCAACAATTAAACCAGAGGAAGAAAAAACATGATCAGCTAAAATCCTCTCACCGAAGAACAAAGATCTAACAGCTAATTTCACAGCTTTTAACCATGTTTTGATCTTCGAATCAAGAATCTCCCAATCCATTTTCTGAATCTGATGAAGATTGAATCTCTCCATTCTCAGATTATGCAGAGTCTCATCAACAATCGATTTCCGTACGGTTTTATAAACCCTAACGCATTCTTTTGCGTAACCGGTCGAAATCATGCAATCAGCAATCATCTTCAGATCATCCATAGCGTCGGAATCTCCACCGGAGAATCTATGCTCTTCGTCGGCGTTTTCTTCGTAACTGATTTCGTCTTCTGAATCGGAAACACTAGTCGTAGTCGAAGTACTGAATCTTGAAGATCTGTAAGAACGTACAGAGACACATTCCGGATCTAAATACTCACGATTCGCTTTCAAGACACGATGAAACTCTGATTCAAGAAGCCTCATCGCCGATTGCATAAGATTCTGCGCGTAGATTAGCTTCTCCGAAGACGGATTAACGGAAACCAAACGATGCATGGTGCTCTGTAAATGTCTAACGGCTGTAACAAACTCCTCTGCTTCACGACGACTGTTGGTGGAGAAGAGGAACTCGTCGGAGGAAGAAGCAGCCGGAGAAGTCCATTTTGATATGACGGCGTTGATGTTGCTCATACATTCTTGAACAGCTGATTCCGCGAGAGAGAGATGACCTGTTGGTTTCTCCGGCGGTGGAGATGATCGGAATAAGTGCTTCCCCATTTTTGTGGTTTGCTCTGTTTTTTAATTGGTAACCTCTCTTTATATGTGTGTGAAGAAGGTACTCTGTTTTTTTTTTGGTTACTCTTTTAACAAAAATAAAACTTATGGTTTGTTGTTTGTTTGTTGTTTGTAAATCAAAGTGAAGTAGATAAGATGAGGAAGGTGGAGGAATGAGCTATATATATATATATTATAGAAACGACGGCTTTTTCAATGAAATATACGTATATGTGTATATGTGTATATGTGAGTGTACGTATAGATATGTGGAGGAGAATGGTTGATTAGTCAAACGCGGTGTCAATTAAGACAAGACATTGGGGGAAATAGATTAGTTTTAGTCAATTTTGACGAACTTTTTTTACATTTATTGCTGCTTTCATCTGCAGCTGTGAATTTTGCATAGTAACCGTTTTCGAAATGAAATGCTATTAAATTCACCAACCAAAAATATCGCAAAAGGTAATTATTGCATAGAATTTTTTAGGATTCGTAAGAATAATAATGTTAAAAAGACTTTATATCCTAAAGCTGTCAATCTTAAATGCCACGAAATTGACAAACTATTAGTATAATGTTAGAGATTAGCTGAAAATCTTTGGCTTTGATTGGGTTAAGTACGTCATCTATGATTCTTGATCAAACAAAGACTATAAAAATATAACATGGCGTGATATGAATCATATCATATGATCTGAAATTCTTGGAAACTCTCGTGCACAAATCATAAGGACAGCAAAATTATGTATGATATGAATTAAGAATGATGATATCAATGTTTTTTTATTTAAAAAGTTTATGTTTTAGTCCTAGAGTTTGGTTTTGTCTGTTATATGTAAACAGCTTGTTCTTTTCTGTATGGTATTAATATTTTTAGCGGATGTAATGGAAAAAAAACAATATTATTTGATTATAGAATGCAACTGTTAATTAGCTTTTTAACGATACAACTGTTAGTTAGCTTTTCTACTAGATTGGTATTTTTGGAAGAGAGGAAGGTTCCTTGCCTTATAAGTTGAAAATTGCGTCCTGCCGCCACATAAATGAAATCCACAGTCTTTTAACAGATGTTCAAAGATCCTAAATTGCCATAATACGACTACTAATTCAGAGTTTTTCTCCATCTCTTAATTATGGAGGAGAAGAGAACACAACACAAAATTTTCCATCTTAAACTATCTTCAATATAATATACAGTTTCATTCGTGTCAACTGTCAAGAATAAACCTAAAAATCAAATATTAAATCAATTACAAGACTCTTGTTTCAGATTTTAATGTTATGTATGGTTACTTGGTTAGATATGTTCCCAATCAGTCTTTTATTGTGAAATTAAAACTATCCATAAATATACACAGAAAAACGTTAAACTATATCTTACAATTCATACTCAAAAGCATACAAATTTAACATTTAATATATGATAAAAAAGTATGATCGGATTAGTCGGACTCGGATCTAATTAAGTGATTTCATAAAATGATATAAAATTACAGTAATCTACCGACCACACTTTTAACTAAAAAGATAATTCAACCGACAATCGAACGAAACGGCAGTTACCAAAATTCAACGTGAGGGAAGGTAGCAATGGTAGTATATAATTATGTGTTCGTAGAATATTTGTGTTATTTTATAGTCGTTGGTAGTTTGGTACTGAAATTAGTTAGCTAACGGAAAATTGCAACAAATCTTTTTATAATGTCGTGGTAAAGTAACATAATTCTAAAACGGGAAAAAGACAGTGAAAAGGAGAGAATCTAAAGATGGATTCACCATGAGTAACACGTGAGTCGAGTGGAAAGTTGCCGACTAGGATAAAGCTTAAAGTCACCACTCATGCAATTCAAAAAATACGTATATGGTCCTCATTCTCCATGGCCCCTAGGGGTTTCGACTAGACAGGAGCCGACCCACTTGTTCTCTTTTTAGAGCAGTACTTAGTTTTTGTTTTCTTTTTGTTTGGTCCGAGTAATCATATAAAATTAAGAATTTGACCTTACTAAGTTTGACCGCTTTATTTACGGGTCTATCCAAATAACCTGTTGATAATAAAATTATGGATGGATAGGATAGTCCATCAAAGACTACTTTGTTAATAGTCCCATGACTGTTTTTTTGTTTTGTTGGGAAGAGATCATTAGTTCATTTACAAGTTATAACGTTAGCAAAAAATAGTTGATATCATACATAATCGGTATTATATGTGAGATGTTGGCTCTCCTCTATGAACTGAGAGTGTATTGTTGTAATAGTTTGATCTTGTACGGTTATATATACCAATTGAAAAACTGAGAGAGTAATTTGATTAATTAATTTTAGGGTCTAACTTAAATTGGGTTTGAACTGAATTTGGCAGCATAATCCGATTGGTTATGAGTTAGTTTAGGTGGTTTAAAGCGGCATTGTAACTCAGAGACAATATGCCGGCCAAACTTCCGAGTTTAAGAATACTACACAACCATATTCCACTGAATTCGTCATACGCATTACGTCTATTGTGTTGCGTGAGATTTTCTCATTACGGTCTAGAAAGGTCGATCACGCATTCTATGGGTATAAAATCCATTCCAAACCATGTGTTTCATTGTCATCTTTCCAAAAAAAACCATCCATTGTACATATCATACTTAGATTGATTCTTGGCATGCATCATTTTGCGTATATTTCATTCAAAAACCTAAGTTTAGTGTTTTTCTATACATGATTTTGAAGATTAATTTCTCACGTTCATGACAATATATACAATGTAACTAAGGAAACTACCGTGTATGTGTATAGATTAGTTTAGTTACATAGTCATACTAATTTATTCATCAGTTTTGAAATTATATACATAGTTACATACTACGTTTACAAAAAAAAAAAAGAAAAAAAAAAAAAAAAAAAAAAAAACATAGGTACATACTACATGACACATGAATTTTCATCGCGACTATGCACACATCACACATGTGTGTATGAATAAGAACTACGTAAATAGCCATGTAGGTATTTAATTATATTACGTAGCTTATGTAGGTAACACCTTCCTTATATACGCACCGGTTTGACTTTGAATTAGCAATTATGAGTTGAACGAAACTTGGTCACGCAAAATATTTGCTTATATGAGCTTTCTTCTGATCTGAAGACCAAAATATATTTTTTGTATATATTTAACGAATCTGTGATGACGATATTAATTGTTTTTGAATATTTATTTTAGTCCAAGGTGTGAATTTTGGACCTTTCGTTTTGACGTCGTCTTATAGTTACGAATTTATAACTTCCTTAAGAAAACGTCTTCTTTTAGTGTTTTTGGTTCATCTTCGGTTATGATCAAATAAGTAAACTTACAAAAAACGAGGGAGGAACCAAATAGCAATAGATTTAAAATCTAATTTTCTAAATTTATACACACAATTTGATTAATATTTTCAGTTTCTGCAGAAAGTTACAATATTTTTATATGCAGTAGTTAATCATCTACCATTTCAATGATTACCCTTAACAACCAAATTCTTATCTTTTGAAACTTAAAGAAATTGTCTTTAGGGTTATCTCTTCGTTTGAAGTATTCAAGTATGTGTAGAAAACTAAGAATAGGTCCACTAAAATATAAAAGACTGATACCGTCACCAATAAAAAAATGTAAGAGAAGACCTTATTATAATGTTTATAAGATCAGTTTCTTTTCTCTCTTTCTTCTTTGAACTATTCTTCTGATGATGACCAGGTACATTTTGTTACTGCTAGAATTTAATATTTAGAATTTAAAATTTCTTGAAGAATATTAAAAGGGAATTTTGCCAAATGTACCACATTTTGGGAAAATCCTAGCAAATGTACCACATTTGAAATGGATTTAGCATCCATACCACATTTGGTGTTTGTGTGGCAACTCTTGGACGATTTTGCCCTTCTCTGTGCGTCAGGTATGTGTCAGGGGAAGGAGCTACAGTAGACGCCGGTTGGGAAACGGGGACAACTTTGTGTCAGAGAAGGACAACTTTGTCTGAAAGACAACTTTGTGTCAGAGAAGAAGGACAAAACATTGCATTAAATGCAGTTTACATTTACCATGGACAATAATTATGAAATAGAGTGAATGATGTCCCCCAAGAATAAGTCTAGATCTCTTGATTGTCCATCGCCAGATGATGTGGTTTTACCAGCCAGAGATCTGGATTTACTCGGGGACAACTTCTCTTGATTGTCCATCGCCAGATGATGTGGTTTTACCAGCCAGAGATCTGAATTTACTTGGAGACAACTTGATCTTTATTTTATTCCGCCAAAGAGCCGAAGACGAAGATCTGGATTTACTCGGGGACAACTTTGTTTTACCAGAGGGACGAAAACGGTTACCAATGCGTTAGGAGAGAGACTGTGGACGGCAGAAAATTCGGAGACTACGAAGATCTGGATTTATTCGGGGACAACTTTGTTTTACCAACCAGAGGGACGAAAACGGTTACCAATGCGCCAGGAGAGAGAAAAAGGACGGCAGACTGTAGCTCCTTCCCCTGACACATTCCTGACGCAGCCAGAAGGGTAGTTTCGTCTTTCCAGATGACGAATGTGGTATGGATGCTAAGTGAACTCAGAAAGTGGTACTGGGCCTCCACTTTTTTGAGGCTAATTTTCCCATATTAAAATGCTAGAAATACAAAATAGGTAAATTTTAAAGTAAACACAAAAAGTGATTAAAAAGGGAAAGTCTTGCTGTTGGGAGTCAATCGGATTATCTCAAAGGCTACGTCAGAAATTCTAACCAACTACAACCACTTTTTAATCTTTCAGTTATGGTATCTAAAAATTGCACCAATTCAAAAAGAAAACTTGTATATAAAACAAAAGATTAACTCAAGTCTTTTATTTTTACATAAATTTAGGCTGTGGATCAGTTTTTGGTTCATTTAAATTTGGATTCAGTTTTCTTTTTTTTTTAAGATAATCAAATCTACACGAGATTCAACAAAATTTCAAAAAGATGAAACAAATACAAAGAGTCTATATGAATGCTAATTTCAGTTACCTAACGGCTAGTTCTGTTTTGTTCTGTGGAGGGTTATATCAAGAGCAAAAACCTCTAAATGGTGTTAAACATTCCTTCTTAAGAGCTCTCAGCCTTTTCGTACTGCGGAAGTTCTTGAGGCGGTGGTTGCGTTTGTGATTTTTTCTTGTTGTTCAGTAAGTTTTTCGCGTATAAAGATCCGAAAACGATGACCTGATCGAGCGAATTCGGTTAGTCAAAGAATCAAAAGTATAACATAAAGTTCCAAAAAATGTAAAAGGATCGAAAATATACCGATCCGATACATTGCTCCCAGCTAAGAGGATGAGAAAACCAAATGCATGAGAGCATGATGCTTGCAAGCTTTATTAAGACAGATTAGTCGGATTATAAACGGATCGTGTTGTCAGTTATTAGGACAGATTAGTCGGATTGAGATCGAGTTTGCTTTTTACCTGTCTGGTCGTCATGATTGCAGCAAATGTTAGAGCACCAAATGTCCTAATTGTGTAAGAAATGAAGAACTGGCTTGCTGTTGCAACCTGCACATTATCAGTCTCTGGTAAGTTCAGTGGTAAACAAAGAGACAAGAGAGGAAGATTGTATCATGAAACGTCATCAAAGACTTTTGTTTCGATTATAGAATCATGGATTTGTTTCATGAATTATACATGCCTCTTGTGACCTATTAGACTACAAAAATGCAACCAGCTAATTTGGAGAAAAAACAAACATGGTAATGTAATGATAAAGTAGAAGGATAGAGGAAACTTAAACTTACCGTAGAAAGCAGAGCGATGTCGAGTAAACAATCCCTATGCAGAGAAACAAAATCTATAGCTGGTAGTAAATGCCCTTGCAATATAAGTCCTACATCAACGATAAGATTTACAGAATGGTAAGGATAGAGAATAATTGATCACATTGTGATCTTCTTTTTACGAGTTTAAGCACTGAGGTTTAAGGGTTTTATGCAGAAGAGATGAATTCTGACTATGAGAAACACACTCAGAAACAGAGAAAGCTTAAAAAAAGTTGCGACTAATACCATGTTGATATCACTAACATAAAACCACACTTTGGCCTAATAATCATCAGCTGAAGATTGACTCAGTTGTCATTGCAGAGGTCTAACAGTCATAATAAATTGAGCTCAGATATTTAACTAAAACAAAACAAACAAAGAGAAAAAAAGAAGAGAAAAAGATGCGATTCTTATATTAAAGATTCCAGAAACAAGTAAGACTCTCACCTGTAAAACTCAAAACACAAGAACAAAGTGTTGTGTAGAATATTTGGTTATGTATCTCCATATTGTATCCTTTAAAGAGCTTGTCTTGGAATGTGCTTGTAAAGCCGTCAAACCTGTTAGTGAGCCAATTACCAAATACACAATCAAGAATCCTAGTTTTAAAACCAGACAACAAAATCTCAGTATAATCGCATAAACAATGAAACGAGTAAAACGGATACACATACCCCAGGTAACCAGCCATAAGGGAAACACCCCAAACAGTATTTTCCCTACCCTTATTGTACGGACTAACATCATCTCCTGCCTACAGCTCAGATTTACACATAAACAAACATGATGTTCATGGTAAATGTGATAGTCTAAGTAACCGAAACCTTAATGAGTATAGAGAGGTTTATACCGGAAAAAGAATAAAGACAGAGCAGCCAAGGGTCACCAGAAAAGCCACTAAATAGTCAAATCCCTTATACTTTTTCTGCATAATGAGCGTTCCCCACACCTACACAGAGAACAGCTATAAGAATGGTGGATGCTAAACTCAAACACATGAGTTTCCATCTCTTACCAAACAAAAAGAATGTTACAACTTACCATTACTGGTATCATTTTAGCACATTTTGCAAGAGTTTGAACTGGAAAGCTAACATACTTGAGAGCCTGGAGGCGGCATTACAGATTAGTAAAACCAATAATTATAAAAAGTAGACATACAAAGTTGATACATTTAAGATAAAAATCCAACCTCATATTGGCATGTTGTGGTTAAGATGTTAGTCACTGATATAAGACAATATTTATAAACCGGAGCTACAGGATCCAAAACTTTCTTGCTTGCCTACAAATCAAAACCCCAAAATAAGGGTTCTTTAAAACTTTGACAAATAAGTATGAATACAAACACAAAGTTGGGGTTTTTTTTGCTAGTTTACCAATAAAGCACCAGCAGAGACAGCTGATGTAGTGAGCCGATTGCAGAAAACCAGAAACAAAGAGTGTTTAAAATACTCTTTGTTCACTCCATAAGGAACTCTCATTATCTTCTCCTACAAAATCACAAACACAAAAAGAAAAAAGAAAATTTCTAATCATACAAAGAGAAGAAAGGGAAGACATTTCACAGAGAAGACAAGACAGACCTGAAGAACACCGTAGATTACAAGAGTAGACATAATGCCGGAAACTGCGAATACTCCTTTCCATAATTTGTTCTCTTTCACTCCTCCGTTTACTGATTCCGGCTCAGCCATGGACCATCCACCTCTGAACACAAAACCCACCATAAATTAACCAATCTAATCACACAATAGAAGCTCTGATTCGTAATGTAAGCGTGCGAAATCACAGTGACTAGTGACTGTAACACACCTTTGAGCTCAGAGATTTCAAGCTAGACGACGGATTGGTAAGAATACAACGGCTGATCCGGTGAGATCGGAGAGAAATCGTCTCTGACTATCACTCTCTCTTCTTCTGTAAAGAGATTAGAAACCACAATAAATTCTCCGGCGACTTCACCGTCTCGATCCGATTTGCTCCTCCACCGTTCTCTTTCTCTCTTTCTTTTTTCCTTTATTTCCGCCCTTTTTAAAGTTCTGTTCGTTGATGTTTTCTAAGTATCCGCCACGTCAGCAACAAGACAAAGGTCAAAACCTTCCACACAAGCCAGAGGGTTTCCGTTTATGTTAAATAGTTTTTCTTCACGATCAACATGTGGCCCCAAAGAAACACCACTTAAGTTAGTACGATGACGAAAGATGAAGATAAATCATAAATCTTAAACTGGTGGTCGTGATTTTTTTCTTCCAACCTTAAAAATATGTCTGAAATTTTTAAATTTTTCAGATTTGGGTTTTGTCTTGATAACAACTCCAAGGAGACGAGAAGCAGCGAATCGTACGAGAAGAGATAGATATATGTTTCATTACGTAAATGATGGATTCTGCTTTATATCATCATCCTCGAGTCTTTTTCGCTCACAGCTTCATCAATGGCTTGTATAGGTCTCCTAGGTTTGCTAATACTTGCTGGAGATTGGTTAGTCGTTCACGTTGGGTAATCAAGGCTAATGGGAATAGTGATCGCAACGTGTTCGACGAAAGTCCTGTGAGGAAAACCGATGAGTCGTTGTTTGATTCTGCTTCGTTTGAGACTGTTGACGCGGAAATCACGCCTGACTGATGATTTCTTTGTGAGTGACGCAGAGGGTGATCCAGATTGTCCTTCTCAAGGTTATTCCTCTGTTGAATATGCTCTTCAAGCCTTACGCAAAGGAAAGGTTTGTTCTTTGGGATTTTATGAAGATCGTTGATTCTGTTCTGTTATTTTCAGTTGTATAGATTCGGTCTTACTAAAAAATTTCACTTATGTATCAGTTTGTGATCGTTGTTGACGATGAAAATGGGGATGTTGAAGGGAATCTGATCATGGCGGCAACTCTAACGAGTCCAAAAGACATAGCCTTTCTGATTAAGAATGGTTCTGGGATTGTCTCAGTTGGGATGAAGAAAGAAGACCTTGAAAGATTAAGCCTTACACTCATGTCACCTGAAATGGAAGACGAAGACTCCTCTGCTCCAACATTCACGATCACCGTGGTAACGAGATTAGCAGGAACATATATAATTCTTAAGATGGTTCATTGCTTCTGAGTTCTGATAAATTTCTTGGTGACAGGATGCAAAATCCGGAACATCAACTGGAGTATCAGCTTCAGACAGGGCGATGACGGTTCTTGCACTTTCGTCTCTGGAAGCTAAACCAGATGATTTCAGGAGGCCTGGTCATGTATTCCCTCTCAAGTACAGAGATGGTGGAGTGTTGAGAAGAGCCGGTCACACTGAAGCTTCAGTGGATCTAATGATATTGGCTGGTTTACGTCCTGTCTCTGTTCTTTCAGCTATTCTTGATCAAGAAGATGGGTCAATGGCTTCACTACCATATATGAAAAAGCTTGCTACGGAACACGATATTCCCATTGTATCGTTGACGGATCTAATCAGGTTAGAGAAGAAGAAGACCATGTATTGATAAGATAAAAAACTCTGGATACAAGTAATATTCTGAAGTTTGATATGCTTGTAGATATCGAAGAAAGCGAGACAAGCTTGTGGAGAGAATCACAGTGTCTCGTTTGCCTACCAAATGGGGTCTTTTCCAAGCTTATTGTTATCGATCTAAACTCGATGGAACAGAAAATATCGCCCTCGTGAAGGTATAAATCAAGCACCACTTGCTTCTAAAACTTGATCAATTTACATTTGTCATCTCAGAACAACCAAATGGATAACCGGACTACTGGATATTCGATTTTAAGACCAGTCTTGTGTTTGTTTCTGTCTGAATCGTGAGCAGGGAAACGTCGGAAATGGTGAGGACATTCTGGTACGAGTGCATTCAGAGTGCTTAACAGGAGACATTTTTGGCTCAGCACGGTGTGACTGTGGAAACCAATTGGATCTAGCCATGGAGCTAATCGAGAAAGAGGGAAGAGGAGTCGTTGTGTATCTTCGTGGCCACGAAGGAAGAGGCATTGGCCTTGGTCACAAGCTTAGAGCTTATAACTTGCAGGACGAAGGACACGACACTGTTCAGGCCAATGTTGAACTTGGCCTATCCATTGATTCTCGTGAATACGGTATCGGTGCTCAGGTCAGTTATTATATCGGTTGGGATTACATATTAACCCCTTTCTACGAATACATGTCGATTAACTCATAGCCATGATTGATATACAAGTGTTGTGAAATCTCATATTTATTTGTTTTTGGATGGTTCAATGTAGATGCTACGAGACATAGGAGTGAGAACAATGAGACTGATGACGAATAACCCCGCAAAGTTCACCGGTCTGAAAGGGTACGGACTCGCTGTAGTTGGCCGTGTACCGGTGGTGACACCAATCACCAAGGAGAACAGAAGATATATGGAGACCAAACGCAAGAAGATGGGTCACATTTATATCTCTGATAACAACGATCAGCCTTTGGCTTGACCCAAAAGCTTTTGATAGAAACGAACACTTTTGAATTTTGTATTTATAAATTGATTCATTCTTATGTAATCATCAACCATAAATTACTTTTTTCTGGAACAAGATTTGACATAATAATCGAATTATAGTTTTATATAGAAGGGACAAATATAATCACCCAACTTACAAAACTGCTTTTAGAAATTAGAATCTTGTAAAATGATCGATTCGCTACTCTAATCTCTGCCTCTTTCCGGTTAACATTGATTGATCGATAACCACACTCGAACCGAACCCAAAACTATTAACCGAACCAGAACACGTCAGAGAATCACATTTACTATCAACCTCGGACCCTCTAAACGAGAGAGAAGGTAACTCAAAACGCTGCGTTTGAGGCGGTGGGTTAATCCATTTTGGTAGCGGTCCAGCCAAAAGAAGCGTTTGAAGAAGCGGTCCAGCTTCAACCACCGCTTTCAAAAGCTTTCCCGTTTCTGGAAAAGCTTTCCCCATCACAAGAACATCTAGAGGATCAAGCTGATGATGATTATGAGCCGTTGGATCTTCAAGATTCATCAACGGCTGAGGATTGACGTTGAGGAAGCTGGAGAGTTCTGAGGAAGAAGAAGAAGATACATCTTGAGAGAAGCTGTTTGATTCAGTGGTGCTTCTTGAATTAGGGTTTTGGAATATGAATTGGGATAATTGTTGTCTAGCTTCGTCTCGTTCTTTCTGAGTGAATTTGAGGAGGTTTAGAAGTTGGTTCACTTCTTCTCTGTGTGTCTTTGATTTCTCATTAGCTTCCATTTTCAGTGTCTCTAGTTCGAACAGAGTGCTCTGTAGATTCTGCCTCATCTCATCAATGCTCTGCATTTCAAAAATATATTAAGAATTCGTATGAGTATATTAAAATATGATGATGATGATGATGATGATACCTCTTGATGAAGCCAGTTAGAAGAATATAAGACATCCATTGGTCAGTGTCTGTGTTTTGTTATACTCTGTTTCAAGACTAAGAATGATCCTTTATAGTGGTTGCTTGGAACCTATATATAGTATATAGTATATGCATATACATAAATGTAATCAATGTAAAATATCAGTGATTTGTTTGATTTTTGGAAGTTATTTTTAAAATATCAACAAAAAAGAGAAAACAAAAATCAGTTATTTTTCAATGGTCCTTTGAAAAGTCGTTAGCCCATGTGACAAAGAGAAGGAAATAAAAATGTAAAGTGGATTATTGAACTTTGATTTAGTTAAACAAAAAAACTTTGATTTAATTATATTAAGAAACTTTGCCGACAAAAAAAAAGTAAGAAACACTAATTGTTTTTGCATATTTAAAATTTCTCGACACTATATTTAACTTTTATTTTTATTCATAAATGCCATATACTATTTTACGCAGGACTATTTTTTAATAATTGTTGTTGTCGAGTTTTTACCATATACATAGTACTAAGATTCTAAGAGTACTTGTCTTTTCTTTAGTCATTAAATTTTTGTCAACATTATAATATTTCTAACAGTCATTATTACTCTCTTGGTTCCTTAATTCAAATTCTAGAAAGAAAAAAATTGTTGCAAGAAAATACAAATATTAGGCTTTTATACATTTTAATTTAGTTATAAATAATAAAATGTAAGATTGAAAAATAATTATTGAATTCTATTGGTTTAAAATTGTGAAAATTATTAATCACAAAAAATGATACGTTTATAATCAATTTTTATATAGTTTCTGAGATTGGTAAATAATTGTTATAATAGTTTCGTTAAAATTAACGATGCATCAAATCAGCTTAGGAAAAAAAAATATTCCATCAATAATGCATAGTCACAGACTCACAGTATGCTTCCATTATCATTATCATTATCTTTTTCATCAATAATGCATAGTAAATAAAATTTTATAATGATAATGGAAGTATCACTGTGAGTCTGTGACTATGGAGGGAAAAAGTGGAGTCTTCGTTTAGTAGACGTCAAAAGGAGTCTTTTTTTATTCAAACTATATAATAAATTAATAAAATTCCAAATTTCTTTCGTGAAACGACTAAACAAGATTAAAAGCTTCAAACTAATCATAAGGCTTAGAAATTGTAAATCACAATTAAGAGAACAAGATTTGAGAAATTGCCTTTGATAATAATATATTGAATTGACTTATTTACACATTCCCAAACAAATAGTATTTTCATTTAGTTACCCAATAATTGCAGCGGATTCTCGTGAACAAACTTACAAAAAGATAGGTAAATTCAGACAAGTCCAATTTAGGTCGCAGTATATTTTGGTAATATATGTATTTTTGTTTGTATGTAACTTAAATTAATACTTGTACTAGATTGGTTTGTGGACTGCCCAAGAAATATATTTAAAATCTTAATGTAGCATAATTTGTTTTTTCCTACGATACTTATTATTTAGGAGATAATATCTTTATTTCTTATATCAGCTAGTTTTAATTTAGATCGTATACTCTATTTCATTTTCGTGCAAATATTCTTTACGCACATAATACTCAAAACCACTATTATACAAAACATTTTATCGAGCTTCGTGGTATGACTTTCAATGTTAATTTTAAGAAGAAAAAATTATATATTACACCACTTCAAATATTATATATAATTCTTACTTAAACGGCTCACGGCGCAAATTTGCTTTATGACTTATAACTCATATTTTCTTATACACTCTATAAAATAATCTATTTATTACTTAGCTTAATATTGCCTCTTATGAGTTCATGCAAAATTTATGATATATTCCTAGAGAGCAAACTTTAGTGGTATACTATATATAGAAAGAAAATTGAACCATTTGCAGTTTTGCACAACGTATACACTAGCTAGCTAGTATTCCACAAATAAAAAGACTTGAGAAAACCTGCAATGAACTTAATCAAAAAAAAAGATTTTTTTTCCTAAAAATATTCTTATACAAATTTTACAGAAGTGAATAAAACACATACCATAAAATGACAAACAGAAGAGTCCTTAAGACTTGTAAATCCTAATCTATATACAAAACCCAACAAATTAACTATATTAGTCTTCATTTTACAATTGTTTGTGAGCTATCAGCTATACTGATGCATTAACAATAAATTTTAGTTGGCCTATCAAACTTATGGAACTCGTGATTTGGCATTTTCTTGGACGGCACATAGCAACAAGTACAAGTCATGTATAGACAACACTCGTCTTTCATGACTTAGACCTTAAATTGAAAATTATTACACGTGTCTTCACTTGTGATGATTCGTCTAAAAAGTCGAATTGATTCGTCTAAATGCTTTGACAATCAAATCGAATCAATTTGAATATATCTTCAAATGTTTTGTCATAAATATACTTTTCTCGACCATCGTAACGATCAATCGGTTCCATTTTTAGAATGGTCATGGTCCAAAACAGTTGGCACAATTTGCTTTCTGTTTCAACCATCTTTTTGCTGTCGGATGGTTCAGTCTCTAACCACATTTGATTGACTATTAGAACGGTTCCATCTACCGAAACTATGTTCCATACATAAATTTTGTTATTTTTAATCCATACATAATTTTATTTCTCTTGATTTAGTATTTGCAAAAACGTTGCTTGATATGATCTTTTGGTTTGACCATTAGATTCTTGACAAAACTTTACTGCTTTTGTTAGTGTTGCTGATTGTCACTAGATCACTGATCAAAACCATTTACAAAGTAATTAATTATAAATTTTGTAAGAGAATTATAATGACAAGTTTCGTTATTTTCATGGCTGGTTCCGGCCAATAAATAAGAGAACTTTTTAACAACTCCATCAGAATTAAAGTCGGTCCAAGGGTTTGTTTGAATACTTTTTGTATTTCTCTAAAATTTCTCTATTGATAGAGCAATTTTTGGGTATTAATTGCGAACACATACCTTGAGGTGCACGAGTAGTTGACTGGTACTTAAAAGCTGCAGCAGAGGAAAGCATTTTTGTTTCATTAATTGGGTCGTCGTCCAAAAACCAAAATAATTAACTAGTTTGACTCAAGACAAAACTTTATCTGGTTTTAATCGAGTCTAGTAGGTGAATAGGTATGGGTTAACTCATTATAATTAGGCCAATTAAACTTTGTTCTTGAAACTAAGAAGCTTTGTGCCATTTTTTCAGTTAATATGGTTGTTTAGACCAGAATATTGTGAGTCAACTGTGTGAAAGTTGGTTTGAAACTCTGTATTTGGATTTCTGTTGGTGATTCACTTTGTTCTTCCTCTCTGGGTAACCTCAAATGATACTTGAAGCCCGGTAAATCATACAGATTAAATATTTGAAAGATCTAATAGTATTTTGGGAACAAGTTAGTGCACAGAATCAAAGATGAGAGATACATTTGTAAGATTGAATGGGCTTCACACTCTCTTTCTCTTGCCGTGAAGCTTCTCCGATTTTCCAAGCTTAGACTTTCTTTGTTTGAAAAGCTGGAGATAAAGCTTCAACCAAAGGAATGGGTACACCAAGAGGACGGCCTGGAATAAAATTGACATGGAAAGATCAAAATGATTATTGGAAAATGCTAATGATGATATCTAAAGAAGAAATCATGGTTTATTAGTTAATCTGAGACCATAAGAATATAGACGTTTTTCTGAAACAGAATCCAAAACACGCTGCTTAAAACATAACGTGCACAACTTCATTAAGATTCATATCCTTAACCGATACTTAAGCCAAAAGGGTTTTGTTGGAGGTGAAAAAGAAGAAGGAAGCAATGAACATACCCAAAGGAAATCGTAGTAACTGAAAGGGAAAACAGAGAAGAATTTCGCGTAAAGATTGGTTTCTTTAACAAATGGAAGTGCTTTGTACATGATCAACACTGCAAAAACATGGTCAATATCAACAAGAAGAAATGAAAAGAAGAATTCTAGCTCCAGAGCAAATGAGTAATACATATACACTTTAAAGTACTCACATTCACCCACTAGTCCCGTTGGATAGATGATGATGAATCCCGTGTACCTGGATAGTACAACATATTATGCAAACGTTCAACTCAGAATAAATTCTGTGATGTTTCAGTTCAAAACAATAGATAAAGTATGATGCAATACCTGAGATAGGTTAGCCAATAGGGACAACTACCGAGGCAAGTAAAAGCATAGTGAGGATATCTGATCATCTACATCCAAATACATCACTCAGCTAACACATTTAGTTGTATATAACATCATTAACCACCTAGACAGTAATCCATTCTGCTATTAAATATTTCTCTCGATCTATTCTAAACACTGCTAATATATGTTCAAAGGTCTCGCAGACATTCTATCAGACCAGAACATTGAGATAACTAACATGTTTCTATTCAATTGTCACAAACTTGTCATTGGTATTTCTCTGTCTTATTGTTGTAAAGATCGATAGACATGTGAAGATCAAACTCACCTCGCCTATACACCAAGCCACAAGTGTTATAGACAGCCACGGCGAATCCTGGACCTAAAAACATGAATGTAAAAACAGAATCACATAGCTAGGCTTTTCTGAAAACTGTTTTGCTTACGAGTAACACGATCTAAAGAGTAAAAACCACACAAACCTCTTTGATCTGTCCAACAATAGCCAATATGAAATGGGTTCTTCCACTCCATTGCATCAGTGGAGACAAGAATCCACTGGGGACAATTCCTTAAAATTTCACAGAGGATTAATCAATCAGTGTTTCAATTCATAATTCATATAAAAAGGTACAAAACATCGAATACATTCCGATATTACCTATAGCTCCATGAAGAACCTCAAGAAGAGCAGCAGTTTGAAACACACCTGAACAAATCATAACAACAGAGATCATTTTCAGAACTCATCAATCAAACTTTGGAGTAGACTTTTAGCCAAAAGCTTGAGATAAAGTCGATAAAAGTACAAAAAAACACGAAATGTCTACTCACTAATCAAGTATCCAGCAGAAGCGTACGCAACATTGATCGTCTTGTTCGATAAAAAGCTGTTAAGTATACTCAGAAGCGAAATCGTCCTGCCGAGAACAAGACAAATCTGATGAAACTAAACGAAGAAAATGGCAAGAGAGTGACAATGAGGGAGACATGAAGGAGAGAAACCGAGTGAGATACCACGCAGAAGCTTGGAGAAAATTGTAAGTGAAGAGATAAAACTTCACGAACGGCGACATCTCCGATTAAGAAATCTGGATCTGGGCTGATCGACGGCGGCTCCAGTAGTGGTTGGCAGTGTCGTGGGAGGGGGGTCAGCTGAACCCCATAACATTTATAATATTTTTTTATAAGGTAAGTTTTCTAATGATTTCTAGATATTTTGATTTAGAGTTTCTAACTTTCTATAATGATCCCTATGCCATGCAATGGATTTCTTGATTTGATCCCATACATCTTTATTATTTTATTTACCATTAACTCTCTTTCCATTTTTGTTTTTTTTGTTTCCTTAGAAATAGCTTTTTTTGATCAAAATCCTTAGATTCGAGTGACGGCGGATTTAAGATTCGAGTGACGTCACTACTTTGTGTGGCCATGAGTCACTCGTACAGTAGTAACTGTTAAGTTCTATGGGCTTTCAACTCAAAACCAATTGGCAATGAGTGGAGTGGCCCATATCCCTTTATATATTACTTAGGATCCCTTCCAACTTCCGATGTGGGACATTATGTCCTAATACGCCCCCTCGAGATGATGGCTCTTTGGCCATTAATCTCGGAATATTCGGGCTTAGATCGACGGCATCAATTTTGGGCCTTGTCGATGATTGGACCATCTTTGGGTCGGATCGGGTTGGACATGTGTGGATCGGGCTCTGATACCATGTTAAGTTCTATGGGCTTCCAACTCAAAACCAATTGGCAATGAGTGGAGTGGCCCATATCCCTTTATATATTACTTAGGATCCCTTCCAACTTCCGATGTGGGACATTATGTCCTAATAGTAACTACATCTGGTTAGGCGAATTAAATAATTTTTATTATTACTCAAAGCCAACTATTAAAATCTATGACAAATTTTTATATTTTATATTATTATTCTTTACAATTACAGTAATTTAGTTTAATAGAATAAAAAATGTTCAAAATCAATTATGCGTTTCAAACATTAAATTTTGACAAACTTAAGATTTTACACTATACTGAATACTAATTAATAATTTTGGACTTAACAAACGTAAAATTTCTCTATAGTATCCTTTCCAAACATTCGTATTACAAGATTCCAAAATATATAACAAAAGTCACCATACTTCTAATGATCAGAATCATCAGATATTAACTACAGAACAGCCCAAATACATAAAGAAACAAAAGATAGTCCAATGGAAGCCCAAGAAGAAGATAAACTCAAAGGGACGCACGATAGTGATAAACCCAAAAAAAAACTACGGCCCAAATCAATAAAAAAACTAGTTAAGCATAAGAGATTAAAGAGTCGATAAAAACACACTTAAATAGGTTTCACATACATTCCAATTCGGTTAAAGGAGTTTGCTCGATTGGCCGTAAAAACCCACGATTTTGTGATCTTTTTTTTTCAAACACGCATGATACATCCTTATATGTTGCTGGATGGCATCCCAAAATCTGTTCTCTACCGGTGTTGGTCTTGAACTGCAAATATCCGACTGCGTAATTTGCATGTAGATGCTTTGTGCAAAACGCTATCACCTTGATAATTTATTCATCTTGTCCAAGTTAAAACTACGAAAAAAACAACAATTAAATAACCCGAAGTTTCATAAGAACATAACAAAATGAAAAAAAAAAATTAATTTGCTAATTTGTTAATAACACCTAAGTGAAGTCAAAGAAACTTATCTAGCATAACTCCCCTATATGATATTTTCATCGTGAGAACCGGCCCTGAAATTTTGGGGACCCAAGCAAAATTTTGGAGTTTTTAAATAGTTTCTAGATAAATTTTAAAATTTTATAAAATTGGAGGCTTTTTTGCAATATGATAGAAATTTGGAGGCCTATTTAATATATAAAAAAATAAATTTTTTGGGGGCCTAAGCCCATGTTTTATCTTGGGTTCAGGGACGGCCATGCGTGAGATAGTAGAAACTAGAAATAAAAACAAAAGTCTAGTAAACAAAGAGAAACACAAGAAAAAAAATGAACTAAATTAATGAAATATACATTTTTGTGTTGTTCGTCCATGGCCGACTCCCGTGAGAGTGTATTATAGCTCCATCAAGAATACTCAAGTTGTAAGTAACTAATCCTTTTATGGTCTATGCCGACGCTAATTGCCTTGACCTTGTCAAAGGCTCCATCATCCCAAGCAAAATCAGTATCTTCTTCGAATTCTTGGATCGGACCTCCTTTAAAAACAGATTTTCTGATTCGAAAATCAGTGGTTCGGATATACGCTTCAATGGCGTTGGGCACATCCGTACACCGACCATGGAAGTCGATAACTTTTCTCCATCTTTCATCAACTTAAACTTTTTAGATCCTCCCAATGGACCACAAAACGAAAACATCTGACTTCTCTCATATAGTGTTTGAAACCTAAGTTTAAACAAGCGATGTGTTTTCATTCCGACAATGGTACACAGACTGAAACTTCCGAAAATATATGTGATATATTCATCCAGATAATCAAGAACCAAAGCCGACTATGGAAAAAAAAAATATTACTTTCTCTTTTTTTACTATTTAATTTTCAGCATAATATTATTGATATTGGTTAAATATATTATTTTAAATAATAAATTATGTTTTAATGTAGAAAAAACAAACAGTTTATACAATCTAAATAAGTACACCGACCATGGAAGCCAGCAAACTTTCTCCATCTCCACCAAACACAAAACAATCATATCCCCACACTACATCACGTACAACAAATGTACAACAAATGTTTGTTTCGACTATGGTATCCGGACTAAAATATCTGGAAATGGATGAAATGTATTCATCTGGATAATCAATAATCAAAGGTGACTGAAAAAAAAAACAAAAAAATACTATTAAACTGAACAAAACATAAGAAAAAGTATGAATATATAGAAAATATACATTTTTAAAACTTCCGTAGTTGGGAGGCATGGAAGTTATCATCCATGTTGTCGTTCCACGATAAACTCCGTTTTTTAAATATTTAAATTTAAAGTTGAAAACTCTGGTGGCATCTACTGTGACGATGATTTTAGTAATTCCATCGTAGAGACTATCGTCAAACTTTACTCCTATACCACCATAAGGACCACATTTTTTTTGACAACATTGCTAATTTTGAAAGATTCAAATAATGGTGTAAGAAATTTATTAGAACAAGTGGTGTATATATAAAAACAGAAACGGAATTTAAAGTGTATATGCATCATGAAAAAAAAAAATACCCATTATAATGTTTACAAAATGTTTTTCTTATATCTTTTGTTGAAAAATATGTAAATTATAATTTTCGTCTATGGTTGGCTTTAGTACAATTTAAAATTTTAAAAATGGTTAATTAATAAATTTGGTGTATTTGTTATTATAATCAGCAGTTGAATTGGGTTAAAGTTTTTGGACCAATGATAAAAATGGTTAATTACGAAATTTAGTGTGTATTTTTATAATGGGTTTGTTACAATATCGAATGTATTATTCGATGAATCTGATAAAGTAACTACAACAAATATATAGATGTTTATGTAAGAAATTAAAAATACTTCTTTTGTTGATTTGAGCTGATTATCAATTAGGCTCCCTTATACATTTTTTAATTGATAAATAGTTTCTCGCTTACTTTAAGCAGCCATCCTTTTCTTCTTTTTGTTTTTGTTTTTTTCATCGAAATTTTAAACAATTTTGAAAAGAAAGATTTGAAGTTGTAGTAGTGGTTCATATAATAAAGAAATAAAAAAGATATCTTACCATAAAGACTAAAGAGTGGGAACTGATCTTTTTATCATGGATTCATTTCTTAAACAGAAAAAATCATACTCGATTTGATCAATTAGATGATAAAGTAGAAGAATACATTCTTGTTTCACAAAGTTGGCTTAAGCTTTACAAGTCAAACCTATTCTCTTGATTATTTAGCAAATGAATATGCCTTGTTCGTTTTCAAAAAAAAAAAAAAAAAAAAAAGAATATGCCTTGTTCACTCATGTATGTTGCTACTTGCTTATTCCATTTTTCTTCCTTCCCTCTTCATGGGTTTAATAATGAATACTCCAAGACTTTTTTCATCCATGACTTTCTGATGGATCAACATTAATTTCTAACTAATAATGATTTCTTACAAAAACTTTACAGAAACTTCAAAAGTCTATTAATTTTGGAAATAGAGTTCTGGCTTGTATTACACATCTTTTCACTCGCTCTACAAACTAACATATTTGAAGGAAACAAAGGCATAGGATGATGATGACTACATATGAGATTAGTACAGTGGATATCTTTTTTTCTGATGTAAGTCATGGAAAACTACTATAGTCGTTTGATAACATATATATGCTGCACATATAAACATTCCAAATGAATAAAATCCTAGACTTATAAAGACGACCACGATGATCTACCATGTTCAAAACTTAGAGGAAATTGATCAATAGCAAAAGAAGACATCTTACTTTCATCTGCATCCATGTTCCATATAGATTCCAAGGAACTTTCCCATGTTGGAGAAGCCAGAGGAGGGAAATTCAAGTAACAGCTTTGCTCTGAGTAGTAGATATCTTTTACCGGTTTAATAACGTTTGCTCCAGACTGATCAATCTCTCTCCATATGTCATCCATCGAGTAATATCCGTCTTCGCATTCTTGATTCATTTTCCCATTGGAGCCGCCAGTGTCTTGAGTAGTAGTAGTGGTCATAGATGATGAGCAGCAGTTTGAAGATGAGGAAGTTGGAGACATAGGTCGCTTCTTCTCTTGAGCCTTCTTCCTCATATGAGTCCTCCAGTAATTCTTTATCTCGTTATCCGTTCTTCCCGGTAATTTACGGGCGATTTTTGACCATCTGCATATGAAAATATCCAAAAGTTCATACAACAAACAAAAAAAGAAAGTGGATTCAAAACGTTTTTAGGGTTTCTCTGTTTCGTGAAAAATTTCTGACCTGTTTCCCCATTTGGCGTGAAGCTCAAGGACTAGACGCTCTTCTTGTGGAGTCATCTTACCACGTTTGAGACCAGGATGCAGGTAATTAACCCACCTTAACCTGCAACTCTTTCCTGTTCTGTTTAAACCTACAACCAAAACCAGGTCATTTCTTTAAATGGAAGGTCCTTTCCAAAGACCGCCCATTTTTCCAAAACAAACCTATACCTATTCTTATGTTTCTCCCTCCACCTTCAAACCTGAAACTTTCGCTACAAAATCCCATCTTCGATCTCCGAACAAGTGGACAAAGTTGACCAAGAGGATGTCCTCCTGTTCTGTCCACGGTCCTTTACGGTATTCTTCTTGCACAAGTTTCATCTCTTTCTCTTTCTCTAACTCTCTTTCTCTCTATGTCTTTCTCTCTGCAATAGAAAGGTTAGTTCTCAGCTGGTTTATGGGAACCTATAGCATTCCTCTTACCAATATTTATATAAGCCAACTTGAACACTGTGTTGTGTCTACGCGATATAACACTCACATTATTAAAATTCTCTAATGATTTTTTATTTTGTTTTCTAATCTTTACCGTCCATATGGGGAGAGATTATGCTGTTGATAATGTGGGGTCTATTGTTTTGTGATGCCATCAAGCCATTAGAGCATATAAAAAATATGGAAATGATCGTTAATAGGGCGTTTGATGTACACTGATGTAACACACCCATTAATTCTGCCTTTTCTTTGTCTTTTTGTGTTGCAATAAGAACACTTTCTTATATTTTTCTTTTGGCATGTCCCAATAGTTTCCTTTGCACTATCTCTCGTGTCAGTAAAATATCAACAGCATCCCAATATCAAACCAGAAGAGAAAATAAGGTAAAACTATATATATAATCCTTAATTAGTATCCAAAATTGTAGTTTTCTTATATGATCTCATGGTTTTAACAATATGAAAGAAACATACATAAACGTGTGTGTGTGTGAGAGAAGCCTCTACTCTTTTGGTGAGTTTTTGGTTGCGGTGTGTCTCTTGACTTTATTAAAGGTTAATCTAAATATCACTGTAGAAGCTTATAAAGTTATAAAAGGCAAAGAAAGAAGGAAAAAAGGAGAAATTTTTTATAAAGCATATAGCAAAAGGGGTCGAATTGTTTTGGGTGTGTGATAAGTGGCTTTTTGTATCTAGTAACAGCACTTGAGATTGAAAGTTAGATACTTAGATATTATTTTTAAGATTTTGAATTCGTTTTAAACAATAAGTAAATTATTTATTTAGATGAGAAAGGCCAATTTGATATGGCTTGACTTTGGTTGTATTGCCTCTTGGTGCTCTGTTTTTATGAGAAAGTTTCCATCTTTTGGTCCATAATCTTTGAAGAACGATCAGCTGTTGATAATACTTGTTTTGAGATATAAGATAGAAATATATTTATTATCATATGGTTTACTGGAATTTCATTAACCTTACATTATATATTCTCACGTGTGTAGTTTATGTGGCTTACATCTTCAAGATGCATGAATTAAAGTAGGGTAAGAGAGTTCTGACTCTGTGTATGTACAAGTACCTGGTTTGCTGGTCCATAGAAGCAAAGAATAAAACATTTCTTCTTTTCTCTGTATATATCTCTAATTGGCAAAGAGTTCCCAAGATTCTTCAAATTGTTTTGTTCTGTGGAAAACTCTGAAAATGACCTACATGAATCTGAGAGAATTATTCTTGGATTGATGGATGTTGCAAAGTCTTTATGTTGAAGCAAAAATATACCGAAACCCTTAAAAATATTCTAGTTTCAGTATATTTATTTAGTGCATTTGGAAAATAACTCAATGTGGACCCATCGGTCCAACCGTATTGAAGTTGCGGTCTGATCCTATTCTTAAGGCTTTGAAAAAATCAGTCCTGATTTTAAACCGATTCTGCCACAGCATGGCCAGGCCGGGCTAGTCATATCCATCACAGTTGTCGAATCTTTTGGATGGTTAACGGTGGACTAGCCAAAAAAAAACAGACTTAACCGGGACGGGGACTAACTTAAACCGGCCTATACCAGACCAAGGTCATAACAATTTAAAGTTACATATAAATGCAAACTCAAATTTTTTAATTTAAATCGTATGTCTTTTACAGCTTTTCTCATGTTTCACTACTACATTCTGAGCTAGTCGGTTCAGAGTCTAGATAATCAAAATTGAAACATTCATATACGGATTTGATTCAATAATTGCATCTACTCTACATGGGCGACGAACCTTTCACTAGTCTTAACATTGAATAAGAGATTTTGGTTATCCAAAACAAACAAAAAAAAGTTTTTCTACTATGGTTTTAATTTGTTTGTTGTTTTTTCTCCTTTAAGGTCATCAGGATTATGTGGTTGTGGTTGTAATGCTTTAAATATCATAGTTGTAATAGATTCGGGGTTCTGATTTTTTTGCCTTTTGCTTTCAGACTCTCAAATTGCCCATTGTCCAATAGCTATTATAAAATTCTACATACCACAATCCGAAAGCTACTGCATATTTGTCATATTGATCTCAGCCATCGATTAATTAGTAGTTGGATATGATCACTTAAATTAAGCGGTAAATAATGAGTGTCAATTAGATTAATACATTTGGAAAAATATGATTAGTAGATGATTCAAGCAAAAAGATTAAATATTATTCTTTTTGTTAGTTGGGTTTGGTCATCATATCCATTGTTCCTAAAATAGTTAAAACATAATTGGTTGTTCAGAGACCGCTTAGCGCCTAAACGTCTAGACGCTTATTAGCTTTAGGATTTTTTTTTTTCAGTTTCAACATATTTAATTGAAAAAAATTGTATTAAGAAAATATTTTAAATGAATGTCTAGAAGACATAATTTTGTTTTTGACTTTTTCGTTAACCGGCAATTTCTAATAGATTTGGTTAAAATTATACTTTGATGAGCGTCTATGCGGCCGATTTTATAACATTTGTCATATCTAATCTTCATTAATGGAGTATATATTCTCATGAGAGTTTCAGTTGTGTAAAATTTGTTAATTTTCAAAGGTGTCTTTGTAATGGAGGACCCAAAATTCTGAAGAGATTAGAGTGAAGTAAGCAGACAGATATGAGACTGTGTAACGTGGACGCCACCACTTCCTTTATGGCCACTCCACTAAGTAAGATTTGTTCTCCTTCAATTCCTATGGCTCGTGATTTGCGAAGGCACACTCACTTAACGATTTAAGATAAGACCCCTTTGGTCCCACTTACCTTTGTTTTTCTTCTTACATCATAACTTCAGTATCCTATGATCTGTACTTAGTTTCAATATGGTTTGATTGCATTCCATTTGTCTCCACTCTCAATGTAAACATTGGCCATGCATATCTACATGCACTAGGCCCTATATATCTTTGATTTCAATTTGCTTTAAGTAATCTTTTTTTGATAGGAACTTTAAGTAATCTTCTCAAAGATGTTCTTTACATTGGCATAATTATAAAAAAAAAAGACATGTTAACCAAGTGGTTTTAGCCCTAGTGATTGATTCTAGCTAGTATGACTATACTTTGGTTAAGATTAGTCCATGGCTTAATCATACATGCGTACAAGTAGTGTTATGTCAAAGGTTCATGGTTTGCAACTCAGGTTTTACTTCTCATCAGTTCTCACCATGCACTCGTGCCGTGCGTACGTAACCGATAGATCATCATGAGCCATAGCTCATACTAACCTCCAAAACCGGTGGAGTACTGAATATTCTTGTCATTTTAAAACGTTCACAATGACCTTTGATTGAATTGCATTGGAATGACTCAAACCCTGAGTCCCTGACCTCGTAACTTCACGATGATTAGTTTTTCAACCATGGAACCATATTTATATTTTTTACGTATGACTTCTGTACAGATGAGATGAGGAGAAGCCTACTTGTTAAGAGCATCGAAGACTCTGGATATTCTCCTGAGTCTTCGATGTTAACGTTATGCACGCCATTAATTATGATCCATCTATGGGAATATTAATTATTACATCAACTATAAAATAATATTGCTATTACTTTAGGAAAATCAAATACAAAATTACTCAGTTGTTTTTTGGTTAGTTAAAGAGATAAGATTATTTATTTCTCTATAGCGACATCTTGAAACCTTGCCACCGCTATTATCAATTATGAGACTAATATAAGATTTATTTATGATTTTATCTTTTTTTTTTTTTGAATTAACTCCACTTTCACCATGAATAAATCCACCCCACACATATCAAATTATATCTTAGATAAATATCGCATTGTTTTAAATTAATATTTATCATTGGAAATGTTGTTCTCGGTTGAACCGGTCAATCCAATATGAATTTTATATAACCGATTTAAAGTAGGTCCTGACTTTTTAAATTTTAAAACCAAATTTTTTACCCGTTAACAACATATATAGTTTTCAAATTTATACTGATAGCATAATGACAGTACTAACAGAAACCACTAGATTACAATTTTTGATCAAAAACAATTTTAAATTTATGGTTTTTTAGATCAACATGGGGCTGATTTACACATCGTTGAGTCTCCGATAGACGGACCTAATGATTTTTTTTTTTTTGTTAATTAGAAGGACCTTATGATATTCCTTAAAATTGTAATGTAGACGGGATCACGCCATCGTCACTTGCCATATTAGTAATAAAAATTTATTTGTTTAATGGAATAATATAATGAATAAAAAGGTGGTGTCCAATTAATCCAGTCACTAGTTTTAGCTTTCGTGATCAGGTGGAGAGATAACGCTTTCATCAGCCTTATTCTTATACTTATACCGATCAATTAACAAAGACGCGTATAATAACGAATAATCAACTCTATGACAATTGACAAGTAGTCAAATAGTTTTTTATATGGGACGATTTGCGCAGAAGGAAAATTGGAGAGCATAATTAGCAAATCGACAAAAGGGGGTTTTGTCTGAGACGATGAAAAAAATAATGATCGAAATGCCCTTCGGTGGCCAACTAAATTACGGAAAACCAAAAGGGCTACGCACACCTGCGCGTGGGATGGAGATACTCTCTGGCTTGACTTTTTTGGCAAAAAAGCAAAAAGGAATGAGGTGACCGTTAGTTAATGCTCTGGTTACGAACTGGCTGACACGAACTGACCCTAACGCGGCGAGAAAAGGAATGAGAAGACAAGTATTAAATGCAACCTGACGTACAATATTCGAAAATCTTGCGTTTGAATCGATAACGCAAGTTGCTCGGCGGGAATTTAAAATTTTGAACACCTAACCTAACAGAGTAGAGACCCAATAAATAGGGAACCAGCCCTTCGTGAAAGCGACGAGCACCCAAAGTGAAAACAAATTTAGAGTCCAAAAAACAAACAGTTTCGTGTAACAACCCGGGTAGCGATTCACGAAGGTAAAACATTCTGATACTATTTTTCCACGTAAATATACTGCATGATCAAGAAGAAAAACTACATCTGAACTTTGTCTTCAATTTTATTTCGTAACAGGTGTCTAAATGGAGGTGACGGATGAACTAATCAGTGACATGGTTCGAGTTAAGGTTGGGAGTTGGACGAAAGACGATGTTGGGGTTTGGAGATTCTCTCCCGCGGAGGGACAAGTTGGAAAGAACATTCGGTTCCGAGAAGGCGATGGTGTGGAAGCAGCTAAGACGAAGGTCGTAGCCGAGTTTAACATCGACCGGCAGAGAGAGAAGGTGGAGCTGACTTACGAAATGCCTGAATGGATGGACGTCGACGGTGGTGTCAAACCTGTGCCGATTCACATAGTGTCAGACGACGACATGGACATGTTCCTGGCGATGCGTGTAGACTTACACGAAATGAAGCTGTATGTCGTTCGGATGCCGATGAATATGACGCTCGAGATAGATGGCTTCAAAATGGTACCTTTGATAGACGAGTTTGCGTTTAGTGAGGTCATGAGTAAGGAGGAGTTCGCTAAAGAAAACAGACGGAGGCTTGACAAAGAGGCCGGCGACAACATAATCTGCTCTCAAGTACCGAGGGAACACATAGGAGACAGCGGGGATGGACCCCTAGGGTGGATAGGGGGTTCTTACGCAGCAAGCGGATTTCCTACGCTTTCGGCAGCTTGTAGACATTACAAAGCGGCTTCCGAGGCGGTTCAGTATCATGGATCACCGGCCAGTGTTCTGGAACCTCAGGGAAGCTCATCCTCCGACGATAACCGTGTCACAAGATTGACAAGAGATTTGTTCTCGGATTTTGAAAGAGGTACAAAAAAGTAGATAGATATCCAAGATCCGGTATATAATAAAATAGATGTTTAACTATTACACTTTGTTTATGTAGCTGCGACTTCAAGCGGAGATGTACGCAGCCCATCGGAAACACAAGCCGCCGGAGAAGGACAGGGCGATGGAGCTGAGCTAAACAATGGTAATATTTAGTTAGTATAACATTCATTACATCATCAAATAAAGGATCAACTAATAATACAAACACATATCTAATAATACAAATACAAGACTAAAAATACAGATACATGTCTACAGGGAATGAGGTTATCCCTAACAGTAACACAGAGCAGCAGAATGAACCACCCGAAACTGGGATGTTAAGGTTGCTAAGCCTTCCTGTACACACTTTTGCGAGGGACGCAGCCCCCGTGTTAGACGAGAACGACCCAGATGGTAAGATATCTCAACAGTGGCCACGTGAACTTGTATCTTGAAATATATATAGATGGTCTATGTTTAATGTTGGCAACTTATATATTCATATGGTTTGTTATATTGTGAAATAGGTTCAGAAAGAACAAGACTTGTCGTGCTGGATGTTGACTACGAAGGGGACGAGTTATTCGTGGGACGCGTGTTCAAGAACAGAGATGACTGCAGAGTCAAACTCGCTGTCCATGCTATCAACCGGAAATTTAGTTATCGTAATGACCGCACCACCAACGACGTGGTGATTGTACGATGCTTATCCGATGCTTGCCCCTGGAGAGTGTATTGTGTGCGGCTGGAGGACACAGATTACTTTGAAGTCAGAACAGCTACATTGGAACATACCTGTCCAATCGAAGTTAGGAGCCAATACCCCCGGCAGGCAACTACTTCAGTGATTTCGCAAATAATGAAGTCAAAGTACACGGGCGCCGGGACGGGCCCGACACCGATAGCTATAAGGCAAGCTCTAATGGATGAATATAGTGTTAACGTGTCATACTGGAAGGCTTGGCGTTCAAGGGAGCTGGCAATGGACATGGCCAAAGGAACACCGATGGGGAGTTACGGCATTCTACCATCGTACCTACACATGTTAACAAGGGCAAACACTGGGACCGTTACTGACTTGCACACAGAAGAGGACGGAAACGGCGACAGTAGGTTCAAATACTGCTTTGTCGCTCTTGGGGCAAGTGTCCGAGGATGGAGATTCATGAGAGATGTTGTGATAATTGATGGAGCACACTTGAGGGGGAAGTACGCGGGTTGTCTGCTGACCGCAAGCGCGCAGGATGGGAACTTCCAGATATTCCCTATAGCGTTTGGGATAGTGGATGGAGAGAACGACAAGGCATGGGAATGGTTCTTCACTTGTCTGAAGCAGATAGTACCTGACGGCGAAAGTCTAACTTTTGTCTCGGACCGCCACTCGTCGATTTACACCGGACTCGGGAAGGTATGGGTAGCTATGTTAAATTATAAACCTCTACTTTTACAGCAGATCATTATTCAATTATTTAGTTTTATGTGAGACATTGTAGATATCTATTAACATCGCATTTTTGTAGGTGTACCCAAGAGCAAGCCACGGGGCTTGTATCGTACATCTGCAGAGGAATGTTGCTGCAAAGTTTAAGAAGAGGATACTTGCTACCCTCATTTCGAAAGCGGCAAGAGCATTCCGGAAATCAACATTCAACGAGTATTTTGAGGAAATAGAGAGGGTTTCACCTGGCTGCGCCGAGTATTTGATGTCAATTGGTCTTGAGCATTGGACTAGGTCACATTGCTATGGGGATAGATACAACATCATGACTTCTAACGTGGCTGAATCATTAAATGCAGTTTTAAAGGAAGCAAGAGAGCTACCTATCGTGTCTACGCTAGAGTACATTAGAGGGACTCTAATGACGTGGTTTGAGAAACGTCGGGGAAAAGCAGCGCAACACAAGATGGACCTGACCCCGAAGGTTGAGGAAATAGTGCAAAGGAACTACGAACGATCAACCTGCTATGAAGTAATCAAGATCAATAACGAGCATTACGAGATCAAGACAACAACTGGTCTATCTTATCTTGTGGATATCCAAAATAAGACTTGCACATGCGCAGAATTCAACTTGCTAAGGATCCCTTGCAGCCACGCAATTGCAGCAGCAGTTCGTTGTGATTTGAAGGTGCCTCTACTGGCGGCACCGCAATATGGGACATTCTTCTGGAGTCTTGCTTACAATGGAAATATCAATCCGGTACCCGACTTAAGCACGCTACGTGAGGTTCCAGATGGGATATCAACAAGGACGGTTCTACCGCCAATAACACGAAGGCCACCAGGTAGGCCAAAGCGTACTAGATACCTTTCAACTGGAGAATTTAAGGTATTAGTGTATGTATACTATTGTATAGATAGCTATGTGAAATTGTATCAGACTAACAGATGCATTAATTGCAGACGCCGAAGAAGAAGGCGAAGCGGAGCTGTACGCGCTGCCGTGGGACTGGCCATAACCGCGCGTCTTGCAAGATGCCTATATAGAATATGACGACTACTTTAGGTAAATATTTCTAAACATTCCTAATCATTGGTAAATGTACTTAAGTTTCAACATTGCCAAATTTAGACGTCTATTCTTTACTATTACAGCTGCATGTTTTGGATGTACAAAAGAAGCTTCTCGGGTGAAGGTTTGATGAGATCGGCGTAAGATGTGGCAACATTTTCAGTGTACTATAAGGATGCCACGGTTTAATTTGTGTGACGTGTTTGTTAGAATGGGTGAAGTCTCCCGTCAATGTAAAATATTTGTGAACAATTCCATCAAAGGTGTAATGCGTTGATCATGTGAGTCCGCACACCTATCTATGTAATATTCGTGAACTAGATCGTTCCATCCTCGGTGTATTGCGTTGATCATTTGAGTCCGCACACCTAGCAATGTAATATATTGATGTTTTATTTCCAAGTGCGTGAGGAAGATGGGAAAACATGGTTAATTGGCAAACCCAAAAATTAGTGAATTGGGAGTTAACTCGAGATTAAACTAAAATATATATTTAAACAACAATATATCCATCTACGAACCAGTTTGAATAGATAGCGAAATTAATGGTGGCCATCTGTTAATACCGAGGATGGAAGTCGAAGTGGGAAAAACCAATTAACGCCGACCCTAGTAAATGGTTAAAACAATATTTAAAACTTTAAATGGCATGGCTATCGGTATGCTGACGTGTAGTTTACGACTTTTAGTGAGTAGCTATTAGGTTACAGTACCCTATACCCAACAACGTAGGGGGCAACTAGGAGCCGTGTGAGATGGGATAAGCTAAGGACGGCGGGGTCCACTAACACATACCATGCCTTTACCTTCCTCTGAAAGGGTACCTGGTCCGTAACACAAACACAACCACAAAAAAAAAAAAGATGCCAAAGATCGAAATACTAGGGGAGGAGATGAGTGAAATGTCGGAAGGGGGATCTAGCTCAACAACAAGAGGTAAGAGCTCTGTATTGGAGGATGGCGTCTACGAATGCGACTGCGGGAAGGCGGCGCTAGTCCGACAATCATGGACAGACGCAAATCCAGGTAGGCGATTCTATAGGTGCGGAGCCGGTTGGAAAAACATCTGCAACTACTTTCGGTGGCGCGATCTTGAGAAACCACATGGATGGCAGAAAATAGCACTTTTGGAAGCAAGGGACTTGATAAAGTCACAAGCAGAGGAGCTTACAAAGCTTAGAGCGATTGTTGGGGGCCAAGAAGCAAGGAACACAGAGGACGAAGGGAGCGAGCTCCTTCGTAGGTTGGAAGACATGGAAAAGGAGAATATGGCTCTACGAAGTTATGTGAAGGCAAGCGCGGCGAAGGATCAAACCATCCGTCAGGTGGTCATTATCTCTTGGATAGGTTTTGCTTGTGTCGTGGCAACAATAGTTCATGCATTAAAGTAGCAAAACAAATGGACCATCGCTATCATCATCATTCCTAGCTTGCTGAATTCTAAAGTTTGTACTATGTTAATCTTCGTATGAATGTATGACAAAAACTCTTGGTTAGCTATCTATCAAACTTATAATTCTGATACCATGTATCTATGGATAGGTACATATATCCATAAATATCCTGCTCCGGTATAACAAAAAGGGAAATAAGTTAGCTGCACAAGGCGGAAAATATACATGTTAGTTGCACGGCTGATTTATGGATATGTAAAAACAAATATAGGTTAAAAGGTTCAAGGCAAAATAACTATCTAATTGTTTTGATAGCAACATAAAACGTTGCGGATTCCTACGCATTATTTTTACAGGTAGAGGTGGCTATCTATCTTATATGTAATTTCAGAGATTGGTTAAAAACTATCCAATTATTTTAGTGGGCTGTAAACCATTGCAGTAGATTGGTTAAAAACAGCAGGACTAAACCCAACAAGTAACTAACCGCAGAGTACGAATACATATCCATAATGTAGAGTTGTAAGTTTTAACAAAGAGATAAGTCACACAGATGGGAAGAGAATGGGATCAAAAGATAAAAAACAAGAGTTCAAGATAGGATAATAGAGTTGCAACAAACAAGGGTAATGGTTCACTCCTCTTCGATATCACCGCAACAATGTTCATATAGCTCCACTGCTAGCTGCTCAGCACGTTCCCTAACGCCAGACTCATTGACACGATCCAACTCCTCGAAGCCTCCTAGCGCATGGGCCTCCATAAAAAGAATAGATAACATACCAGTGTTGGCACGGGATGTGGCTTGAGCTACCGTGGTGTGGCGAACAAATGCCAAAGGATGGAGAGGGTAACTAGTCATAAGATCATTTGCCCCTAACTTTCGCACCAGGTATGGAAACATGTCACATATGAAATCTAGCTCTGGCTTGAGTCTAGACCCACGACGCACATCAGCTGTGGAGTCAAATACAGAGAGAGAGTGCGATGGCAAGTCCACCATGACTGCAATCCACCTATTCTTGTCAATGTTGAAAGGAGAATAGAGAAAATCAATACTCTCCAGCCATTTTCTGCCATGGGAAGTGAACCTAGCAGTAACCGAGCTCAGAAGATCCGCGTCAAACTCGAAAGTATCTTTACGCCTACACTTCTTGAATTTGGAGTACATCAGAGCAAGGGATCCATTAAACTTGCAAGGCAGCATGTCAGCACGCGGATCAGTGGTAGGATCAACCGATTTGAAGAGCGATTCCCGCAATACAGAAACACATACATCCATAACCTGCAGAACAAGAGTGAGTACTAAATGAAAGTATAAAACAATTTTACTAAAGTTTATAGTGTGAACCTTCGGATTGTCAGGGGGAATGCTGGTAGCAACCGCACGCATCTCAGACTCATTCAAAACCAACCCATCACCAAAATCAAGTTCGCTGTATATTAGTAATAGAGTAGCAACAATCAGCACAGAGCAGCAAGTTTATAAGTGAATACCTATGTTAAAAAATAAACACTTATTGAAAAAAATCAACTCTATGATATATAATAGAGCAGCTTACATTGTAGGTGTCAGAAGGTCCACCAATTTCTTGAACTTGGCAGAGCTGGCAAATTCAACAGCCTCAACAACATCATTGCCGCCGCTAGAGACTTCTCCAGCCTCAGCTACAGTTGTCTAAAAACGGGAAAAAAAAAGAAATCATGATATAGTTACATGGAAATAAACATTAAATCACATGGTAAGATATATAACAAACCGAGAGTTCTTCATTTGTTTGGGAGCTACTAGAATCCTCATCCCTACTAGTAGACCCATCAACCTAAAACATTAACAAGTTAGTTTAGAGAAAACAGAATGTATCCCTACAGTAGCAGAAAAGCGGCTTACCTCTTCAGAAGAAGCATCCAAGTTTGTAGCCCCTGCTGGTTTCTTCTGCTGCGTGACACTTGACCTGCCAGGGTTAGCTGAACCATTTGGAGGTGGTTGTTGGTAAGGATCAGGAAACTCAACCCCAACCTCTTCAATGATTTTCTGGACAGCATTCTTGGCCTGAAGAGCATCAGCGACTGCAGAGCAGATGCTATATTTGAAACTTTTTTCTAACCTCAACTCCATAGACTTCAACTCAACCGCGACATGAGCAAACAAGTCCCCACGCGCTTCCTTCATACCAGCCTCAATTTCAGATTTAACAGACGCAAGAAAAGCAGCACTATTTTGGTCCGACGGGGTATGCCTAGACCTGCCACTACGCACCTTCAGTTTCTTAGACTTAGAAGACACACGACCTGATTGGGAACGTACTTTACGTTTTCCCTTCTTCACTTCGCTAGGAGGAGGCTCCACATGAACATATGCACCTCTATATCCCCCTACAAACATCCCACGATTAAACTTAGCTCCTTCTTCAATTTTCTGTAATATCAGTTCCACACCCGGGTCACGAACTTCGTCAGCCCAGCTACAATCCTCCAGACCAACAACATCTTCAGGAGCCGGAATTATAGATAGGACATCAACCTCAACCTATGAAGAGAAACAAAAAAAAACTTAAACATGTATATCGGATGATTGGACATGTAAAAAAAACAGAATGTCGCTATCTGACCTTGGTTTCTTTGTCAAGGTCCCAGACTTTATCCAGTTTCAAAGAGATAACCGGGAAGACATCTTCGTCGCCTGATTCGGGGTCAGTAATCTCACCAACGGCTGAACGGACTGCAGGAACAGCCTCAACCAATACGAGAACGAGAGCATGGATGAAACCTTGAATGGCAACAGTTGCTTGAGCTAGTTGATTGAGAGATCTTGATTTAATGCACTGCATGGTCATATCGAAACTGTAGCGACCCCAAGGGTATTTCAGAAACACATCTAGGTCCCGGATCATCTCCACGTGTTCTTTCGGGATCTTCATGTGGAAAGATCTGCGGCAAAGAAACCCATCAACAAGTAACAGACAAGCATACTTAATTCTCAGTTCGCTGGTAAGCGACTTAGCCCTACGCAGCTTAGCCAACAGCATCTCGCCAGTGAAAGACTCCTCGCCACCAAACAGGGTGAACCAATAGGGCGTAACGCCGGGAGGACACTTGACTAGGTTTCTGTCAAGCGCAGGGAGAGGACCACAATTGAGACCGGTGACCAGACCAAACTCCCTGAGAGAAAATCTAACAGGTTTACCGGCAAACACAACCCAAATTTCATGTCGCTTCACTACATCAAGCTGTCTGGTTAGAAGAAAATGAGCCAATTTCCCAGAGAACACGGGTTTAGAGTACACATCGAGCAACTTCCCGAAACACGGTCTAATGATATCGAGTTCTTTGGGCTGAAGTGCTTTCAACACGACCTTAATGGTGTTGAGTTTGAAGTACATGTTCACTCTGTCGCCGGCAGGCTCTTCTCGGTCAGCAAACAAACGGGTGGGTAGTTGCGGATCAGCCATGGGCCTGTAAACAGAGAGATGATAAGTTAGCAAAATAGATCTGCTGGTTTGGTATATAAAAAAATAAGAGAATCACTAGACATCCATTAAAACCCTAGACCCTCAAGTGGGAAGACAGATCTACTAAGATCCGTGCATATTTACAGAGATTTGTGAATGTGTAAGTAGATCTGTGAATGTGTAATTAGATCTGTGCATATGTACTTAGATCTGTGCATGTGTAAGTATATCTGTGCATGTGTAAGTAGATCTGTGAAGGTGTATATAAAATCGAGTGATGGTAATTAACCGAAGGGTAGAAAATAGAAACTTTGAGAGGAACAAAGAAAAAGACCTAACGCTATGAAGAGGCGATAGAATTTCAAGAACAAAAACTTTTTAAACAACGAACTTGACTGTAAGCGGACCGCCGCGGCGATTGGGAAAAGAAAAACAAAAGAGTTTAGGCGTAGCCGGACGAAGAACAAAAAATACACTCACTCGGGATTTCAGTATTCTCTGCGATTGAGGAAAGCGGTTCTCCGGGACGGCGACGGTAAAAAGTTGATCAACGATTACAAAATGTTTCGACAATTTGTTTGTAGAGTAAAGATAGATGGAAAGAGAGATGGTTTTGATGGGACTTTAGGGTTTGAAGTGATGAAGGCGGTATACAGAAGAGTCGGACCGAGTAGACACCCAACAGTCAGAAAGTAAGAGAGAGGCTCTTAATATCGACGCCACATACACGCATCCATTTCTCGGGAAACGTGAAAATAACTGTTCTGCAACATGAATGGACCACCAAAACGCACACTCCGCAATCGCGCGTAGGGCTATTTTGGGAAGGAAAGCGGGCTAAATATTTCCTTGTCTTGGGCCTCGACAAGTTTATCTAGAAAACTAATTTGAGTCCAGATCATTGTCTCCAGCCCAATTACCTCTTTTTATATTATGGTTTGTTTTTATCTAAATCATATTGGATCATATTGCACAGTTTTTACCTTTGCGTGTATGAGTAAATCTATGGACCAGATACGGTACTAAGCCCATTTTAAGCAAAAGAAGCCCACTAAAACTACATTGGCTGTTATAACGGGCCGACTTTACCAATTTAAGTCAAATTAATAAATCTTGACATAGTACTTTTTTCAGGTGTTTGTTTTCCTCTTACAAGTATCTTTGCTCTCTGAATCCGTATTAATTTTGTTATATAGAGTGTCATGTGCCTACACACAATATAGTAATCAAAATTGAATCTGTTTATTTAGATTTTGTAGTATAATTTTTTCAAAAAATTTTGTAGTATCATTTTATTTTTTGCTGAAAAAAGAAGAAGGTAGAGATGAATATTTCCGAAATAAGATTTGTGTGATAATCAAATTACGGGATTAGATGCATCGAACTCAGTTGCTATGCAAGTGCAACACAGAGAGACTTGGTGCGAAAGCTATGCATTTGTGTCTTTAACTTTATAAGATCGTTATTTAGCTTTTGTTTTTCCAAAGCTTTCCAAGCTCGCATACCAATTCCAATAAATCCCCTTTTCGATTTCGACAAAAACCCAAACACACCCACACGACTACATATTTTTTAATGTAATTTTGATGTCTTATATAATGTTAAAGACTTTGAACATGAGTCTCCACTGTATTCAGACGTGTATGTAAATACCATCCAACAGTTTAACCATACTGTTTGTTTTTTTTACTATCTGCATTACTGTTTTTTTCTATCTGTTGTTGTAACAATTCAGACCAAGAATCTCTTTAGTAAAAAGTATAAGTTCTAAATAACAAGTTTTCATGGTTTCATTCTTAATTTATTACCAAATGAATCTGTTAAGAATAGAGCAAATATTTCGTTCCATATAATTCAGTTTCCAAAATCTTTTTACATTCTCGATTGGGAATAAGCTTGGTATCTTGTTTGACACTTCATTTACCAGGAAACTCGGGTTTGGGGTTGGAGCAAACAATAAATGGAAGAAATAAGAATATGTATTGGATGTATCAAAAACAGTCAAATGTGGATAAATAAGAAAATGTTTGTTGAGTCCCCACATGAAATGAAGAATTTCATGGGTGACTTTTATTATTATTTGGCCGTTAAATTGGACGACCGACCGCAATTTTGTCAGCTTTGATATTCGTCACCTCCCTAAAATATCACACAAATTTTTTTTTGTTTTCTACCATTATCATACATAACCTTTTCTGGAAATCTATTGAAAATTTTTAGTAAAATTTCCTGCAAAATGCTTCCTACAAATCTTGTAAGGTTTTCTAAATTAACAACTGACTGATATGAAACAAAAAGAATAGACCCACAAAAAAAAAACTATTGAATTTCTAAATTGATGTCAAATGATGCATCAATGGTTCTATTGATCTCTATGGAGGTTTTTTTTTTTTTGGTCGAATGATTACCATTTAGAGCCATAAAGTGTACTTATTATCCAAATTCATTGAAGAACATAAATGACAACAACAAAAAACAAAATCTGAAGAAAAACAAATGTGAGATGTTTGTGTATTAATAAGCGAACCTATTGATATCTCTCAGTCATAGCAGGAGAGCCGTCGGATGAGTGGAAGAGAATATCTGGATTTTATGAGCGTATCTATGTCCAGTCACCGTATACATTTACATTTTGCAGGTGATGATATCAACTTCTTGAATTTGATCTTAACCGTTCATCACAAAATCTTATCAAGGGACCACAATTATCTCGAGTGTCCGTGAACTCCTGTCATGAAACCTCATGAAAAGTAAGCAAACAAAAAAGTCAAACTATAACCTTTAAGACATATAATCATTCAAATGAAAAGAGAATCTGTAAATTGGTTTTATTTCTTGTCAACAAGTCTTCTCTATTAAATTCATTTGAGGCCCGCAAAAAAAATGCGAAGGTCTAACAAATCTTTCGTGGTGAATGATGTTATCTTTAACCGAAATACTCGGGTCTAATGCTTTTTCTTTGAACTCAAAATGATCTAAATCATTTTTATTTGCTTCGTCGAAGTGATATCATATTTTAGATTTATTAGAAAATTTGGGAAAGGGTTATACTCACTCTAGAAAAATTAGTCTAGATGTGATACTTGGTAAAGAAAGAAAAACCTATCTATTGTGAATTTCCAACCAAAACGTTATAAAACCATGTATTTCTCTATATGGATACATTAAAATAGTCCAAGTTTATCATTAAACTGTTTTATAATAATAAGCAAGCTAACTAATAAACCCAAACATTTAAAGTCTTTAAATTTTCTGCTTTCCGTTTCTTACCTCCGTTTACACTTTTTTATTACAGCTTTATAGAGTTACGTAATGTGACACATGGCAAAGGCCCGCGTAAAACAAGTCTTTGAAACGGACATTAACATTTAAAATCATCGGTTTCATATTTCGTAGTCAAAGTTAGGTATGAAGAGGACTCTACGTGGACTCGTTTAGTCAACTTGATCACCATTTTTAAAATCGTTACTCGTTTCATTTATTGTTCGGCAACTACGCAAATCTTCCTTAACATTAAAATAAAAACACTCTAAACGTCGCGCTTGACATGATGTATGTAATAATAGTGCTATTTAAATTAGTTTAATTTAGTGTTATTATTCGTAAAACTATACATGATTCAGATTAGTTTGGTTTATCCATATCAAACACTTTTTAAGTATTAAATTCAACATATAGTACTTTTTTTATGATCTTTTGATCCAAATAAAGTTAATGAAATTACACAAACTTCCACCTGACTTACACAAAAGATACACCAAAATTTTGATTTTGTTGGGAAAAAAACAAATAAGTAGACCAAAATAGCATTATTATCCCATTCATTTTTGAAAATTTGAGCGTTATTCTATTGGATATTGAAAAGTATAGTCTAGTTCCAAAAAAAAAAGAATATCTAGATGAAAAACTTAATAAGAATCTCTACCAATCTTAGTATAATTTCAAAATTTGAAAACATACACCTTAAAAAAGCCACAAAATAATTCAATTAGTCATGGCAAGAATTTAAATTAAATTTGACTTTGGAAATGCTTTTCTACTGAAGCAAGTAAGAGCCGATATATGTTTATATCAGAAAAGCCAGAAGAGAGAGAGATAGAGAGCAAAGTTTCATTTGTTGTGTAGCCCTTTGTCTCTCGCATCCCATTTTTCAAAATCTCACTCTCTCTCTTTCCTCTCTTCTTTCATTTTTACTTTCTATAAATCCAAACTCATAAACAAAAGATTTTGTCTTTCCATCAACATCACTCTCTCATAACTCCCCCAAAGACTCTCACTTTAAACTCCTTCACTTCGTGTTCTTCGTCTATTTTCTTTCTTTCACTTTTCCACAAGCAAAGAAACAAAAAGGATGAGTTCAAGAGTGTTCAGAGCAACACCAGATAACAACTATTTGGTCCCCAGGAGATCCAAAGACCAACAAGACTCCAGTCCCGACCGTAACCGAATCTGGTCGGAGCCTCGTCATAAACCGGTCGTTAACCGGAAAGTCCCAGTCGTTTATTATCTCTGTCGGAATGGTCAGCTTGACCATCCTCATTTCATGGAAGTCACTCTCTCTTCCCACGATGGTCTTTATCTCAAAGGTTAATAAATCAACTCAAAAATCTCTTACCTTTTTATGTGAACCCTTTTGATAAAAATCACACTTTTTTCTTGATTCATAAATGATGAAAACGCTTTTGTTCAAGAAAGTAGCTTTTTGAGTTCAAACTCTCTTTTCTCTTTGGCTTTTTACTCTTTATTATTTCTGGAACATAACAGTGAAAAAGGCGGCAAGTTTTGAGTTTTCGAATTGTATCTTTCAAAATCAAGAACTTCATTGGGCAACTAAAAAACTTTCAAACTTTAATTTGGTTTTTTACAAATTCTCAGATGTGATAAACCGCTTGAATGATCTTAGAGGGAAAGGCATGGCAAGTCTCTACTCTTGGTCTTCCAAACGGTAAACGATTCTCCTCCACCGTCGGATCTATAAAGCCTCTTCCTTTTCAAATCTCAACCGTCTAATGTTCTGACAATTTTTTTTATTTTTCAGGAGCTACAAAAATGGATTTGTCTGGCACGATTTATGTGAGGACGATTTCATCTTCCCGGTGCAAGGTCAAGAATATGTTCTCAAAGGCTCTGAGGTTCTTGATTCTTGTCTTATCTCAAACCCAAGAAGCCTCCTTGAAACGTCGTCGTTTAGGGATCCAAGATCTTTAAACCCTGATAAAAACTCCGGAGATGATATCCCGGCGGTGATAAATCGCCGGAGAAACCAGTCTTGGAGCTCCATTGATCTCAGCGAGTACAAGGTTTACAAAGCAACCGAGTCAAGCGCCGAGTCAACTCAAAGACTCGCTGCAGACGCTTCTACTCAAACAGACGATAGACGACGGAGGAGAAAACCGGCGAAAGAGGAAATAGAAGAGGCAAAAAGTCCGGTGAGTTACGAGAATCAGAGTACAGAGCTGAGCAGAGACGAGATATCTCCTCCACCGTCGGATTCAAGTCCCGAGACATTAGAGAATCTGATCAAAGCAGATGGACGGCTGATATTACGTCCTAACGAAAGCAGCACCGATCATCGGACGGTCGAGAGTTTATCCAGCGGAAGAATGAGAGCTTCGGCTGTATTAATGCAGCTGATATCGTGTGGTACGATGTCGTTTAAAGAATGTGGGCCTGTTTTGTTGAAAGATCAAGGGCTGTCGTTGAACGGGCGTAGCGGATGTACGATAACGCGAGGAGCAGAGGATAATTATGGGGAGAGGGTAGAGAAGGAATTAAAGAGTTTAGGAAGGGTAAAATTGGAAGATAAGGAGTATTTTAGCGGCAGTTTGATTGAGACCAAGAAGGAACTTGTTCCTGCTTTGAAAAGATCTTCTTCTTACAATGCTGACAGGTAAAAAAAAAAACATCAAGCAGTTCGATTTCTCTTTATGTGAAACGGCACGTAGTTCTATTATGTAACTTTTATGAATTTACCCGTACATGGCAATTATTGGTTATGGTGTGAGTTGATTGAAGAAGCTGAAAATGGTAAAGTTTGTAGAACTACATTTTGGGGTGTCTTTCAAACGTCTATTCATTTTTTAAAAAAGTTCTAATAGTTTTTTTTTGTTTTTTGAAACATGAGTTGAAATGTTATAATAATTGATATTTGGTAATTTATTAGGAATTCAAGAATGGGACCAACGACGGAGAAGGATGAGGAAGAAGTGGTTCGAGCTAAGTGCATTCCGAGAAAACCAAAGCCGGTGGCTCTAAGGAACAATGGTGGGCAGCAGTAACAAAACGGCACAAATGTCTGATGAGAAGGAAGCAAAACGGCACGCAGTCTTACAAGCTTATTTTGGGTTTTAAGTAGCAGGGAAGAGAAAAGAAGAATAGGGAATGATGAGTTTGTTAAGCATTGTGAATTGTGTAGGTAACTATATAAAAATTCCTTTGCATGCTTAAAAAATTAAGAGTTAACATGATGGGTGCATATAATATATATAAATGTTGTAGTTTGAGCCTAGGTGTCTTTTGATGTTAATTTCAATCTGATTTTCTTTTTATAACCCCAATATTACCTTGTAGTAGTAATTGGGAATCTTAATCATAAATTTCAGTTAGTTTTGACCATTTTTCATTCATTCTTTAGCATCACACCAAGTCACCAACTCTGTTTTCGACACTTGAATTCAGGATTAGTTAACTCTGTTCTATGGCTTATTTTTGCAGTACAAGAAACCACTAGGGGTCAATTTTGTTGAGTACACTTATATATTACAAATTGACTCTAGTTTGGCGTGATTAGTTTAGAGAAGTTTTAATATACTTGCTACTGGAAATCACATCGAAAACATTTATTATATCAGAATAAATGCCATTGAAATGTGGTAAAGTGATAGTTTACCTTGAAATTATAAATAGCTTAGAGTCAATGTTGGGGTGGTACCTTGAGGCTACAAACTATTCAGAAAAAAAGTCTCTATGCCCTTTAATTCTGGCCTATTTGGCCTTTGTGGCGTCAACTCCAATATCAATTTGCAGCACGTACACAATATTTTAAAATAATCGTACCAAAAGAAATTTCAATAACCAACAATGTTGTCTTTTGACTTTGAAATCTTAGAAGTTTCCACTTACCCATTTCTAGAAGTGTTAAATAGCACTGTTATTCAAAGTCTTTTTCATTTACATCATTAAACTCTATGCAAAAGAAGAAATACATTATGAATTCCCACAATATGCATTCATTAGTGTGGACATCCAATAGACTTATTAGATGAACCATGTTATCAAATATCGAAACAAAGACAAATATAACGTTGAGGAAAAAAAAAGGTTAGGTTGACAAAAATAGGAAAAAGATTTAGACCAAATTCAAAATAAAGTACACTGTATTATATTTGAAATATATCTAGTCTATTGCGGTACATTCAAGGATAGATAGAGATAATAATATAAATATACATAAGATCTTGCAGTAGGTGGCTGACTTCATTGAAGTGAATTCACATTTTGGTAAAACTAGCTGTTATTGCGTGTACACATTGTGCTTCACAGTTTCACTGCCAAAACCGGTAACAAGAGGTAATTATATCTCACATGGAATACGATCTCTGTAATTGTCATAGAAAAAATCAAACAAATCCTCTCGAGTCTCAATATATCTAAAATACCAAACTCAGAGCTACTAGCTTTAACCGCTAGTAATAACGATGGACTCTCATTATCGAACTAATCCTGTAATTAAATTTCGATATTTCGTTAGAACCACTTGGGTCGTACAAAAAAAGTTGGTTTTCATTTATAGTTAAATTCATGCTAAGTATTTTGGCGACTATGTTTAACGAGGAGAAGTTGTTATAATATAAAAATTAGAGAGGAAGAACACATAATCATTTTTAGAAACACATTTTCACGTCACGACTTGAAAATTTTAACCATTATTTACACCTTACTACAGACACAATCCGATTTAAAGTCCCCAAACTTAATATGAGCACTAACATACCTGCCCGAATTACCAAAATCCGGTTAACATCAAACATGAACTTGAAAAATTTGGCAAAACCGGTTATTTTGGTCAGTTCAGTTATATAAACTAGACAAAAGTACTGTATGAACAACTTGAAGAGACTGCCGACTGGATTAGCTCTTGTTAACCGTAAACCAAATTGATAAACCGGCCACGAAAAGGCCAAACCTAGGATTCAGATATCGGTTAAGAGCGGTCTTGGATTAGTGAAACAAACGCCTCGGACCATGTCTGTTTAACCAAGCTAGAGACATCCGATCCGCTTACATTCGCAGTAAACTTGTCTCCGCCTGGACCAGTAAGGACCCACTTAACTTTCTTCGGTGGGTTTGGGTCGATAACTTCGTTCTGAAATCTGGTACCATTCCGGTTCATCAGAAGCTGCAAAATGTGTTACAAAACCACCGTCAAACCATTACAACCTTGTATAGAAACGGTTCATCTTCTTTACCTCTAAATGATGTAAAGCTTAAAATCAAACTTCATCTATCTGTAAGATTAGAAAACTTACAGCAAGCTGCTCGGAATGCACCATGTTAACTGTACTGTTCTCGACTGCTTGCAAGTATCTCTCGACGGCTGCCATGGAACGGAATTTATTCCCTGTTCCCGGCTCAATATAAGACTGCAAACAACAGTAGTAACGGTATTGAAAGTCTGGACTATAACACACTAACCAAACATAGCCAAAGTATCAGATATGTAGTATGTACCCTGTCTATATGACTGGAATTTCTTCGCGGTTTCTCCTCAACGATCCATCCATCAGGTAAACTGAAATCTTTGGAATGACCTCGGCGATTCTGTAAAACCATAAGCTGCTGATCTATACGGTTACCGGATTCTCTTAAGTATCTCTCAACGGAAACAAGAGAACGGAAGCGCTTTCCTGTTTTTCGCTCAACATAATACTGCAAAGAACAATACTAACGGTTTAGCCAGAGATTCGACCCTAAAACCACCAAAAGTATTCGATGTATCCTTTTCACATTCTGCTCTTCTCCCACATTAACCGAACTAGGTTGTTAGTTATGTGACTCAGTAACTTAATAGCAATATCAATAGCAAGTCTCTACATAAGTACCTTATCAATATAATGAGAGTTTTTCCTCGGAACCTCCTCAACGGACCATCCTCTAGGCAATCGGAAACCCTTGGAGGCATATTCAACTCTGCGGTGATCCTGCAAAAGAATAAACACACTGATTTAAGTATTTAATCCAAGAAGAACCATATACTTGTGCAATTTCAAATCAAGATCATGGGACCTGTTTGATTCTAGATCCTTCATAAACCCTTGTCATATCCTGGAAGAAGGATGGTGCTCGAGTCAAACGTCTGTCATTTACTTCTCGAGCCAAGTGTCTGTGAATAGCTTCTAGAGATGAAAACTGTCTACCAGTCCCTGGCTCGATAAAGTACTGCCCACAAAACAAAAACAAGTAAAGATGAGATTTTTCAGAAGAGAACTGTCAGATCTATCTTCAACTTAAGCATATACCCAAAAGACGACCAATAGACCATCTCAAGCAACAACCAAGAGCTATGCGACAACACAATCACTAATCTGATCCAAACATTACACTTTGCACAAAAGACACAAGAAGCTCAAATTGTTCAAATTTCAGAGAAAAGCTCAAAATTTCTGTTTCACATTTGCTTGATTTAGGTCCCTTACCGTATCAACACTGCCGTTTCTGCTAGATCGCGGGCGATTCACGACGGTCCAACCAGGTAAAATCTTGCCGCAAAACGAAGTGGGATCGGCGATTTGCAGCTGGCTTTCGCGGCGGTGGTCAGGCGAGGGTGAGGAAGAGGATCTCGTCTGCATCGCTTCGTTGCCGGGTCTAACCCAAAAACCCGAGACGAGTGTGGTTTTGGTTTGGTCAAGTCCAAAGCCACACACACACTTCTTATTTCTCTGTCACTGCTTTTACGTAACGACACGCATAAAGCAGGACACCATATATCCACTTGGCAACATTTGATCTTAATACAAATTCTGTAATTATAAGATGATTAATGAAAAAGCAAAGTTAAATCACGTGCAAATCAGATCATTAATAAAAGAATATAAGAATAATAAAAGTTTTTGGTTTCCTAAATTTTTAAAGTTTTAAGTTTAACAATAAAAAGCAGTAAATTATTACAATATAAACTCTACAGAAATAATGAGTTTCAATTCATTTATTTATTTATTATGATTTTTTTGAATATTAATTTGGCAAACCAGTTTAGTTGACACTAAAATAATTATCCAAACATATAAAATGATTGATAGAAGAAACGTGAAAAAGATGAAGTAGAATGATGAATGAGGCTAGCTTGAAATTAATGTTGGACGACGATGGGACTCCTAACGTAATGATGTGAATCAGTCCACGTCAGCTCTCCGAAGACGTAGCCAGAAGGCTTCGCTGACTTGGGACGAAGAGTCATCTGAAATGTCTTCACTTCACCAGTTTTGTTGAACGTGAGCTGTTTGGGATCCACGGAGACGCTAACTCCAAGTGGCTCTCGGAAGTGAGCGTTGTAGGTAGCAGGCGGTCCAACGTTCGTGAGTTTGCGAGTGACGGTGATAGAGTCCGTGAGGTTTGGGACAGTGATTGAAGGGTAGTTGAAGTCGAGAAGATTGGCTCCTTGGCGACACGTGTACTGTGGGTCCTCGGCAAAGAGTTGAACTACGGTGTTGTTGTAGCCAACGGCGCAGAGGAAGTCCAAGTAGTCTCCTGTTGTGAGATCATAGACAAGGCCAGGATGGGCGGCTTTATTGGGTTGGACATGACCTGAGCCGTAGCTGAAGGGATTTGCTTTCTTAAAGGATTCATCAACCATTGGCTTACGTCTGTTGTCTCTGGTTCGTGAAGTTGTCATGATGGCTGAGCGGATAGCAGCAGGACTCCATTGGGGGTGAAGAGTCTTCAAGAGACCAACGACACCTGAGATGTGAGGACATGACATGGAGGTTCCTGATTCGGTGTTGAAAGGAGTTCTTCGATGGTCAGAGTCTAAGTCCGTTGGGCTTGTGGCTTCCGTGAAGGCGGCGATGATGTTGACACCGGGTGCAGTGATGTCAGGTTTGAGGATCCCTGGTGTGATGGAGTTAGGTCCTCTGGAAGAGAAAGAGGCCATGAAAGGAGCAGGCTTTGTGTTCAGCGTAGCGGTAGGTGCTTTGATGTAACCTTTGGGATCTTTTGTGGAACTTAGGTACGAAAACAAAGCTTCACCATCTTTGTAGTCGATTTGAGAAGCAGGAAGAACATGAGCGTCTGAGATGATTTCGTTTCCACTCGCCTTGTCGTTGCATAGAATCATTCCCGCAGCTCCAGCAGCGAGTGCTTGCTGTCCTTTGTCCACACGTGCGTTGTCTCCTCTGAGACACACCACGATCTTCCCTTTCACCTTCTCCGGGTCTAGGCTACCTTTCTTGCATAGCAATCTATGTAAGCAACACTAGTTCATTAGTACTTAGTTATGTTACACATTCCAAAAAAATGGATATAGCTTTTACTTACGCATCAGTCGCATTTCCATTGGAAACTTTAGCTTCTTCAGCACTGATGAGGTTATACATCTTATCTTCGGGCAAAGGCTTTGAGAGGCTTGTTCCCTGCGTTCAAAATTAAATTACTTGTAGCACAAGAAAAAGGAACAGAAAAAGTGAAAACAGTAAAGATCAAACCTTGAAGCTTTGGCCGTTGTTCAGCTCAACAAAGGCTTGAAACTCTCGGTCCATGGAGCTAGCTCCGACTGTAATAATCCATGGTGCTACGTTTGAGACAGTTCCAGCCTTAGGACCTGAATTTCCAGCTGAGCACACAACCGTCACTCCCTTTTTGACGGCATGGAAGGATCCAATAGCAATGCCGTCGCTCATGTAATCTCCTGCGTCTCCGCCCACTGAAGCTGAGAGAACATCCACACCATCGTCGATGGCAGCATCAATAGCTGCCAAAATATCAGCATCAAAGCACTCCGCACCATTCACAGGCGGCCAGCACACCTTGTAAGCCGCAACTCTAGCTTTAGGAGAACCACCGCTGGCTGTCCCATTCCCTATGCCAAACACATTGGCTCCGGGAACAAAGTTACCTGCCGCGGTGGAAAGAGTGTGGCTACCGTGACCATCGTGGTCGCGACAGGTTTCCAAGGAGGCGTTAGAGGGAAGACCTGTGAAGGCTAAGTAACCTTTGTTGAAGTATCTAGCACCAATGAGCTTCCTGTTTACATGTAATGAATCAAATAATCACTTTGCTTGTATCTTTCTATAATTTCAAAAAGAACTCAATCCAGTGAAGATTAGAACCTGTTGCAAGGAACATCCTTGTGGCATCTACCTTTCCACCTAGCTGGAACAGCTCCATACCCTTCATCGCTGAAGCTTTTTGACTCAGGCCACACACCTTCATGATCAACATACATATTTTCTATCATTCATAACTATGATGAGCAAAGCAAACCCTTGTTTTGGGAATTACCTGTGTCCAAGTTAGCGATGATTGTGTCCTGTCCGTATCCTGCTTTATTCCAGAGAGAGGACTTGTGAACAACACCATTTTTCTCAAGGAGCATGAAATTCCATGAATGAGTGGTATGAAGTTTTCTTCCTTTGTTTGGCAATACAGAGACAACATCAGGATGCTCTGCATATAATTATTTGAAAAAATGGTTAGGTTAAACTAAAAGGATCGAGAAGCAAATGCAGTATATGAGGATTGATGATCTCACTGGCGATTTCTGCAGCTTCATTTTCGTCAAGAACTGCGGCGAAGCCATTGATATGTCTCTTGTATGAGTAAAAGATGGCTTCTTGTGCATTTTCATGGCTGCAACAGAGAAGGCAGTTAGTTTCTTGTTGTGTATATAAGAAAACTCGGACTAAACCGGCCGGTAGGACTAGTAAACCCGCAATCCAGACAGTAATCTGGTTCAATTATTCCTTCTTTGGGTGCAAGTAAGTATACTTTTTAAACCTAGACTTTAGTGCCTCGCTTAAACCCGGAAAAAACCAATGTCCGGCAAAAATCCACGAACAAGCCTAGTAGCAAATCAAATCCTAAATTTTTTATTTTGGTTTGAAAGATTGAAATTCAACATTAAAAATCATTATTCTAATTTTTTTCTCTTTTTTATCTCTAATTAATTTTGTGCCTTTATATTTCAAATTGTGGTTTACTAAACAAAGATTTTTTAAAAAAAAATTGAATGTCATCAACCTAATGTCATATGAAGATGATCCGGTTTTGATCCACTTTTAAAACATTGGTTTTGTATTTTCATAAAGAGATGCATAGGGATGATGATACCTTCCAACGAAAGAGGCGAGGAAAGTGCGATGTGAGTGAGCAACACCATCGAGATGGGCAGAAGAGATTTGAGGAGGATGGGCGTGAGAGCCCAAGTACACTATGTAGGACTATAACACAATTAAACAAAATTAAGCAAATGCATATCGATCGTGATCAAAGCAATGTATATAAAAAAAGATTTACATAGATCCAAAAAAAAAGAGAGGACGACCTTTTTAAGAGCAAAAGCAGGAGAGGAAAAGAGAGTGACGATGAGAATAAGAGATGATAAACTTTGGAGGCTCATTGTGTTTGAGTATTGAGTAGCCGAATATCTTCTCATCATACTCATATACAAAAATACTAGTTCTCCATAAATCTCTCTCTCTCGCTATATTTGGTAAGTGGATCGAATCACGCTAAATCCAGCTTGATTACTACTAAAGTTGGTTGAGTGATTTCAGCATAACTCTATATCTTCCTGCAACAGTCAATATCTAACTCAGAAAATAAGGTAAGAGTATCTTCATAATCTTCTTTCCGTATTTATCTCCCTATTCCTTGGAATTACACATTCCCTAAGATTTTTTCTTCATTCTTTGTAATTAAAACAAATTTATTTCTGTAACATATTTAATACAATGAAATGTTTTAAAATTAATTTTTTAGTATTAGGCAACTTTTTGTAAAGAATTTAATTTGATTTAATCTTAATATAAACAACATAAATTTCATATTGTTGTCTACATTATTAACCCTATGAACGGGAGGTGGGTTGAACCTATTAGGCTATATTACATGTGACTGGCCAAAGGTGGGTAACCACCTCACTACATGGCTCATGTCAAATTTTCATTACCATTAAAATCCAGGAATCAAGTTTATCGGGACATGACATGTTTTTATCAAATTATTCAATTTTTGTTGATTTTCTTAATCTTTCTGCATTCTCACCGAGGAATATCATCTATTATAAAAGAAGATTCTGAGGGGAAAAAAAGAGATTATTGTAGACAATTGTTGGCTTGTGTTGCCCATTGAAAAGCATTTGGCCGTGCATCAGGAAGCCATCGTCATAAAGCTAAATCCGTCTATTTTGCTGATAATTTCGAAATTATTTGAATGCATTATTTGTACGCATGTTTTTTTATAGATATGGAAACAATTCAGAAGATACGTAATTATAGGACAAAAATCATTAAAAACAAAGCCGTTGGGTCCGATTTGAGACCAGTAATGGTTTTGAAATCGTATATTTCCAAGCAGACTTAAATACACTAAAAACTTGAACATTATTGTATTCAACAAATTACATTTGATTGGTCGTATACTCTGGAAGTGTGTACAAATAATATTTTCTTTGGCGTACAAAGCAAAACGAAAATTGATAGAGAGAGTCAAACAAAAAAACAAAACAAGTAGGTCATAAGTTTATCCATTCATACGTTGGTGGGTGATCCTATAAACCCAACAAACAATCATACATACTTTGTCCAATTACATAAACTATTGAAATATAAATATTGTTATTATTGACTCGAATTATCTACTGATTTATGAAAACTGCCCACAAATGGAGAAAGTTAGGAGATGAGAGGAGTGTGAAAACAAGAATCTTTAAGGTATATAACGAAGATTTGTTCCGCGTGGAAAAGGCACTAAAAGTGCCACGTCACTCTATTATCTCTTCTACTTGCTTCCCACGTTTCCATCAAGTTTCCGTACATATCTTCTTGTTAGTTGATCCACGCGATCTTTAAACGCGTAGGTTTCACGTGTTTGCTATGTCATGCCTTCGCTGGGATTGTGTTAGATGCTCATCGCTGACGATAGTTTTGAGAGAACATTCTAAAAGAAACTATTTTCTAACAAAACCAAAAACTCTTGTTTTCTAGCTATTCCACTTTCTAGAATACACCTGACCAAATTAGAATTCTAAAAATGAATTTAAAATTAACCAAAAGACCTAAACGAAAAACCAAACCATAGGTTTATACATATACTGGTTGGTTTTAAAATGTTTAAAATTCATAAAAGTGAAACCAAACTAAAACGTATTAACCAATACTTAATTAGAGTTTTATATGTTTTATGATATTGTTCAAAAGAGATGTATTCATATAACATATATTTATAGAATACCAATGGATATTAAAATCATGAATTGATATCCTTATATTATATTTTAGTCAATCAAATAAATATTTCAAACGGAATCAGATCATTCATATATGGAGAAGTATTATATCCCCTTATTATATCTAGAAGGTGTTGATTTTTAATTATTCCGTATAATAATCTAGAAGACGGCTGAGGAAATCACTCTCTGCGCGTGGCTAATACAACAAACTCAGAGAGTTTTATAGTTTTTTTTTGTTGACGTCAACTACTCAAAGAGTTAAGTTTTTGATGTGTATATATCCAAATAAAATATCTTAAAAAAGAAAAAATAATAAATGGTTTCGAGAAAACACGAGGAAGATTCTCATCCAACCGAAACGACTCTTTCGTTTTTATTAGTCTCTTAAGCTACGCGGTGTCGCAAATCGTGACCACATAACCCGCTTCTTCCTTCTTTTACCCCTTATCTTTCCACGTATTTACGTTAATACCACACTCTTCGCTGCCACTTCCTTACCCACCAAGTCACAAGGGTATTATCGTCATTTTCCACACGTCTTTAGTCCACACAAACTCGATATCTATAAATAGTTCCCAAACGGACACAAACACAACACAACTACTATCTCACAAAACTCAAAATAAAAAAAACACAAACCACAAGACAATCATTTTCTAATTGTTTCGTTTTAATCATCATCATCAGAAGAAAAATGGTTGCGAGATCGGAGATTAAGTCGACGGTTGATGTTACTGCGGCGAATTGTTTGATGCTTTTATCAAGAGTTGGACAAGAAAACGTTGACGGTGGAGATCAAAAACGCGTTTTCACATGTAAAACGTGTTTGAAGGAGTTTCATTCGTTTCAAGCCTTAGGAGGTCACCGTGCGAGTCACAAGAAGCCTAACAACGACACCATGTCGTCTGGATTGGTGAAGAAGGTGAAAACTAGTTCGCATCCTTGTCCCATATGTGGAGTGGAGTTTCCGATGGGACAAGCTTTGGGTGGACACATGAGGAGACACAGGAACGAGAGTGGAGCTGCTGGCGGCGGCGCGTTGGTTACACGCGCTTTATTGCCGGAGCCGACGGTGACGACCTTGAAGAAATCTAGCAGTGGGAAGAGAGTGGCTTGTTTGGATCTGAGTCTAGGGATGGTGGACAATTTGAATCTCAAGTTGGAGCTTGGAAGAACAGTTTATTGATTTATTTTATTTTTCTAAAATTTTCTGAATATATTTGTTTCTCTCATTCTTTGAATTTTTCTTAATATTTTAGATTATACATACATCTGCAGATTTAGGAAACTTTCTTTCATAGAGTGTAATCTTTTCTTTCTGTAAAAATATATTTTACTTGTAGCACTGGAGATTTGTTATGAGATTATCTTACTTAGCGAATAATATCTATCAGCTCATTTTGTTTTTTGGCCGACGTGAAAATATCCTTCTCTATTTAATTTTGATTACTTATCAACTATTATGCTGTTATTTTCCCCCATCACGAATAAAAACAACCCGAGTAAAAGATATTTATTTGAATTTGGAACATTAACAAAAAAGAGCTGTTTAGTTGAGCTAATCAATATTAAATTTTGAAGCATGATCAGAAGTGGAATTCTTGAGAGTGTTGTTTGAGATTCTACCCATTGTCAACATTTTCTATCTAAATCAAACAAAAATTTCAATCAAATCATCAATGGATTAAAACAACATGATTGAATACCATTCCCCTATGCTCATGACTCAGTGTCGCCTTTACTCATGTTGCTCTTAAGCTATGCCAATCTTCGAGCAGCGAAGATGCCAAGCTCATTGGTTTCTCCTGTGACCTTGCAAAGGATACCCTACTGCAGTCTTAATCTCTTCCCTACATCAAACACACTCTATACCAAATCAGTATATTCAAGCAGAGGAAAAAGGATATGTCCTAGAGCCAAATCGTTGGAATAGCGTGTTGAATTAGGCTCGCTTGTTAGTTAGTAGAAGTAGTGAATCCAATATCTTTTCTATCCACTCCATTGTTAACTACAATCCAAGTAAAGCATAGCCCACAGTTTCTTTAGCTTCAAATGCATCTTTTATAGTCAAATCTCTAAATCTTTTGTATTCGATTATTAGCCGATAAAAAATCTATTACGTTATCAATTTATTCATTTTAGAGCTCATTAGATGAATCCTTTTCTTGACTTTCATATAATTCGAATATCATATTAGCCTCGACGTTAGAGATCATTAAACCTTGGAAATGAAGTCACCATTTCACATGATAACTAAAATTTAAATTTTAGCATCTTCAGTAATATTGAAGAATATCATCTCTTTATAAATGTTCTGTTTTTGGTTGTGGACAAAAAAGAGTATGTTCTGTTTTTGTTTCATGGTGAAATTGATAGAATTTAAAATAGGAGTGTCAAAAAACAAATTAAAAGAAGAAGTGGGTTCCCACAAACTCTTATGGGAGATGAACGGTCACGATTAGACATCACTCAACACGCGTAAGATAAGCCTCGTGGAACCGTAACATCAGATCATGCCATTTTTGCTTTTTGCTTTACAAAAAAAAAAAATGTCTAGCTGAAGCAAAATTCGGGTGCTTCTCGCGCACCGTATCATCACATCCTTCTCCGTTACTTTCTTCGTCGGCGAAATCACCCTCTTTCTTACCGGCGATCTAGTTTCTGGCGATCAATTAAGGTACCCAATTTTCTGATTTCTCCAAACCTCACTCTTAGGAGTTAGGGCACTCATATTCGTTCAAAATTTTCTCAACTTTCAGAATTTCAACACTCTTTTAGTGAGCGATTAGGTTTCAATTTCTTATTGATAGATCCTTGGGTTGATTTGGCTTCTATTTCTGTGAAAAAAACAGATTTTTTTCAGCTAAAGGTTTAATTTTTCGAATTTCTGGGGAAGGTAGAACGCACTTGCTCAAGGACGAAAAAATGGTACAGTTCTGAACTTTGCTTTAGGGTTTATGTATTCTTTTTAATGGGTTTTAGAATCGCATTCGCATTCACTTCTGATTTTGGGTCGAAATTGTTTGTAGTCATATGAAAGCAAAGGTTTTTGGGTTATGAAGAACAATGAGCATACAAGTGAGGATGATTCAGTGTATGATCATTCAACAAGAGATGATTCAAAGCGTCCTCATCCTTGGTTTGTTGATTCTTCTCGCTCTGAGATGTTCCCAAACAAGAAACAAGCTGTGCAAGATCCAGTTGGAGGATTAGGAAAATCAAATGTAGGTCTTCCTTTGTGGGAAAGCTCATCGGTTTTTCAGTCAGTCTCAAACCAGTTCATGGATCGGCTTCTTGGAGCTGAAATGCCGCCAAGGCCACTTTTGTTTGGTGATAGAGATAGAACGGAAGGTTGTAGCCACCACCACCAGACTAAGAGTATAGCTGAGAGTTATATGGAAGATACATCTGTTGAATTGTCGATATCTAATGGTGTGGAGGTTGCTGGGAGTTCTTTTGGTGGTGATGGAATTAGAAAACTTCCGGTTAGTCGGGTTAAGGAAACTATGAGTACACATGTTGCTTTAGACGGTCATAATCAAAGGAAAATCGAGTCATCTTCTATACAAGCTTGTAGTCGGGAAAACGAAAGTAGCTTTATAAATTTTGAGCTGGCAGGTCATCCTTATGGCAATGAGGACTCTCATGGGATCACATTTGGTGAAATAAACGATGAACATGGTGTTGGCTCTACTTCCAATGTGGTTGGAAACTATCAATCATATGTTCAAGACCCAATTGGAACATTGGATATTGTTTATGGCCAAGAAACTGGGAGTTCACAGACCAGCAGCGGAGTTGTAAGCGAACAACAAGTTGCTAAACCGAGTTTGGAACCTGTTCCAAAGAACAAAGCAGAGGCCAAGTCATCAAAGAAGGAAGCTTCCACAAGCTTTCCTTCAAACGTCAGAAGCTTAATATCAACTGGTATGCTCGACGGCGTCCCTGTGACGTATGTTTCTATCTCACGTGAGGTAAAAACTAAATACCTCAGCTCAACTGTTTTCTTTAAGTTCACCATTTCCCTTAAGCCTTGAAATTTGTAATTGCACTGAAACAATCTAAATTCAGGAGCTTAGAGGAGTCATCAAAGGATCAGGTTATCTCTGCGGATGTCAAACTTGCGATTTCACGAAGGTAAAGTCAACAAAAAAGTTTGCCTTTTCTGGTTGTGGAATACACACCAATTAATACTTTGCTTTGACTCTTAATCATTTAAGGTGCTTAACGCGTATGCATTCGAGAGACACGCTGGATGTAAAACAAAGCATCCAAACAATCATATTTACTTTGAAAACGGGAAGACGATTTATCAGATAGTTCAGGAACTGAGGAACACTCCAGAGAGTATACTGTTTGATGTGATTCAGACTGTATTTGGTTCTCCTATCAACCAGAAAGCATTTCGCATCTGGAAAGGTACAATCTTTTTCTTTTTCTTCATTGATTTGCATTTTGCACTACCTTTTCTATAATGTCCTGTTTTCGATTTCATTCAGAATCATTCCAAGCTGCGACTAGGGAACTTCAGCGAATCTATGGCAAAGAAGAGCGTTCCTTTTGAATGTATAAATGTTTTGTGGAAAATTGTAAGGTTATTAGCATTTTTGCTGGATCTTAATTTTATCAACTGTTTTCTTTTTTGCATAATTGTGTATAAAGGGAAAAGCTTTAAGAAATGATGATGTAACAGAGGATGCAAAATATAAGAAGAGACTTGAAGAGTTATGTGTAAAAGGTTAATAATTCAGCTTCTGTGATATCGAATCTGTCTGAGAACGAACAATTTCTTAAAGATTCTATTACCCTCATGAACAAACTAGAAGAAGTCAAATAAGAACAAATAATCAAAAGAGAAAAAAATACAATAGCACCCCAAGATAAATCTGTTTTTCACTTCACTTCAACTTTAGAGCCTTTTGGGACTGATTAACTTCCACAGCATGCAGACTTCTGTGTGGCCTGTCCGGCTCCAGCCGCCTGGTCTGTTTGGCTGATCTTGATCGTCGCAGGCTGATATGAACCATAAAATTGTGACAAAAATAAATTATTTTTAAGTTCTTTGGACAAATAAATGTGAAGTGAAAGAAGAGCTTAAGGAAAATGTAATAAGTAACTAATAACCTCTGCTCTAGAATCGGTATCAGCGAGTCTCTGCTTTATGTCCTTTGCTATGGAGAAGAAAACTTCTTCCACATTCAGATTCGTTTTGGCACTCTGAGATGTGAAGTGACTTATTAGCTATGTAAGTAAACAAATACAACCATTGTAGTTTAAATTGTTCTCATGAGATCAAAGATTTAGGACAATATTTTGCTTACTGTTTCGAAGAACTTGATTCCATATTCATCAGCAAGAGCTTGACCCTTTGATTTTGGCACAGCCTGAAAAATGTGTCAAGAACCAAAAATGCTATTAGTTTGATAAGTCATGAATAAGGAAGTCTGGTATCGTCTGTGAATGAACATTCTCGTAGTGTAATTACCCTCTTGCTCTCGTCCATGTCAGCTTTGTTCCCTACCAAGATTTTGTTGACATTATCTGAAGCGTGCTGTTCGATATTACGAATCCAGTTTCTAATGTCTGCAATAAGGTCAAGAGAACAGGTCCAGAACAAAGCAGAAATGTAAGACCAAATATGTTAATGTATAGACAGAAGAAAATTTACTGTTGAAGGATGACTCGTCTGTGACATCATACACCAGTAAAATCCCCATAGCTCCTCGGTAATAAGCTGCAACAATGCCAAAGGAAAAAAGTAACTGAACATCAATTCTTCAATCTACTGTTGCAATAAAAGAAGCTTATCAATCCAAACAACCATATATCCCCAACACATCAACTGTACAAAAGCATCAGCCACAAGAGCTAAGAGCATAAAATTGTGACTCTTAATCTTCACTCACCAGTGGTGATGGTTCGAAAACGTTCTTGACCAGCAGTGTCCCAAATCTGGAGCTTGATACGTTTGCCATCAAGCTCAATAGTTCTTATCTTAAAATCAATACTGCATTCAAAAGCCAAAGAGAACAGAACAAACTCAGAGAGAAACAAACATCACAGTCTCTAATATCTCTTTACATAGTTAAAAGAATACAAACCCAATGGTGGTGATGAAGCTAGTAGTGAAAGAACCATCAGAGAACCTTAAAAGCAAACAACTTTTACCCACACCTGCAACAAGTAATTGAGTAAATCCCTAAATCACAGAGATCTAAAACACATTGCTAAACATTTCGTAATGATTCAAAATAAGAAGAGAGGTCGAGAGCATGGAATCAAATTTGCCACACATAGATTCAGTGAATTCAAAATTTATCGATTGTATCGGTTGGATCCGTAAGAAGGAAGACGTACCGCTATCACCGATGAGAAGGAGCTTAATGAGGTAATCGTAATCAGCTCTAGCCCTAGCCGGTGGAGCAGCCATTGAATCTACAACAACAACAAAAAAACTCAGAGATCAAAAACCAAATTACTTTGTTTCATCTGAAGATGAAGGAGATCGAAAATTGAAGAACCTAAAGGAATCAGCGAAGAACGGAGAAGATCAGGAGAAGAATGCGTACCGGATCAAAATGATGCAGAGAAGAGAAGAGAGCTTGTTGGTTATAGTAAATGAGCAGAGAAGAAATGAGAGAGAGCGATGGAAATGGCGGACGGCTAAAATACGCCTGTCCTGATTTAACTTCTCTCCTGCTTCTTCTTCGCGTGCACGATATTACCTCCGGCGTAAGTTAGCAATGTCATAGCCTGATGATGGCCCATAAAGGATGAAGCCTTTTAAGGGCCTTTCTTCTTTTATGACTCCTTGTGGGCCTTTTTCTGATAAACTCGTAAATACTAACAAATCTGATGGACTAACCAGAACTAGACACGTGGTATGAATACTGACAATTCCATTTAACTTTGCGAAGGATGTACAAAATAAAAGTCACAAGTCTAAAGTCATGAAGCATGGAAAAGAAATGGCGGCAACTTGGGTGAAGTATAGATATGCTTATACGCTACTCTTTACCAACAAAGATTTCTAGAACTATAGGGACTTGATGGGGTAAAAAATAGTTTAAACTTTTACAATGAATCAAGTTAAAGTTAAAATACTTTTTTCCGATTCTCTGTAGATTAAATGTATGTGTATCTACAGTATGTGTATGATCAAGGAGAAGATTTAAATGAAGAAAGAGAAGAAACCAAATTTAAAAGAAGCATATCATAACTCTAAAAATAAAACAAAAAATTTGAATATAATGGAGATAGGAAAAGAGAAAGATACACAGTGATATGATAAAATACTTTTAAGAAATTTTCATTGAAAAAGTATTTGAATTGTCAATATCACTTCCTAAACAAAAAAAAAGAAGATTACAAAAACAATTATAAATGATTTATGAAAAAGGAATAAAAAAAACTTCGGTTATATAACTTGTAAACCATTTCTAATATCATCACTACTGCAAAATATTGACGTTATACTAAATAAATATACTCATCTTGATGCTTTTCCAAATGTTCCTCTTAAATTTCACAAGTTTAAGATCTTTTAAATAAGAATTTCAAAAAAAAAAAAAATTAAAAATGAATTTCAGTTTTTCACATTAATATCTAAGCATGGAAACAAAAAAAACCACTGCTAAAGGACTTTAAGTCCCGGAGACCGTGTTACCAAACAAAATATGAAGTTGAATTCATCCCATTTGTCACCCGATTAGACAAAATTCGTCTAATTGTATCTTAACAGTTAAGTACTAACTTAACTTTAATTAAATCGAGACAAAACACACTTCATTATCATTTAATAGGGAATAAGTCGGTGGTCCATCGTTTTGACTTTGATTGACATTCTTAACTTTGAGTTAACATAAATGCATAGCTTTAAACAACCAATACTTTCTAATGGACTGTTTTTCTTCCAACTTGTCTATGGGTTTTTATTTTAGATATTGAATAACTTATTAATTAATTGAAATTTAAGAAAAAGAAATGAGGAGAAAGATGTAGAAGTTCCCATGCCTTTAGATTCCAATTACGTGTGTCACTCTTATTATAGCTTTAACGCGATGGTCGCTCAACGTGAACGACATTGTGCCTTCGTATCTCCCACTAAGAAAAACAATAATCATTTCATGTGTAACTTTTCTTTATTTTATTTTTTTGATATTTATGCATATCTAATTTGATAACAACGACAATAATCTGTAATACAATTATACAACGGCACGCAAACTGCAGAATTAATAGATTCTTTAAAGCAAATTTACCATCTTTGTAACATTTCTGTTAGTAAAATATGATACAGAAGTTTGGAACAGCATTTGGTAGAAGCTAATATCGTCAATTCCAAAGGTATATAAACATTAAACATTAGTCGCCAAATACATTGTAAACTAATTGTTTTTAAACAGTTTACCAGTATATATTGACAATAACATATAATTTAACGGGTTGTGCTAGTGTCGTCGATATATTATCACCCAAATTTAAACTTGCATAATGTACATGTTGTTGACAAAAAAAATTACTAGTTTAAATTTAGTAATTTTTGTATGATAATAATTATATAGAGAACATAAACTCTAGTTAATAGAGTTTTTTTAATAGCTTTGAAAGTTGTTATAATTATATATTCCATAGATGATTTAGTTATGTTTAAATATAAAAATTGAAACATTAGTAAGAAATAGGTATTTGATATATATAGTTTGATTTCACATATTAATATTATTAACTTAATACATGTATAAGATACAATAAGTCATAAACTTATTTTATAGTTTTAAAAAAAAAAAAGACAATACTCACTTTGTACCAATAGATTATAAGATGTTTTAGGCATTTTCTTTATTCAATTTTATTAGATTTTTTCAAGTTTTTATTCACATCTTATACCTTAATAGTTTATGACTATTTGAATTGTGAAGTATTTTTTTCTTTGGTTGAATTTTATAAATGAGAAAATATTTATTATTTCTTAATCTTTATACTTTAGTCAAAAAAAATAATCTTACAAAATAGGACAGATGGACTAGATAACAAGCGTTTCACCTACTGCTATTCCACGATTTTCCTATAAATAACTCTTTTGGTAACCTCATTTTCCTCCCAAGCCATCACTCCTTTTGCATTGTGTGAAAACTTCGAGTTTTTTCTTCATCTTCTCAAAGTAACAAACTTTCTCCAAACAGATTATTAAAAAACAATCAAATCTCATCAAGAACTAAGATGAAGTTTCCGGTTGTACAATTTCTTATTATCTCTCTTCTCCTCACATCTTCTTTGTTCATGCTCTCAACCGCGGATTCGTGTAAGTATACTGTATACACAATGCATTTCATTATTTAGATACTTTTTTTTTTCATTTGAAATTTAGCCTTCTAAATAAATTTGTATTGGGATGATGTATAAATTAGCACCATGCGGCGGAAAATGCAACGTGAGATGTTCAAAGGCAGGGAGACAAGATCGGTGTCTCGAGTATTGCAATATATGTTGCGAGAAGTGTAATTATTGTGTTCCTTCAGGCACTTATGGAAACAAAGATGAGTGCCCTTGTTATCGCGATATGAAGAACTCCAAAGGCACATCCAAATGTCCTTGATTATGTTCTGAAGATTATCCTTATAGACACAATATCCACATTTATATCTAGAAATGTTAAGATTGTGCTTGATGCATATAATAATGAGCTTGATATACATTTTATCTATGAATATGTGAAAGATCTTGACAATGAAATGAAATAAAATGATTTTATGTATTAAAATATATATATGAACTATACATTGTATGTTGCTTTACATGAGCTATAGAAAGATAAATCTAAAACAATCCAATGTACAATAAAATTTTACTAACTTGACAATATCTGATCAGAAACGTTGATTATGATTCTTGAACCATTAAAACCAGGATGGTGCAGTATGTTATGGTCTCAATGTAGCATCTTGTGGCTAGATGATACTTGAACAATTAAAGCAGGATGGTGCAGTATGTGATGGTCACAATGTAGCATCATGTGGTTGGATGATTTCGTAAGAGAAGTGTTTGTGGTCAATGAGGGAAACATAAAAAGCAATTTCTCAACACATGAACTTGGCAGCAAACTAAATGAAGCTCAAGCATTGAAATTGAAACGTCTTGATAGATAGGATTGGCTCAAGAAAAGCAAGTTTTTTTTTGTAGAAAACAGAAATTGAAATTACTGTCTACTTTGCAAGTCTTTAACAACTTTTGCGCAAAACCCAAAACGAACAAAATGGCATATCATCTAAGAAAACAAACAGAAGAACGCATCAAAAACTCTACTACCCTTAAACTTTGAGCTCCATCGAATTCCTCTTCTCACCAAAAAGAGAAGCAAAGTATCACCAACCATAACGATTCTTTTCTTCAAATCTTGATTCAGTAAAAGAAGCCAAGAACCTTGCCACCAACATTCTTTCTCCTGGCTTCTTCGTGGTCCATAATACCAGCCGAAGTCGTAAGAACAATGTATCCAAACTGCAGAATTCAAGAACTCAATGTAAGATCACTGAATAATAAGATTGCTCTTACAGAGAATGAACAAAAGAGATCAAAAACGAACAAGACTAAAAGACAGACCTGTCTAGAAGGAAGAAGACGAGCGGTCCAACCTTCAATCTCCTTAACACCAACATCAAAACGAGGACTGATGACTCCACATTTGTTTAGTCTTCCATTGAGCTCAACCACAATCTTACCCGACCTGTGGTCATCAACGTACTCAAACTCACCAATGTAACCTACAATTTAATCAAAAAATGTTACAACAGTTGATCAAAAACACAAACAAAGGTTCTAACAAATTCAAGCTAAACAATGAAAGATCAACATACCGTGTTTTTGCATGACGATAAGAAACTTGATGATCACTTTAGAAGAAGGCCTGATCATGACTTGCCTCTTCCCTCTCTTCTCAGCATTGTACATACTCTTAAGAGCATCGTTAAGCACACTGATTCTCACCATTTTTCAAAGCTCAAAACCTGAAACCAAATTACCAACAAATCTGAGCTTATTCACACTATCAACGAAAGAGAAATCTCAATGCTTCAAATGCGCAACTATAGTGGCAGATAAATCGAGAATCGACGAACATAACTCTAATATTGAAATGGATACAACAATAACCAAATGGCAATCAACGAAACAAAGAACAATAAGCAAAATTTCAATAGATCTAATCGTATTTTGGACCAAGATACTACTGTCAACCAATGACATCGAGCTCAGACTATGAAACTACGAGATATTTCAGAAAAAAATAACAAGAAAATCTCAACGTCATGATCGAGCAGAAACGAAAACAGATCCGAGAAAGGAAACAGGAATAAAGCTTGAAGTTGTGGAGATATTTCTAACCTTTGGAAATCGAAAATGGCAGCCGCACAAAAACTCTCCAGCAAAAGACGAAGGCACAAAGTTGAACAAGAGAACTAAATACAAGATGCGAATTAGGGTTTTTGCTTTTATTGGGGCGCCTTATGAAACTTTAACTAGACAAGTTAATGGGTCAATAATATTGGGCTTTATTGGGCCTTTCTTAAATCTCGTTAAACATTATCACAGCCTAGATCGTCTATTCAAACGCCGCCGTTTCATCGAAGGTAAGACTCTTACTGGGTTTCACATTTCTTCTTTCACTTGTGTGTTTCAAATTCAGGTTTCTTTCTGGTTGTTGTGATGGCTAAAAGATTCACTACACAACTTTTCGTCAGCAGTATGATATATATCTCAATTATTGTTTAGAAATCTGCTTTTCTCAGTTTTTAAATTTTTATTTTCAATTGCAGGACTCTCTGCTTACACCACAGATCAATCACTGAGGCAACTGTTTGCGCCTTTTGGTCAGATTACAGAAGGTACATTCGCAAAATCTGATTATGTGTCTATGCTCTGATTATATGTCTGAACTAATTGTGTAGTGTGTATGTTACTATTCTTAGCTCGTCTTATTAGGGACCAGCAAACACAGAGACCTAAAGGTTTCGGATTCATTACTTTTGAGTCTGAGGATGATGCACAAAAGGCTTTGAAAGCTTTGAATGGGAAGGTGACACTCCAGTCCCTCACTCACTCTTAAAATGTAGTATTCATTCTTGGCTTTTGATGTGAAATTGAATAGTTCTTGTATCACAAAAATTAGTTTTTTCTCTTAATCATAAACGATTCAGTATTTAACATTGTTGTAATGATATGAGCTCCTTTGAAAATTGGACTAGGTTTTACTGTGGTTGTTTGTTTTCAGATTGTTAATGGCAGATTAATATTTGTGGAAGCAGCAAAGGAAGTGGAACCAATCAACAACAAATCTGAAAAGTAACAAGGCTTGAGGAGGACACACACACAACACACTGTCATTACAAAACGACTAAAGACTCTTTCACCAAATCATTCTCGAGTTCTACATTGTCACAATTCTAAATAGTAAATGCATTTCCTGAGAGATCTGAAGTTTCAATTTGAGTTGAGAAATTGAGAATCATTTCTGATTCTGATATAAACCACTTTTAGGTTGAGCATATTCAACTCTGATGTTTCTTCCTTCTAGTAACTGAACAAAAGACAGAACATAAAGTCAGCAAGAATGTTGACTATGAACAGTCAAGGTTTTGTTAGAATGTCTTTTTTTCTGGATTGGTTTTGTGTACAAACCTGATTGTTCATGGAAGCTAAAGCACTTGCAGCTGCTTCTTCTGAATCAAATAACACAAAGCCATAACCTTTGGATTTCCCGCTCTTGTGATCGCATATTACTTTCACTGAACTTTCACATCCAACAAAAATAAATCAGGAATTGCATTGGTTAATATCCATGGAGGAATTTTGTAGAAGACTAATAATAGCTTTCATGTTGATACGTACCTTCTACAATTTCACCGTACTTTTCAAACTCATTCTTCAAAACAGGTTCATTAGTGTCATAAGATAGCCCTGCAACAAGTTAACACATTCAATGTTCTCTTTCACGCATTTTATCAAACACTTAGAGTGCATTTTTTGTATCAGGGAAATAAACAAAACTGAGCTTTTCTGTTCTACAGTAAACAGATTGTCTTAAACAATTCTAACAACATTCGCATTATTAATGAGACGATATTGAAAGTTAAACAGCGAAATCGAAGAGAGACAAACAAAAATACCTCCGACGAATAATTTAGAACAAGATCCTCGTATTGTTAAATATCGTAATGGAGATGTTATGGAATTACGACGAATAAAGAGAGATGAGAACATATTAGATTTTGCTTCACCTCAAAGAAAAAATTTAGCACGGTGAATAAAAAGGGTGCGTTAATGTCGATGTTAAATTAATTCGCTAAAGACAGTAAGACCAGTGGGCCAAAAGATTAGACGAAGCATATAGATAGATCTTAATCTTATAATTAGGAAATTGGAATTTTAAGAACCTTCTAATTCACCAAACACATAAAAACTAATATTAAAAAGCTTGAAATTTCTACAATCACCAAAGCTCAAACACAAACTACCAACGAAAACATAAATAAAACTAAAATTCTAGAAGATTAAGCTTTCTTTGGAGACTTGACTGGAGATTTGGTCGCCTTTTCTTCGGTTGATTTAGAAGCAGTCTTCTTAGGTAGAAGAACAGAGTTAATGTTAGGCAATACACCACCGTGAGCGATTGTGACTCCACTGAGAAGTTTCCCCAATTCTTCATCGTTCCTTATCGCAAGAAGAAGATGCCTCGGAATGATCCTCGACTTCTTGTTATCTCTCGCAGCGTTACCAGCAAGCTCCAGAACCTGAGAATAAAATATAAAAAAAAAAAAGCGAATCAGAAATTGATTTCGAGATAAAAATCTTACTAAAAATCCAGATCGGAAAACACTTACTTCGGCGGCGAGGTATTCAAGCACGGCGGCCATGTAAACCGGAGCACCACCACCAAGTCGCTGAGCGTATCGTCCTTTCTTCAGGAAACGAGTGATTCTACCAACCGGAAATTGAAGACCGGCTTTGATTGATTTCGAAACCGATTTGGTTTTGGCGCCACCGGGTTTTCTTCCTCCGAAAGCTTTCTTCACTTTTGCGGTGGTTTCCATTGCTACAGTTATCGACAACTGGATCTAGTTGAGTGTTTAAAGAGATTGATTATTATCGGAAGTTGGAAATTTGTGATTTTTCAGTAGGATGTACGCTTTGATATTTATAGGTGAATGGAAAAAAGAAGGGAGAGGATTATTGTCCGTTGGATTTATTTTATCGACGGTGGATGTTAAAATAAAGCGCGATCCGCGTGACTATATATTAGCCAATCAGAAAGATGTATATTTTTGAAACGGCGCCAGTTTTTTCGATAGCATTTTGAAAGTTTAGCGCTTTTTTTTATTGGATAATTAACAAGTTACACTAATTTTTGGTGACTAATGTTAGATAAATTATACTTTAATTCTATGTTAAAAATCGGGATTATTGTGTTCGTTGTGTAAAAAGATATTCATCAACCGGATGTTGTAAAAATTTTTGGATGTACATTACCTTTTAGCCATCTTGGAATTTTTAACATTTTTTATATCAAACAAAATTTTAGTTATGCTTCTCAAGATATTGCGACAGTCTAATTCAAGAACAATTGCAGGCTTTCGAAGCTAGGAAAACTTATTTGTTTATAAAAATATTTCAAGGCTCTAATTCAAAGTGAAATAGCGTTTGCGTTTTTTCTATGACACGGTAGTCGTAACTCGTAAATTACTAAATTTAATGATCATAACGGTTTCTGGAAATTATAAAAAAACTTTAATTATTCTTCTAAAGATAGTGAAGCCTTTTTTCGTCTAATTTTGAAGCCCTATTGTGAGGTGACATTGACAAGTGAGTCCTTCTAATCAAAATAAAACAATCAAATAGCCTAAGAGAACATGAAACCGTAGAGATTATAGGCTAGACTCATTCATTTACAATAAACAACTATGTCACGCTGTGTACAGCAGTAGTAATTAAGTTGTTTCAGTAGCATTGCGCTAAGCAGTAGATTTGAAACAGTGGACGAGATTGTAAAAACATTTGATTGTTACTTAGGGAAACATAAAGATCTAAAACAACTTTGGAAACAAAATACATAGAACCTACATAGATTAAATGCTCGACTTTTTTATCATATACATTCACACAGATTACCAAACATAAACATAAAAAACTGGTGAATGAGATTTAACTTCAAGATAAATTAAGCTTTCTTGGGAGATTTTGCTGGTGATTTGGTAGCTTTTTCTTCGGTTGATTTAGAAGCAGTCTTCTTAGGCAAAAGAACAGAGTTTATATTTGGCAAAACACCACCATGAGCAATTGTGACTCCACTGAGAAGCTTTCCCAATTCTTCATCGTTCCTTATCGCAAGAAGAAGATGCCTCGGAATAATTCTTGTCTTCTTATTGTCTCTCGCAGCGTTACCAGCTAGCTCAAGAACCTGAAAATAAAAAAATTCGAATCAGAAAATTGATTTCTCGAGAATAATTTACTTTCTAAGTTTCCAGATCTGGAATTATTTACTTCAGCGGCGAGGTATTCGAGAACAGCGGCCATGTAAACCGGAGCACCACCACCAAGTCTTTGAGCGTATCGTCCTTTCTTCAGGAAACGAGTGATTCTACCAACCGGGAATTGGAGACCGGCTTTGATTGATTTCGAAACCGATTTGGTTTTTGGACCACCGGGTTTTCTTCCTCCGAAAGCTTTTTTCACTTTTGTGGTGGTTTCCATTTCTCAAAAGGAAGATTAAATTTCACTAATAGGATGATTATAGAGTGTTGTAGGAGATTTTGAGATTTGTAATATATTCGTTCGCGGTCCTTCGTGTCATTTATAGGTAAAGGGGACAAAAGAACAGAGAGCGATTTTTATCCGTTGGATTTAGTTTTATCGACGGTTCACGATGAATAAAGCGCGATCCTCGTCTTGATCGATTAGCCAATCAGAAAATGGAGTATTTTTTCGAAACGGCGCTTTTTTTTTTTGTCTTCATCTTGAAAAGTTTGCCCTCCTGTATGATCTCATTAATTACTTTGGTTGGTTTTGGAGATTAAATTTTGCAATTTGCACTGAATTAGTCAATCAGATTGATAAGTGAAAACAAATATGTAGTACCTTTTATTAAATTTTTGCTGGTTAGTTTTACATGTTCATTACGTTATTGAAGTTATAACAATGTTAGATAGTTGTTAATCAACCATCCAACAGTGTTTTGTTTTATGAGCGGAATTATTAACTATCCTCTTTTAAGATGAAAATCCATTCATATGATATGATATTAGTCTTTAATTAATTTGACTCTTTGTTGAACTGAATTGGTTATATATGTTGCCGAACACAAAGTGAGATTTGATTTAAAATGGATTAGAAGAGTTATCATCTTAAAAACGTGTTAAAAGTTAAACATCACAATAAACTAATATGAAGTTCGTGAACATTATTAACCTTTGTTTCCGTTTATGAAAATGATTATCAAGTCTCATACTTATTAAAAGCGCTACTAGAAAACAAGTGTTACATTTTCAATGAATATCGACTTCTGAAAATAGTCTAAAGATAGCAACTCTAATGTGAAATTCCTACATGCCCTTCAAGAGAATAATTATTTGGTTCATTTATCTCAGAGTCTCAAATCAAATCTTCCTTTCCTGTTCGATCAATTGTATATGTTTGGTTTTAGTGAGATGTGATATCATGTAAAGAATTACGCAATTCAACTAAAAAAAAAAAAGATAGATTGGCTCATGTCCATAAATAATATAGTGTTGGACTTGGAATTCTTGACACTATTTATAACCTACATGTTTGTTTTTAAATATAACGCCTATTATGATTTGAAATCTGATTCATCATATATTATTAAATTGTTTTTTGTTAGTTACTGTATGTTTTGGCTGTTGTTTTTTCCTTTTCGTGAAGAATCAACACAGTATATTTAGTTGAGTAAGTAAATCATTGAACCGGTCAATGCTACAAGAATATCGAATTCTAAAAAGAGATCTGGTGTTGATAATATTTTGTGCTAATGGAAGGCCAAATTATCATGAGAGGTCGACAATGAAGAAAGTCATTTTGTGGAACTATAATGCTCACGTAATGTCATTTATTGTTTAAGAAATGTCTAAAGCGTTTGGAATACCAAATGGTTATGTGATCTTGTGTTATCGAGAATCTCAAATCTCCAAGGAAGTAGGCTTTGGTTCAATCAAATAATAACACACGTCAATCTTGATCCTATTGAAACAATGTTTTGACAAAAGCTTATAGTAGAGAAATAGGCAAATATGATCAATCAACTAAAAGCCCTTTAACAAAAAAAGAATCAATCAACTAAGATATACCCGAAAGAAATATTTTTGGCTCTTGTAAAAGAACATGGCCTGGAACTCGAACAACTGTCTGAAACTATTCCAAAGAGTCATATTTCGATAACTAACTAACGGTCAAACACCTACAAATTTTGGACATCTTTTTAGATATATATACCGAGTTTGTGTAGAAACATGTTGTTTCTCCTAATCATACGTTACCGGAAACATTAACGCGGTTTGCTTTATACAACTTTGAAACATTTGCTAATTCGTTGATATTAGTTTTAGCTTATATATATTCTTATTTAATTTAGTAAGGAATCAACACAAATGCTTAGCGCATGGAAGCATCATTGCACATTTGTGTGAAATAATAGACTAATTCCGGAAAATCATAGTCGAAGTCGAATTTCTAAATTCCACGTGGCAGATATATGAATGGAATATTCCAGCTCGTCTCAGCTGGCCTCCATCACCGGTTATGATGAAAGTTGAGCCGAAAGTGGAGCCAACCTGAGATGCCCCGCATGAGAGCCATATGCTTCTTCGACCTTTCATTCTATATTCTTTCCTTTTAAAGATAGGAACTAGTATAGTCTTCTTCTTCTTCTTTTTTTTATTCTTATTTTTTTTTTTAATGAGTGGTTAAACAGATTTTTTCTTCCTATGATATTAGTAACTTTGAAGTTTCTTTAGACATTTTAAGAATGATTATACAAGACAATTTGTTTTTTTTTTTATATTGATATGTATGTCAACTTTTTTTTGTGAAACACTAGGTTGGCAACTTGGCATAGATATCAACATCACAGTTTTGAACATATCTATCATCTTTTAATAAATGATATAAAATAAAGTATTTTCTTATTTTATTATAAATCAAGTAATATTAAATAAGAATTGTATATTTAGTATAGTTTTCATGGAAACCATAGTAGAATACATCAGAAGTTTAAAATAAAAAGCAAATATATGGATTAAAAAACATAATTATTCGAAAAAATAGAATACTTTTTTTGTTTTGTTTTGCATAATTAATTGTTCAACAAATTGTTATAGATTTGACATATGTATATTGCATATTTTTTGTTATATTTTGTTTGGCATAAAATAAAGTAAAAATCTTTATTCAATTATTACAATAAGTTAAAATATTTATTCAGTTATGACATCATAGTTCCATGTAAATATGTTTGCTAATATGCAAGACATACAAAAAAAAAAAAAAAAAAAAATTTCACACATTCTTACATGCATTTGAGTTATTTCATAGAGTAGTGACCATAATATTATGAATTTTTTTTAAGGATTTAGATTGTTGAAGATACGATTTGTTAATTAAATCTAGATTTTACTTTTAAAAATAATTAATGATTTATGAAATATTATTATGCTTTATTTTTATTTTATGGTCTATAATAAATAAAGCAAATTAAAACGCTCACACATGTTTGCTTATTCGGACTAGAGCTTCCGCATAAAGCTGAGGAAAAGAAAGAGAGAAGACGCACACCGAAGAAAAACACAAGACTCCATTATTCTCCTTCTTCTTCTTCGTCTCTTCAATAATTTTCTCTGAGACTAGCTTTGATTCAGCCATGGTGAGCTCAATTTTAACTTTTTTCTCTTGTTTATCTCTCTTTCTCTGTTCTCTCTTGGTTGATTTGAACTGCGCTTCTCGGTTCGAGTTCCATTTCGTCTTAGATTTTCAATTCCTCCGATTTTAGCTCTCGCCTAAAGTTATATATGATTAGATCTGGAGCTGGACTCGTTTGTTGGTTTAGATCTCTGAGATTTTGGATTTGTATGGTTAGATGGACTGATCGATCTAGGATATGAATCGGAACGATAATAAACTCTTCAATTTCAGTGTCCTTGTTTTGGTTAAGCCAAATTGATTTTGAAATCAGGAGAAATCTGGTTCTTCCATTTGTTTTTCCTTTGAATTTCATTTGGATTTAGGGTTACGTCTATCGTTTCCTGTATTAAAATTTGTTTACTCGCTTCTTTGGATTACTATTGCTGCTGTTGAAGTGTAGATTGTTCATTTCAGATGTGTTTTTGATTCTGTTGATGGAAGATATCATTAGATTCCCGTCAAATTGATACTATGATAGCTCTTACATCATCTTTCATATATGTTGTGGAAGTTACCTACGTCTTCCTTTTGATATAAACACTACCAAGATCTGTTCATGATTCATTTACATGTTACTAGAGATGTTTGGTTTCATAACTAATGTATAACCCGAAACACCGTTTTGAGAAATGGGTGTAGTGTCTACTAGTTTGTGTGTGTTTTGAAGAGAGTTGTATCTTAATGTTCTTTGTTTTGTTGGTAAACAGGCTAATGCAGCATCAGGAATGGCAGTCCATGATGACTGCAAGCTGAAATTTATGGAGCTGAAGACGAAAAGGACATATCGTTTCATCGTTTACAAGATTGAGGAGCAGCAGAAACAAGTGGTTGTTGAGAAAATCGGTGAACCTGCTGAAACCCATGAGGCCCTTGCAGCAAGTCTTCCAGCTGATGAATGCCGCTATGCCGTTTTTGATTTTGATTTTCTCACTGCAGAGGATGTCCCAAAGAGCCGGATTTTCTTTGTCGCATGGTAATTAACTAACTACTATCTCTGCTAAAACCTGTCTATCTTGGTCTTACCTCTTATTTTCATTAACATCTCTTGTTGTTTTTTTTGCCAAGGTCTCCGGACACAGCAAAAGTGAGAAGCAAGATGATCTATGCGAGCTCTAAGGACAGGTTCAAGAGAGAACTAGACGGAATTCAGATCGAGCTTCAGGCAACCGATCCAACCGAGATGGATCTTGATGTTTTCAAAAGCCGAGCCACTTGATGAAGAATTCCCCTGAAAATCTCGATTGAATCAAACTTTTTCGTACTATTACTCAGTGATGCTTTTTCTTGAAGTTTGCTGTGACGGTACCAACCTAAACAGCTTCATTTTATTATCGGTCTTTGGTCTTTGTCTTCGGTCTCTTTTTTTTGTGTCCTTATAGTGTTGTCTTAAAACTTAAGGAATCTGGCTTGTGCTCTTTTACCATTGTGGAAGAAACTCGAACCCTTTATTAAACAAGAATCCTATTGGCACCATCTTCTCTTCTCTTCGTCTTCACATATTTTATGAAACTAGTGATCCAGGGATTACAACATTGCGACGGATTAGGATAGTCCCAATAACGAGAAGATTTGCTCAATCGAGTTTGGTCCAACAAGATAAACTGACCTCAAAACATAAAAATCCTAATTGACACTTTTGATATTTGTTTGGAAACAGATCCAACAATTGGCAGTTGTCCATTGCTCTGTCTACGCAAGCTCTAAACAGTCAAAATCATGAAGACTTTGTCAGAAATATATCTTAGTCCACAATATATATACATCAAGTTTTTAGAGTGAACCAAATCCAACATATGTCAATGAAACAAAATACTAGTAATCAATCAATAATTTAATTATACTCTCTATTTGGATTGCTTAATATTTGCTTGTATATATAGTTAGATGATTATTATATGTTGACCAAAAACAATAATAATATGCTTACCATATAGTTATTTAATTTATTCAAAAATAAATTGAAGAATAATACGAAGAAAATAAATAAATACAAAAAGCAGGTTCTCTCTATATATTCGGAATTTAGCTTCCAAATAACGCAGAAGAAAGTAAAGAGAAGAAGCAAAAGAGTCATATTCGTTGAAAACATCATTCATTCTTCTCTGCGTCTCCTTTCACCGGAAATTGTCTCTAACTTCGTTTTGATTCAGCCATGGTGATACTACATTTTCACTTCTTCTTTGTTCTCTTATTGTTTGTTTCCAGTTCTTCAATTTTTAAGCTCGCTTTTAGAATTTTTGATTTCGTCTCGGATTTTTGAATAACGATTTTGGCTCACTAGATCTGGGAGATGGATTTGTTTTCTCCGATTAGATCTTTGATAATTTTTTTTGTTTATGTGATCGGAGTTACTGATCCAGTTGTACTTCGTTAGTTAGAATCGAAATCATGAAGAATCTGCTACTTTTGTGTGTGTTTTCGCTTGAAGTTTCTTAAATTATTGAACGTTTCTACGATGATATTCGTTTGTTTGATCCATCAGGCTTGTTGTATGTTGATATCGATACCTCTACAGTTGCAATTGAAGTCTAGATCGTTGCTAGAGATGTATTAACGAGTTTATGTGTTGAGCTATTCTAGTTTTAGAGGTTTCAGGAAATCTCTAAGACTCTTAAATAAGAGATTCTTGGTTTTAGCATTGTGTGGATTCAATTGTAGCCTAGCTTTGTGGGATCTGGAATGTGAATCTTAGTGCTTTTGTTGTTTGATTGAAAAACAGGCTAATGCAGCGTCGGGAATGGCAGTCCATGATGACTGCAAGCTAAGATTTCTGGAACTGAAGGCGAAAAGGACACACCGTTTCATTGTCTACAAGATCGAGGAGAAGCAGAAGCAAGTGATTGTTGAGAAAGTTGGTGAACCTATTCTAACTTACGAGGACTTTGCAGCAAGTCTTCCAGCTGAGGAATGCCGATACGCCATTTATGATTTCGACTTTGTCACTGCGGAGAATTGCCAGAAGAGCAAGATTTTCTTCATTGCATGGTAAAATAATTTCATGTTTCTCCCATTCTTATTATCTGCTTAAATCATGTAAACTCATTTCTCCATTCTTACCTTGTTGTTTTTGCCAAAGGTGTCCCGACGTAGCAAAAGTGAGAAGCAAGATGATCTATGCGAGCTCCAAGGACAGGTTCAAGCGTGAACTTGATGGAATTCAAGTGGAGCTTCAGGCAACCGATCCAACTGAGATGGATCTTGATGTTTTGAAAAGCCGCGTCAACTAAAAGAAACTTTCTTTGAATAAGCTTTCGATTATATTCGACTATTCTGAAATGGTGTGTTCTATTCTCTTACAGTTTCTTGTGACTGTTAGAAACACCTAACACCCTTCATTCTATCTGTCTGGTCTGTTTTCTGTGTCTATGTTACCTTACAGTGTCTCATCTAAATTCAAAATTATCGCAAGGTTTGTGCTGTGTTTGCTTCCTTTGTTTCAACTATACCAAAGCTTAAGATTAAGATTTGTGTAAGATGATTCCTTTAAGCTTCCCTTTGTTCTCTTTGTGGAAATAAAAAATGCAAAAAGTACAGTATATACCTTTCTGAAATCTAGACCAAACAAATTATTTCCTATCTATTGAGACTTGGGATGTCAAAGAATGTTTCAACTTATACAATTAGAAAAAGGGGTCAGGATTTGGAACTAGAGTCATTCGAAATAGTTGTTTCACTGGTTTCGGTGTTAGGTTTCAAGCCTTGTCTCAACATCTCATTCCTCAACTCGGTCGCCTTCCCCATTTCTCCTGCCACACAACAACCATGTATTAGGGTGTTATACGCTACTCTATCTGGCCTTATGCCTTTTTCGGTCATCGAGTTCCATAACTCAATCGCTTTCTTCACATCGTTCCTCCTACAAAGCTCACTGATCATTGTTGTGTAGGTTATACAATCCGGCGAAACACCATCGCCTATCATCCTTGTTATGAGCTCAGAAGCTTCTTCCATTCTCCCTTGTCTACAAAAACCACGGATCAACATATTGTATGTAGCAGTGTTTGCCAAAAGCCCTTTCAATATTGCATTATGGAGCTCCACAGCTTTCTTCATGTCTCCTTCTCCTTTGGTGAGGATGTCGAGAAAACAACCGTATGTTACTTGGTTAGGAACCGAATTGCCAGGCCGCATTTTCGAACAAAGAATCTCGGCTTCATTAACAAATCCGGCTTTGCATAATCCGTTGATAACAGCAGTGTAAGTGACTTCATTAGGTACACACCCTTCGTTTATCATCAAATCCCATATCCCAAATGCTTCCTTGAAATCTCCGGTTTTGCTCTTTGCATCAATCATACTTGTATAAATCACATCATCAGGCTTGAGTCCTCTATCATGCATCTCCTTTAAAAGTCCAAGAAACACCTTTCGATCTTTGTGCTTTAAACTTCCATCTATAAGAACACCATAGCACACAAGGTCCAAATCCACCCCTCTTAGTCCCATATCCTGACAAACGCTTAATGCCTCCTCTAATTTTCCTTCTCTGCAAAATCCGTGTAAGAGCCCGGTATAACATATCTCATTCAGCTCACAATTTCCCTTGTGAAGGCCATCCACGAACACTTTGGCTTCCGAAGCTTGACCTGTGAGACATAGCCCGTGTATCAACGGTCTATAACTGTATGTATCAGGCACAATACCTTTCTCGATCATCTCATTCAGGAACTCAAAGGCTTTAGACATGTCTCCTTCCTCGCAATAACCTTCAATCATGACATTATAAGTCACTCTGTTTGGCTTAACATTCCATTCCGCCATCTCGTTAAACAGCTTTACTGCATCACGAATGAACCCAGCACGGAATAGACCCGATAAAAGCGTGGTGAATGTATAGATACTCGGCGCAATACCCTTCCCTGTCATCTCATGATAGAGCCTAAGGGCCTTGTTTATTTTACCTTTGCTGCAATATCCACCCATTAATGATGTGTATGTTACCACTGTTGGCTCCAACTTTTTATTAATCATCTCGGCCATGAAACTCTCTGCTGCACTAATGTCACCAAACTTGCAGTGCCCGTTTATCAAAGAATTGTATGGATATACACTAGGTTTCAAACCCATATCAATCATTTCCCCCAGGAAACTAAGTGCAGTATCCAGTTTTCCTCTTCTGCAAAACATATCTATCAAAATTGAATAGGTCACATCATTCGGACACAACCCAATTTTCCCCATCCTATCAAATAGCAACTCAGCTTCATCAAAATTTCTACCTTTGCACAATGAGTCAATCAATGCGTTATACACAAATAGATTAGGTGACACACCAAATTCTGCTACTCTTTTAACCAAGTTAAGCGCCTCTTCAATCTTTCCCCTCTTCCTTAATCCCTCTACCAAACTTGAAACCGCAGCTTCACTAGGACTGAACCTCAAACGTAACATTTCATCTATCATCTCCAATCCGACCTCAAATTCTTGCACTTTACATAACCCGCAGACTAATGTACAATATGTCACAACATCTGGTTTCAGATCTTTTCCGGCTAAATCCTTCTTTATCCCAACAGCCTCCCAAACCTTCTGCTTCTTACAAAGCCCATCTATCAACACATTATATGGAACTATATTCACATCACATCCTGTTGCCTCCATATGACCAATCATTTCTTTAGCTCGAGAGAGATCTTTCAACTCACACAAGCTACGTATAACTCCTGTGTAAATGTATACATCAGGACGAATCCCCACACTGATCATATCGTCAAACAACTCCATTGCCAAACCAAAATGCCTAAACTTAACCAATCCATGTAAAAGAGCACTCAAAGTTCTCACTTCAGGTAGTAAACTAACTTTCGTCATCATCATCTGAAACACCAAAACCCCATCTAAAGCTCTCCTACTTCGTACATAATGCTGTATCAACAAATCAAAACTCGAGCTTGAACTAAGCTTACATTTTTCATAACAACTAAAAAGGACATCAAAAACCTCACTTGGCTTCAGCGCACGAAGCAGAAGCGTCTGCAACAGTGATGAAGCAGGCCAGAAGAGATTAGCTTGGACTAGAGCGTGAATCAAGATACAAAACGACGCCGTAGAGTGGTCGAATCCACGATGCAAACCGAGGAAATTGAAAAACCTCAAACCCAATTTGGGATCATCAATGGTTCCGATTAAAATCTCTTCAACATGACCAGTCTTCAATCTTCTCAAGACTAGCTCATTGCTCAATGCGATCTCCCAGCTCCGTTTCCCTCGCACGATTCTTCTGACGGAATCAACAAATTGCTTATCTTCAGCGATTCTACATTCTTCTTGAGCAGAATCGAACACAGAGCTTACATTTCTAAAGCTAAGACGAAAATGAGAGCTTGATAATGATCGAATCGTGCAAAGGAGCTTCATGAAAGAGGTCCACCGTAAAAATCAGAACCAGCATTTGTCGGGACTGTGTTACAAACAACGAACCGATATCTGGGAACCCGCCCGGGTCGGGTCTCACCATCACCAATTCCAAATGGGCCTAAAAATGGGCTTTTCAGAATACATGGGCCAGTTGAGAAAGTTTAGAGAATGGCGGGGGCGGGAAAGGAATATTTCACGAGGAGCCTAAAATGCGCCAAACTGGACACGTCAGCAGTCCTTGCCACCAAGAGTATCCAATAGAACCGTCACGTGTAAGAGCTTTCCTTCTTTTAAAGATTCCTTTCCAACCGTCGATATGTTTACATGAAAAAGCAAATCTAACGGTTCAGATATCGATCCGCGTCAATCTATTTCATCCAATCATATCACTCCATAGGATCTATATAAAAGCAATCTCTCATTTTTTCTAGGTTATCAAGCAATCCAAAGCCATTTAACCTACTCAATCTCAGATCTCGTTAAACCTAGAAACCTCGAGAAACCGAATCAATGGCGCCGAAAGCAGAGAAGAAGCCCGCTGAGAAGAAACCAGCCTCAGAGAAGCCGGTGGAGGAGAAATCAAAAGCCGAGAAAGCTCCGGCGGAGAAGAAACCAAAGGCCGGAAAGAAACTCCCGAAGGAGGCTGGTGCTGTAGGTGACAAGAAGAAAAAGATGAAGAAGAAGAGTATCGAGACTTACAAGATCTACATCTTCAAGGTGCTTAAGCAAGTCCATCCCGATATCGGAATCTCAAGCAAAGCGATGGGGATCATGAACAGTTTCATCAACGATATCTTCGAGAAATTGGCACAAGAGGCGTCGAAGCTTGCGAGGTACAATAAGAAACCTACCATTACTTCTCGGGAGATTCAGACTGCTGTGAGATTGGTGCTTCCTGGAGAGTTGGCGAAGCATGCCGTTTCTGAGGGGACGAAGGCCGTCACGAAATTCACCAGCTCTTGAATAATTGAGTTAGGGTTTTTCTCTCTTATCATCTGGATGTTGCTGCTTTAGGGTTTATGGAATTTGGGAGAACGGAATTAGGGTTGTTAGATTGTCCTTTAAGAATCTGTTTCGTTTTCAATTTTTACGTTTTGTAAGTACTGCTGCTGCTATTGATATGTTTGGAATCTATATTTGCTCTTTGTGTCCCAATTCTATCGTATTTAGAGTTGCTATTTGTTTTACTCAGTTTCAATCTATGCCTTTAATAGATTACATTGTGATATAGCAAGTGCGCAATGAATAGTGATCATAACATGAATTGTATGTGGTATATGATCTTATGTTATCGTATTGTTGATAGCTTAGTTTCAGTAGCTGAGATTTTTTTTCAGTAGCTGAGAGTTGTTTGTGTTAGACATGCTAGAATATTCTAAAGCTTTAATACTCGTTTAGTTTATAAAGCTGTGTTTCATGTTGTGAACTATAATTACATTGTTGTTGCTAGTCTCATGCTTGATTTGTTCTTAGTTTTGGCCTTGATTTTGTAACTAGTTTGTGATGTGAAATGGAGTAGGATCTGACATTGTAAGTTGTCTCTTTTCATGTTTCAATCTCTATTAATTGTCAGTTCTCTCTTAGCCTCTTCCGTTCTTACGATTTCTTCATCTTTTTTGATCGTGTTCCTTTCTGATCTTCATCACTTTCTCTTCTCAAGCTTATTTCCATTTTACCAATTTGTTTCTATGTAAGATTTGTTTGAGATATGTCCCCATTTTTGAAGCTTCCATGTGCACTCTAATGTAAGGTAATCTCTTTGTGTAGAGCAGTGTTAATGACCATAAATATATCAGCATTGGATTTGATTATGTTTTCTGCATCAGTCAATCCACCACTTATCAGTTCCCAATTCAGTTTCGATGCTCTATTTTTGTTTTAGATCAGCTCCTTTACAAAGGATGAAAAAATCCGTTTGATTTGCCATTGAATGTGTTCACTTATGGAATTGGTTTATCAATAATCCTCAAAAATAAAACATTTCACAAGTAATGCAATCATTACTTGAAACTTCAAGATTTGCATCATTGGCAATCAAAGACTCACCCAATGCACAGAGACAGGGGAATCTACGCAAACATGTCATTCATAGGATCAAAGACTAGGCTTAAAGAGATAAATCCTACCAGAAGTAGCAAGTTCTTGGAGATGGAACAAACATCTCTTTCAAACAAACCAAAAGTTGATGAATATACGTAATGTCAAATAAATCAGACATAACACAAAGAGGTTACAACATATGCTTACAAGCAAGAAAAACTCTACTTGCGCTCTAGCTCTCTTTGCTTTGGCTTTAGCTTCTTTGCTTCACGTTTAGCTGTGTAAGCTTTGAGCCTTTGACCATCATCTTCTTCGAAAGCTCTGGTCTACCATGTCCAAATTCCAACTGCCCAGTCTCCTAAACTTTAAAGCCATGGTAAAGCTTAACTTTAAAGAACACAACTTTTCGAATATATAGATTTGAGTTGTAAAAGCAATTGACGGTCAAAATATCATCAGCTGATTTTCAACGGTTCAGATTAAAATTAGAAAGTTTCCTTTAGATATCAAGCTCAACCAAAATTATTAAACCCGTTTATGGTTTGAGGCCCATATGAAGCATATTAGGTCCATTGGTCCATATCATATCTAACGATAATTAATTTTGTCAACTATATTGATTTTACTCAATGTTTCTTTTCTTTTTTTTGATAAACCCTACTCAATGTTTCTTGACTAATCATTTTTTCAAAAACTAATAAACTAATTATAGGTTTTTGTGTCATGGCAACTCTCAGCCTGGATAACTTGAGATTCGCATCATCAAATTATTAGGAATTACTTAAAGACTAAAGACTCTTAGCTGTTTTGAATTTTAAATTTTGAAGGAATGATTCAAATCGAGACAAGAGGAGACTTTCATTTATGAACCATGTGGCACGTCTTTGACAAATAGTAAATCATATAAGAATTAACATGTGGAAAATTGTATAAGTTCAACTAACATCTGAGTAGTATATATATATAAAAAAAAGACTTTTCACAGTCCATACTAATTATTATTGTTAAATATTTTTTTTTAATTGTTTGATCAAATATTATTACTGCACTAAACATCTAAACACCATTTTTACATTCATTCCGGAAATCATTACTTTCTAAATTCTCTTAACACTCGTGCATCCACATCAATCCACCATTTTCTTCTATGAATATTTCCAAATTCGAATTTGACTTATCGAATTATGGTGGTGATATTAATAAAAACTAGCATGTTACAAAGAACTAAAAAGTTCTGAGTCATAAATTATGACATTTTTACATAAGTCATTTGACTAATCATTAATTAATCAATAAAACATACAATAACTATTATAGGTTTTTTAGTTTCATGACAACTTGCAGCCTTAACAATTCGTGATTCGCATCAAATTAGTAGAATATGATTCGAAGTCTAAATCTCTTAGCTGTTTACATGTGGCCTTTTTTAAAAAAATATTTAAATTTTAGAATCATCCAAATCGAGGCAAAGACGCCGACGACTCACGTGAGTGTTTAAGTTCAAGTGAATGAGCCTGTGGAACATTTGTTTAAGTTCAAGTGTTCAACTATTTGAGTAGTTCTTTATCAAAAAAAAACTATTTGAGTAGTTAAAAAGAAGAGAAAGACTTTCGACAATCCATAATTAATTTTATTATTATTAAATTCTGGTTAATATTACGTAAATTGCAATAATGTCTACGAATTTTTTTTAATATCCTTTCAGCCCAAGCTCCTGAATGAAACAATATTGACCTTACGTTAAACTGACGATAACACAACGTATTCTTTTAGACTATGGGGTGATTCAATATAGTCCAAATGAAAGTGTATAATCGCCGGATATTCCAAACCAGTAGAAATCAGCGCAACGATAAAACTATAATTCATCCACTAGAAACTACGTACGAACCAACAACTATATAACTCTATAACTAATATGATTGATCTGAGAAAATGAAAGGCGAATGGAAAAGAAAAAGAAGAGTTTATGATTTAAACCACAAATCTCTAGATGCATAGGTTATTTAGGCAGTTTTATCATAAAACTTTTATGTGTTTGGAGTTTTGGAAAAAAAGAAAAAGTGATATTACAAAGTTTAATTGACGTGCGTTGATGGAAAAACTTGTTGATGTTAGTTTCTTTTATAAAAAAAGAAGGGTGTGGTTTGTTTATTTAAGATAGGTGATGGTCCCTTTTGCAAATAACTCTTGACACTTGCTATTATTTTGGGATTATACAGGCATATATATATATATATATATATATCAACGTGTTCACTTGGAGATCTCAATCTAACAAAATAACAAACCTCTTTGATTCGTTCACTTGTATCCGATCAAAAAAATGGCTACAACAGCAGTAAACCTACCAATTCATGAGCATCCTCTTTTTCCTTCAGCTCGATGTATGCAAGGTGAATGTGATGGCTGCCATGTAAATGGTCTCATGTACAGTGGCTACTTTTGCAATGAACCTTACTGTTATGTTTGGTTCCATAAGGAGTGCGCCGAGGCCCCCGCGGAGATCAACCATAGTTCCCACCCACAACATCCTCTCCTGCTCACCAATGATTTGAGAGATGGTCCATGTGATTTGTGTGGACAAAAGCTATCGCCTCCCTGTTATAGTTGTTCCACATGTGAGTTCAAGGTGGATTTGACTTGTGGGATGAAACCATCACCGCCTGCTATCGAACATCCGCTTTGTCATGACCATCCAGTCGTCTTCTTGAAGATACGAGAGGAGAAGGTTTCTTGTGTATTATGCAAGGAGTCTATTGAAGGTCCATCCTATTCATGTCTTGAATGCGATGTGTACTTCCACGTGGATTGCGTCCATCTCTCCAAAGAGGTAAATCATCCTTGTCATTCTATTCATCCTCTCAAGTTAATCGCATCGGAGTCACTTACGTATAATGTCGAGAAAAGCTGCCTTTTATGTGGAAATATACCAGCTGAAAATCTACTTTATCATTGTTCCATTTGCAATTTCACATCGTGCCTTGGTTGTACCAAAAACCCACCACCCCTTGTTATTGAGCATATCAAGACCCACAAACACCCACTTACTATCATTCCTAGAAAAATCACATGTTTTTGTGACATTTGTGGGGACGAAAGCTGGCTTGGGTTGTATGCATGTCTTCAGTGTGATTTTTTTACCGAAAGTGCGTGTATCGACAGCCCCCGTGTCATCAATATCAATCGTCATGATCATCGCATTTATTTAACTCATCATCTCGGCACTGGGTATTCGAAATGCAGAGTTTGTCGCACACATGTAAATCAGTACAAGGGGGCTTATTCTTGCTCTACTTGCCCTAACTATGCAGTTCATACTACATGTGCGATGAGATGGGACATATGGGATGGCGTAGAATTGGAAGGGATTCCTGAGATCATAGAAGACATTTCACCATTCAAGGTGGTGGGTGATAACTTGATATGCCATTTTAGTCATGAAGAGCATCCTTTAAAGCTCCACAAGGACGACGTCATTCATGATGAGCGCATACGATGTGCAGCATGTGTCCATCCAGTTGGATTTGATTCGATCTACTGCTGTGAAAAGTGTCCTTTCATGCTCCATGAAAAGTGTGCTAATCTTCCTATGAAGAAAAGACTTGTTTTTGGCACCAGACCATACACACTGATGAAAGAAATTACCCGAAGTACAAACTGCAAGTTGTGTGGAATATTATCTGATGGTTTCACGTACAGCTCCCGTGACTGGTTGGATGTAGATGTACATTGTGGTTCCCTTAATGAGCCGCTCGTCCATGATGGCCATAAACATCCTTTATTTTTTGCTAAAAAAGAGGATAACTTTTGCGGTGGATGCCAAAAGCGTATAGATGATTATATGCTTCGTTGTGAACATTGTGACTTTGATTTGTGTTTGTATTGTGCTACTTTGCCAGAAAAGATTTGGCATAGGAACGATGGGCACCCTCTCACTTTATGCTGTGGCGAAAAGGAAAAGGCGAGCGGTAAATATTGGTGCGACATTTGTGAGAGGGAATTAGATCCAAGTATATGGTTCTATACATGTTCTGATTGTGGAGTCACCTTGCATGCTCAATGTGTACTAGGAGATTTCTTACGTCTGATTCCAGGAGCAATCATCGGCTTTGGGGAAGAACGAATTTTGTTTGAGGTGGTTCCTAACAATCACAACACTCGACCATTATGCAGCCAATGTCACTCTCGATGCAAGGTCTCCGTCATCCTAAAAAAACATAAAGAAGACAATGAGTATATCTGTTCCCGTTCATGTTTATCGAGTTATTTGGGTGAAGAAGTTTGAACTTGCGTTTAATGATGAGTGGTTTTGTCATATGGTTGTATTATTTCATTCACTGTTCTATCTTATATTTCTAAGAATTGCAATGTAATACAGAGTGATTTTTGTTTTCTAATAAAAGATGCTGGTTATTTATACACCACAATATGTAAACACACACACCTGCAAGAAGCTTGACAGTATCATCATCATTGTTATACGAGAGCATGATCACATATTAGTTATGGAACAGAGTCCATAAATATGTTGAATTGCCTAATCTTTGGTTCCTGTAGAAAATTGTATCAAAGACACTCAAAATTCAAAGCTGTAAAAATAAAAAAAATAGAAGAAAAACTATGAGAAATGGCTTCGCCCGGGTTCGAACCGGAGACCTTCAGTGTGTTAGACTGACGTGATAACCAACTACACCACGAAACCTTTGATGGTCCTTCGCTACCTAAATAATATATATAATAGATTTTGACATTGAACCTTTTCTTCTTGTGTCGGCTCATCTTTTCGACTTTTGTTGAACATTCTCTTCTTCTCTCGCCGTCTCTCTCTCTCTTGTTATTTCTCGCTCCTCCGCCGTCCAAAGAGAAACGTCGATCGGAGAAATCTCGAGATGTCGAATGGATTAGATATGTCTCTCGACGACATGATCGCCAAGAACCGTAAGTCTCGTGGTGGAGCCGGCCCCGCCCGTGGAACCGGACCGGGTCCAACTCGCCGCAACAACCCTAATCGGAAATCAACCCGATCTGCTCCATACCAATCAGCCAAGGTCCAAATCCGTTCTACATCTGTTCTCTCTTGTCTCTTCTTCTTCTTCTTCTTCTTCTCTCTAGTTTCGCCGGATCTTTCTTCTCAGATCTGCCGATTCATAATGGAAATAGACTCTGCGTTGACGTTTTCTTTAAAAAGCTTTTGGTGTTGATCAATCTCTCAATACGTGGAAAAAATCAAACAACGGATTCATTTGGTTGTATAGGCGCCGGAGTCCACCTGGGGTCACGACATGTTCTCCGATAGATCTGAAGATTTCCCTCCCCGTTCTTCCGCCGGAATCGAAACTGGAACCAAGCTCTACATATCCAATTTGGATTACGGTGTCATGAACGAAGACATCAAGGTACCAAAATTGTTACTATACCTTATTAGCAATATGCATAGTTAGTGTTTGTGGAATCTAACATCGTTTTACCAATGGATTCGATCTTGCGAAGTTGTTGTTAATATGAATATGTTTGTTAATATGTAGGAACTCTTTGCTGAAGTTGGAGAACTTAAACGCTACACAGTTCATTTCGATAGGAGTGGAAGATCAAAGGTAGTACTTGTGATGATAGTTTTGTTGCATCGTATGTCTATTTCCTCTTATTGAGTCTTGAAGACTAAGTATTGTAAACTACTTTATACCATTAGGGAACTGCTGAAGTAGTATACTCTCGGCGTGGCGATGCACTCGCAGCTGTGAAGAAGTACAATGATGTTCAGCTAGATGGAAAACCCATGAAGATAGAGATTGTGGGCACCAATCTTCAAACGGCTGCTGCCCCGCCTGGTAGACCTGCAAATGGAAACTCTAATGGTGCTCCATGGAGGTGAGATTAAGCACTGCTCGTTATTTAGTATTATATGTAAATGCTTCTTCCACCTTGTGAGGTGTATTGAAATTGTTTGTCTTGCTGGGTTAGCAGAGGAGGACAAGGGAGAGGTGGTCAACAACGAGGCGGTGGTCGTGGTGGTGGTCGAGGAGGCGGTGCCCGAGGTGGTGGCGGTCGTGGTAGACGTCCTGGTAAGGGCCCTGCAGAGAAGATATCAGCTGAAGATCTTGATGCGGATCTTGATAAGTACCATTCTGGAGATATGGAGACTAACTAAGGAATGTGACCGATATTCTCAAAACCGCTAGGGGGTTTAAAAGGAAGAGAATCGAGAAAATGTTTGCCAGAGGCTTTGCCACTTATCGCCTTTTTGGCTGTGTTGTTCATTTGTTTCATTAGAATGACTTTATAGAATTGAGAATATGTGTTAAACTTTAAAGTTGTTGTCTATCTTAATACCCTCGAGTAAAAGGCAGAGGAATGAATGGCAGTTTCGCCTACAGATCATATGCGGGCAAAAGAGTTTTCAGTAATCAGGTTTGGTTACTTCTAATTCAGATGAGTTCCTTGTATGATGTCTCTTATCTTATCCAAGTCATGCCTTCTGGTTTTAATCCATATGACATAGACAACTTTGTGTTTTCTTGCATCAAGATCCGCATCAAGCCATTGAGGCAAAATTTTGATTTAACAGTGTTTTCTTGCATCAAGCCATTGAGGCAAAAATGTTGAGTAGTTTTACTCCATGTGACATAGACAACTTTGTATGATATCATGGTCAATGGATGGTGAAAATTTTAAAGGGTTCTTACACATCCAATACAACTAAAACAGAAGGATGAAATTGTTTTTCTTCTACACAAGAAGGGCTTCTGGTCACAATACATCAACCTCTATAGCAAAATAACAATTTTACCAATGACAACAAAACAAGTCAAAAGCTTTTCCATGGGTTCTTTCAAAAAACGGAGTTTATCTTCTCTGTAGATAGTAATACAGGTGAAGGTAAGGTTCTCTGGTTTGCCTCTGTGACCAAAAGCACATTATATACACAAGGATTGGATTCCTGCTATAAGCTTCGTCAAAAGTAAAAGCTATTCAGCTCTGCCTTGGCTTTTCTCTCCGTGAAAAGATGAGCCTTACGATAGAATATAATACCGCCTTGATGCAAGAAACCACAAAGTTCCAGCATGAGGATGGCCAGTACCACGGATATAGCAGCCTGAAAAATAGACTAATGAGATGCCTTGGGTAACGCCCCACCTGCAAGATAAGAGTATCACAATGTTACAAGGCAAGCCCATCCATACTGAGATCTACGTGCAAAGGCTGAAGACATCGAACGAACGAATTTGAGACTGTTTTGCTGAGCTTCGGGAGCTTCTAGATTTTTATGTGGTTGCCTAAAACTCTTAGATGATGTCTTTAAAACCCATACACAGTTACACTGGATCTTGCAATCAAAACAATCAGTCTAAATCCGAGTTTTTAAAAAGGAAATACTCACAGGAAAGAGGGAATCCAAAGCATCCCAGGCTGCATGACGGACGGCTCTTGTCGGGTACATTGGACCTCCAGGAGAGGTAAAACTGTATAAACACGCCTTTAACCTTGTGCTAGTGGTCATTCTCAGTTCCATACCTGCAGATGAAATCAAACATATCTTTTAACTTCGATTCCATGTTAGATGCAGCATCTAGACAAGTTCCTAAAGGAGAGAAATGTACCTTGAAGAATCTTCATCTGAGAAAGATAATGTAGCAGTACTGGTTCCACCTTCAGTTTTTGCAGCTGCCAAAATAAAATAGGAAATATTAGAGGAGTGATGTGTGTGGTTTAATTTTGAGAGAAAATTTGTAGATGGTCATAAAGCTTTTGCTTCTATACCTGATCCGTTAGTTCAATAACAAGGAAATCTCCGGGTCCTCCAATCAAGAAAGCATTTGGAAACTCTGGGAAGTTCCTCAAGAAGCTATCGTGTTTATCCACTGGACAACAATTTGTCAGGTAAGGAAGAAACGCTTTGGTTCCAATGATAACTTTTTAGAAAAAAGTGTCTTACCTGAATTGTAAAAGAAAATGAACCTAGAGAGTAAGAGACACAGTTCCCTCTGTGCCTGAAATTAGGTATTGGAAAATCAATCTCCAGACTGAAATCAGTTGAACCATAATGAGAATAAAGAAAAACCCACTCACCTGAATGGGAATTTTTTTCAATCGCATCTGCTCCAAAGCAACTTCCTCAAGAAGATACTAGGAGAACAAAGAGATGTTAGTTACAGTGGCAAAATGGCATGACCATTTTAGCGCGTGACAGTGACAACCCGAATTGACAAGTACAAAACAATATCTTTTGCCTAGAAGATCTATAAGAGGCATTGAACAAGGTAACATCATAGAAAGAGGATGTGATGATCTCTTGAATGTGTGATTAACATGTTCAAACTGGAGAACCAGTAATTGAGCTTTTGTTGAGAACATAGTCTTGATTTATATATCACAGTTCCCTATATAAGTAAATTATCCAACAAACGAAAATGAAACTGAGATCTATCTGAGGAAAAGAAGATACCCGAAAGAGACTTTGGAAGCGCCTCGTATTTGTCTGGATGTCTATCCTGTAATTAATATGAGATGAAATTATCACCTGTTACCCTCATAATGCTTGGCAAGGCAATCTAAAGTAGCAAGTGACTTGGAAAGACTATTATACCACTTCTTAACAAAAAATAAAATCATTAGTTAAAATAAGCCAATGCAACTACTACAGATCCAAAAGCTCCCAATTGAGCCTAGTGAGGTACTGAGGTATACACACTGAACCAAGCGATTCAACATGAGTGAAGATGTTAATTTGCTATGCCAAGGTTCATAAACTTTACCAGAACACATTTGTTGCTCCTTGCACCAGAGCCGAAGAATACCGCAGGAGTATTTCTTGATTCTCAAGCTCAACCTCAAACAGCTGGGAAGAATATAGAAGAAACATGTTATGGACAAAAAACAATCCAAAGAGTAAACCTTTGGGATTGAAAATAACACTAAATCGAAATCGTAAAATGGCAATACCCATTTATGAAACAGTAGAGAGAATATATGTGATGCAAAGGACTGGCTCCAGAGCTGCACCATCAAATCAAGTATATCCTTTCCCCTCTCAGACACTTTCACATAATAATCAGCAAGGACATCGAAAAAGCATAATGGACCATCGGCATCTGCTTCAACAGAAGAAATCACATCCTCTTCTTTGCTAAGGATCACATCTGCTTCAAATTCCAGCTCAAAAAGTTATATTCCAGTGGTAAATTTTCTAAAAGCAAATTGATTCATGAATTCAACAAAATAAGGAGATCAAAAGGATTACCTTTGGCTCGTTCGTCGACTTCAAGAGCTATATCAGCAAATAAGTCTTGCAACAAGTTGCGTGTTTGTGCTGGAGAGACAACAGCCTAGACAAATGATCACAAGTCTGAAATCAATTTTATACTCTCAAATTCGAAAATGACCAAATCCAGATATCTAGGCGTGAAAAACCCGCAAACAGGTACATAGCATTTAAAGGAAAAAAAGAATTGCATGAACATTGATGATCAACATTATCAGATTGCATGAAAAATTGATCTTAAATCGGAAACCGAAGATTCAAAATGAAACAAAACACGAATTTCGAAATTCCGCAATCGCAACCATCAAATCAAAATTCGTGAAATTCTCTAAATGCATGTGTCTTGAATTAGAGAAATCGTGTTAGAGCACTGAAATCAAATCGTGTTTTCCGGCAAAAATCAAAACCGATCAACAACAACAATCGGAAAATCGAGATCTCTCTGTAAAATATTTAGAAGAAAAAAAAAAAGAGCAAACCCGAGTAAGCTTCTTCTTAATCTCCTGTGTAAGAGCTTCAAGATAAGCAGACCTCCGTGAAGAAGAAGAAGACGGCGATGAAACTTTCTCCATTCCAAAAACCCAGTGATCCAGAAAGAAACTACCACATGCGATCAACGCCTCGATCTATTGCTAGTATGAGAAATCGAGACTTCGAGAGAGAGAGATTGATAATGATTGCTTCTTCGTTAAGAATTATATATTCAATCAATCAATGAATGGGGTCTATGGATTTAAATTAGTCGTGATGAGGCGTGAAAATACAAAAGAAACCAGTTGTTGCTTTTTTCTTTTTTGCTACTGTGAACTCCGATAGAGACAGGAGAAGAAAGAGGATATTGTTTAGTGCATAGATTATTTAAAATGACGTCGTTTTACATTCAGGATTAGAAAGATGACGTGTCACTCGGATAAAGACACGTGTTCCTCTTCAGGCCCCTGTTTATTTTATTTTTTTTCCTCTAATTTTTTGTTTAGTTATTCGTATCTCTTACTAATAAAAGAAGCTCATTGAGACTTCTCAATGCGTCCACATCAGCTCTTCAATATTTTGTCTCATGTTGCCACATCAGCCTACTCTCTATACATAATCTTCTAACTTGCCACGTCATCTAACACTCGAAACTTCTCTCGGCAAATGCATAAATATTTACCCTACAAAATAGGGTTTCCACCTCCAAGTGATAACGTCTCAGTTAGTTCAACAGTCTTCGCTTCCTGTGACTTCCTCAATTCTCATAAACGACGCATCTCGCCATGGCTCATGTACATCATTGAAAATTTACATGGCCAACAATGGACACGCCATTTCTGATGCAAGTGTCGGTAAATTGTATGGAGTATAGAAAATGAAAAGCCTTTGATAACAAATCATGAAAGTATCCTCCCTCACAACAAATCTCTCGACGCCATCAAATAAGGTTTTAATACATCTGATTCTCCAACATTTGACTGATCGATTGTTACATGCTCAAGTCTGGTGCACTTTTATGTCTTAGGGTTCTCTCTGTTCGTTTCTTGGTTTTGATGGAGCTAGGTATATGTTCTATCATTTCTCTTATAGGTTCAATGAGCGGTTGCTACCTAGAAGCTGGAGTTCTGGTCCAAAAGAATCATACAACATTGTTCAAGGTAAGTTTTGGAATCATTCATACGTTTTTAGTGTTCTCAGTTCTCCAAATAGGTCAGTTGTAAGCATTTGCAGTCTAATATTTTGTATTCCGGTGGGGATGTGGGTCTAATGCTAAGATCATTGGTAATAGGTTCGTGGATTCACTGGATTCAATTGAGAATTTGCGTTTTCTTTTATTATATTAAGGTAAAGCATTTACCTAAATATTTTTGGAAATCGAAAGAGCCCAAGAGCTGGAATCAAAGGGTGTTGGTGAGACCATCTGCTTAAGCGGTACGTAAATATGAATATTCACATAGTGTATTGATGTTCATGCCTCTATGAGTTTCTGGAATATGTATTTTTCTGAAGTTCGATTAAAAATGTCGAAATTGATTTGTTAGTCAAGAATGCGAAAGTTCAAAGTGAATGGTTGTTGTTGGCCCTAATATAAAACCGTAGCAAAAAATGCAGATTAAAACTCCTTACAAAAGGATCAGTTGTTGTATTGGCTGAGTCTCTTGATGAGTAAATGCTTTAGCAAACCAATTATATTGCGAAGAAATCACGTTTTACATGGGTCTCTCTGTTCACCCTATGTGATGTTCTTCGACTCTTTGAAAGAATAGAGACGAGAGTAATGGCATCAACCAATCTTACGGGAAAGGAACTTCTTCCGCTTAGATCTTAACAATCGAGGATTTGATTCTAAATAAGAGGTTTCACTTTTACCGACTACGATATTTTTGCAACTACTATGTTTTTGCAGATAATCGAAAACAAAAGTACGTTCATACAATATATATGTGATTTGATGGTCAGTTAAGCTTTAAAATCTTATTTCAAGATAGTCCTGAAAAACTCCAACATGTCCCGTGGGGTGAATACGTAAAACTACCTCTATAATATATGGTGAAATGTGAATGCTACCTCTATCTCTTCAGATACAATGCACATTGTAAGTGTTCTTTACTAATAACTTTAAAATTCTAAGAAATTGTTCTTAGTAAGGAATGCGTATTATGCATTTAATTACTAAATTAGTGGAAAGAAAACTCCCTACAAGATTAAGCTTTGCTCCCACTTGCATCATGAAAACGTTTGTTAGGTTTCATCACTGCTCTCTTCTCTAAGTAGGTTCGTGTTTTCCTGCGAGTTTCCAAACCTTATTTTCACCACAGTTTAGAACTAATATTGATTTCTTATGTTCCATAGATTATTCAAGTCGGAGAAATGGTACCGCTTCACTAAAGAATTACATTGACAAAGCTTATAAGTCGATGTGAAATTGGCTGCCATCAAAATTGCACACAAAAGCGGGGAAGATTACTTATGTTGTCAATGTAGTGTTATAGCTTTGTAAATGCATTTCTGAATTAAATTGTCAAATGTTTGATTCACCCGGGCGTAGCCCGGTTTTTTCCCTAGTTTTTCTAAAAGAATCAACGTCATAGTTTCGGAATGAGATTTGATTTAATGTCGTTTTGTATCTTTTCAATTCTTGTTATGCAATACGACAATTTATTCATATCCTATTTTTTTTGAATCTATATCTAATTTCAGAAATTGGAAAATTTGATTCATCAAAGCTAAAGCTACCCATAACCATAAGATATCATTATCTCCCTAAAAAAAAAAAAAAAAAAAAAAAAATATCATTATCTCCTTTTTCTAATGGATCAAGACCTCATTATCCAGTCGTGGCAAAATGAAAATTGTAAAAAACCAAAACCAAAATGGAGGGAAAGTAAAATTTACGCGCAATGAGTAAAGTTGGTAAAGGCTTCTTTTACACGACACTTTAACCTAACGTCTTGTCGTCGTGTTACGTACATGTTATTCATGGGCTCGGAGATATTTTATTGGGCTGAGATTTTGGGAATTTTAGTACAGATCACTTTATCGTTCTAACACAATAATAACGAAACGAAAAAGCCCAAGCCATGTTATCAATAGTCGAGAGACAGAAGAACTGGATTGACGGCTCAAGAGATTTAAATGTCTGACCAATCGTCAGATTCACAATTCAAAAGCAAGGTAATAATCAAAGTCGAATAATACGAGTAATCAAGCGAATTTTCACCAAATTGTGATTCCATTGTTGAGAATTTTGCAAATGAAAACATATTACAAAAGCCAAATAGCAAAAAAAGGAAACCAAATCTTGCTACATTTACTAAAATACCCACATTGAGTTCATGAAACCTAATTTTCAGAAACAGATCTACAAACACACAAAAAAAAAACCCCCGATTAACCGCCGAATCCGTAAAGAGTCCTTCCTTGCCTCTTGAGAGCGTACACAACATCCATGGCGGTCACAGTCTTCCTCCTAGCGTGCTCGGTGTAAGTAACTGCGTCACGAATAACATTCTCGAGAAAGATCTTGAGGACGCCACGAGTCTCTTCATAGATCAGACCACTGATACGCTTGACTCCACCTCTACGAGCCAACCTTCGAATCGCAGGCTTGGTGATTCCTTGGATGTTGTCTCTCAGAACCTTCCTGTGACGCTTCGCTCCTCCTTTACCCAAACCTTTTCCTCCCTTTCCACGACCCGACATTTTCTCGAGAAAATTAGAATTTTATTTTCGCTACTGTGTAAAGAAGAATTGCTTTTGATTTTGTGAGAATGATTGGACCGTGTTTGTTTATATATAAGAGGGGTTTTGTTTCCAACCATCCGATTTAAACTTTCATCTAACGGCTGCTAGTCTCAATCCTTGTCAATATTGAGATGACGTGATAGCCGTCGATTATATTTAATCAACGGTTATTAATAGCGATCCGCGTGATATCTAAATGTTTCTTTCTTCAGCTTCGCTTTGGAATTCTCGTGGGCCGGCGGCTACGGATCGAAAACCCAACTTCTGATATTTTTCCAATTTCTGACATTCAGTTTTCCTCAATACGCTGTCGTTTCAATAACTGCCTCATACGTCGTCGTTTATAAACTAAATTTTTTTCTTTTTCTTTTTCTTCTCCCAAGTATCGAAAAACCCATTGCTTAAGTTAATGCCTTAATGCTTAAACCCTAATCGGAAAATCTCTCCGCCACTATCTCTCCGACTCACTAATGGGATTCTTCGATCTAAGCATTCCGTACAATGAGCCGCCGCGATCAGGCGGTAAGGAAATCGCCGGCGGGAAAACCTTACGATTAAAGCTCGCCACGAAAGCCATGGAACTGGGCTATGTTGGGATCGCGCATAATCGTTCGATCAAAGGCGTAATGTCTGACAAAGACTCTTGTACGATTCCTCTTCTCACTCTTGGATCTCTTATCAAAGTCGCTCCGCGGTTAGCTTCCTCTGTTGGATTCCATCGCGATTTACTCGGTATCCCCCGAGCTACTCCGTTTCGGCAGTACACGCGTCTCACGGTTCATGTGGAGAGTAATGCTCAATGTCAGAGTTTGAATTCTGGGAATCCGATTCTAAAGAGCTATGATATTATTGCTGTTAGGCCGATGAATCAGAACGCTTTCGATTATGCTTGTGAGAAAGCTGAGGTTTGAATCTCTCTCTCCCCAATAGAGTTTTTTTTTTTGTTTTTCTGGTAAAAATTCAATCTTTAGCTTGTTTGTTTTCCTAGGTTGATCTTATTTCGATTGATTTCACGGACAAGATGTTATTCCGATTGAAGCATCCCATGGTTAAAGCTGCTATTCAGGTTTGTGATTCTCTCAATCTAAGATTAGACATTGTTTCACTGTTAGAAGAATCTGTGTTTGTCTTATTCTTTTTATTTGCTTCACCTTGATGAATTTTCTTATGTGCAGCGAGGGATTTACTTTGAGATTAAGTACTCTGATCTCCTTATGGATGCACAAACGAGGAGACAAGTTATATCAAATGCTAAGGTGAGAAACTTTTGTTGCTCTTTCTGTGGAAAAGTTTACTGTCAATTAGTTGATTATGTGAAAGTTTTATGCGAACTTGCTTATACTGTCTTGTGATATGGTTTATCTAGTTACTGGTGGATTGGACTAGGGGGAAGAATCTAATTATATCAAGTGGTGCTCCTTCAGTAACAGAACTTAGAGGTCCAAACGATATCATAAATCTAATGTGCTTACTCGGACTCTCTTCTGAAAGAGCTAGAGCTGCCATTTCAAAAAATTGTAGGTATGTATCAAATTTGTATAGCATTCATGTTATTTGATGCAGCTAAGCGTAAATTTACCTCATTGAGGATGGATTTTGTATTTGCTTTCAGGAATATGATAGCCAAGGTTTTAAAGAAAAAACGGTTTCACAAAGAAGCTGTCAGGGTTGAATTACTTTCTTCTGGTGATACCTTTAGCCTCGAACAGCCTCTGTCTGAAGATTGCATGAAATGGGATCCCCTCTCAAGCGGTGAAGGTGACATGCTTTTAGATGATCTTGCAAAGGCTTTTGATGCCACAAATGCTGTGGCGCACAAATCATCTAAGGCCATTGATTTCACCTCTGTTCTTGATGGCTTGCCAACACATGGTTTCCGGGTTAAGGATATTGTAGGAACTGAACCATTGACTCAGTCTCCTGCAGCTAAGGTGATTGACACACCGGTGCACAGTAATCAAGTTTCTGAACTACGTATGGCTGTGGCAGCTTCATCTGATGATAATCTTGGGGAAATTGAAACCATAAGCCAAATTGACATGCAAATATCTGAAGATGAAAGTAAGGTGGAACCTACTACAAATCTCCTCAAGGAAGAAGCATTTGCCCTAAGGAAATGCAGTGCCAGCCATGGCCAGGGGATTTTGTTGCAAAATCAAATAGCTGCTTCCTTTACACTGATAAGATGTACAAAGTCAGATGCAGCTTCTGATGTTAGCATGCATATTGAGTCGACTTCCGAAGGTGGATCAATGTCACCATCAAAAATCGATCATGGGATCCCACAAAGTCCTGTTGAAGTGATAAACATGGGAAAAATTGCTTTTAATGAAGAAGCCTCAGTGGACGAGAACAGCAAAGAAAGAGTTACTACCGGTCCTGCTAGTTTTGATGAGATGCATATCACTGAGCCTGGACACCACACATCCATCGATGATGAGCAGCATATCGCTGAGCCTGAACACAACACATCCATTGCTGATGAGATGAAAATTGATTGTTCTTCGGAAGCAAATCACGACGAGTACATGGAGGTGACAGTGGAAGACCGGAAGCATGAAACAGGTGACAGTAATATTAATCTTCCTAACTTATCCTCTGAGACTACCGATTTGCTAAGTAAATCAGGTAAACCTCTCAGTCCAGAGGCGGTTGTACAAGACCATGACGAAGCATCAAGATTAGAGTCCAATGAGACAAAGATCGAGGAAGAGCCATCAGTTCCATACCACAACACCATTGAGATAACAATGGAAGACAAAAAGGTCGAAGAGTTAACAATTGAAGACGAGAAGGAAGGAAAGACTGAAACCGAAACTAATCACCAAGGCCAAGTCCAATCCTCTGAGAATAACAATGACACGAAATCAGGTACGAGATCTAAACTTCCTCATTTGCAAATCTAACCTAACACAAGATTTCAGTCTTATATTATCTCAATCCATAATGTAGGTAAGACACAAGCTAAGAGGAGTAGAGTTCGATTACAGCCTTTTAAGCCTTTTCTACTTCAATCAAGGTTCAAACGGATCAGTAAAAAAAGAAAACATCGAAGAGCTTGATCATTCTTATAACCCTATATAGGTTTTGTGCATTAATTTATACCCACGCAAGTCTCGTGGTTTTGTTGTCACCGATTATAAAAGTTGGGGAAAGAAAGAATCTAATTTATTCTCTAAGGTTGATTCTTTGTGTACTCGTGTTCAAGAAAAAGGCTTTTAGTTAAAATAATAAAAAGAAAGAAAAAAGCTACAAAATATTAAGAGTGGAGAGTCGGAAAATCTATCGCCGGCCGACAAAAGTCGGGTACAATGTCGCCGGAGGGCCTACATCTCTCCTCCATAGCGTTTGCTAAAGAAGAAAGACTGCTGCTCTCTTTCCTTTTTCAAAACTACTTTATTTATATCTAATTTAGAAGCATTATTCTTCACATTATTACTAATTAATTACCTAATTGTGAAAAAATAGTATTTTTGTTATTACAAATGATGCCTAACATTCAAATTTTTAATCTCATCGCTCTGTTAAAAAAATTGGATTGTCACTTTTCAAAAAATGATATCGTGGGAATATTTATTATTAGAATATTTTTTTGATAAAATATATATACTTTTTGTTACTATTCAGAAATATTAAAGTCTAACACTAATATACAAATCAACTAAACATTTTTTCTTGCAAAATATCAAAAGTATTTGAGAGATTTTTACAAAACCTATTTTTAAAATGTTATTTTTCTATAGCTTCTTTTTTTTTTTGCAAAAAGATATTTGTCTAGTGTGTTTTCCCTCTACATTTTTTTCTTTCTTTTTTACTGATTTATGAAAATGAATGTATGGGTTGATTACTTTAATTTAGTTTATTTGAGTGGAAGCTTCTTTGATATCTTAAGAATTCTTAAGGTATAAAATATGTTTGCTTTTGGAGATTGCTAGTACTTAGTAGCACGATGTGTAATCAACGTGAGAGTATAATGAAATCATCAAAGTAACATGGCCATGTTCATTATATGTTTTTCAATGCTAAAAGTTCTCATCTTTGTACTTTCTAGATAGTTTTGTAAGTCAAGTTGGTAAAAGAAAATTCAGACCATTAAGGAACATACTAAACTATACATTAACTGTTTAAGGGTCCATGTAAGTAATAATGATATGCAAAGAAGAATTTGTTTTAGTTGGAGTTCGATTATTATTTTTAATTGTTTTATGTTAGTCGTCTACAACTCACATACGGATTACCAAATTTAAATTACGAATTAATATAATACGGCAACACCGTTATATCTCAAATAGACTTTGTTCACAATAGGTGAATATCGTTTTGTTTTGTTTTGTTTTGCCTTTTAACCTATCTTAAACCCCATTTATCTCAATTAGCTAGAGAACTTAGTGCCATGCTAACACGATTGACAAAGTGGCATATACCACTCATGCAAAATTGTATGGCCAGTGAAGATCGATTCTTTTGTAAATATCTCCGATCAAAATTACAAAATATGTTATTCTTATATACAAAGAAAACACAAAACCTACATGAGTTCAGCAACATGGGGTAATCTTTTAAACCAAAACAAACTTAAGTGCCATATAAACATATATATAAGAAAAACAAACATAAGAGAGATTAAACTAGTTAAGGAAGTGATTAGCAGAGAAAGAATCAAGAAAAGATGCCCACGTGTCGACATCACCAACCACGGCTTCGATAACATCAACTTGTTCTTGTTGTGATATCTCATCATTTCTTGCAAATCTCCCTCTTATTCTTGGCCTACTGTCTGCTAATGTCTTCCTGCATTCATACTAATAGCAAAAATATTTATTAGTAAACATGTCCCAAAATTAATGTGAAAATTAGATCATTTACAAGTTAAAACCTGTCGGTCAAAAAATTATAACTCGAGCAGAAAACATCTAATTGAGACACGGTTTGAATATGTTAGTATACCATATGATGTGTACTCCAATCTTTAATTAGGAATGAAACCATTTTTTCTTAATATATTTTTGGACCTTCTTGTAAAAAAACAAACTAATGGAGAAATAAACTTGTAGCAACCTTGGAGCTTGATGTGTCTATCTCAAAAGATTCCTTAAGACCCAAATATGATGTGACAGAACATTAATTCTCATTCACATACTCAAATATATCAAAATGAAAATCTTATTTATGTTTGAAGATAAGATTAAAAAGAAAAATTCAATATTACTTTTTTGTGATAAGAGTGATTGATATGATACATTGAGCCTGTTTTTTTTTCTTTTCTTCTTTGGTCAACGAACCATTTAGTTTTGTTTCTAACCAAAAAAATAAAACATTTAGTTTTGTATTAAATGTGAATTTTTGTCTAAATAATTATTTTGGAAAAAAGTTAACTAATCCATTTGATGTTAAGGAAATAGATTTATGCAGATCGCCAAAATCTTGTGTATGAAATTATACAGAATTCGTTATTAGTTGACTAATAGGAAATTATATGCTTGATTAGAACATGGAAGGGTTAGCATCAATAAATGTGCAGGTGCATGTCACTGTTTCATACAACTACTGTACATGTCAAGTCTTAAAAAGTTTCCATGCGACACATATATATGTACACATGTTGAATACATAATATAGGTTAGGTGTACATGTACTCTATGTGTTGAAGAACAATATGAATTAAAAAGATAAATTCTTATATGTTAAAATAAGAATTTATATCAGCTAACACATAGTTTGGAGCAAAACATAGAAACAAATGTAAAACATTTCTAAAATTACCTTAATCCTCTTGTTGAAATTCCTAAGGTTTCGTTTGCTACGATATTTCTCGATCTTTTCTTTCTTCTCCTCAGGACTATACTTGTAGGCTTTGCTCATTCCTTCTATTATTGCATTGCTCTCACTCCACACTGTACTGCTCTCTCTTCTACTACTCCTCTACACACATACCAAAACAGTGTCGTTTTATGTTATAATAAGGATGTTATGTTTTCAAATTATTAAAACCCCATCTTTTAATTTCGAACGCAAATACTAATAGTTTCGTTAGTGTTTGGTGTTTGCATTTACACTCTTCCAAAACCAAAAAAAAAACCAATAATATGATATTTTGTTCGATAAAATGTGATAGTTTTCATATGTAAACGCAAACATAAAAGTTAAACGTTTGAATCTCGAAACTGCAAGTGTGTGTATATAATATTACTTACGGGTAGATCTCCGGCGCTAAGGGCCCGTCTCGCTGGCCCATCATCATCGTTAACGAAATCGTGGGCCGTTGCATAATTACCGGAAAAGCCACTATGGCTACTAACACTCCTCTGCATAACAAGACTCTCTCCGCCACTCCCCATAGAGCTTGGCGAGTCGCAGCTGCTGCTTCCGCCCCCACCGTTCATGCCGGAATCAAAGTAACCGAACCCTGAAACCGCCTCTGCCGCGTATAGAGAGTTGTGGCTCATCATAAGAAGCGGCAAAGGCGGAGGCGGGAACTGATGATGATGATGATGATCATCATCATGCAGTTGAGGAGGAGCCACTATGTCGTCGGAGTATAGGAAACATGGACAATTGTAGCCGGAGGTTATGGAAGTGCTGACGTGTCCACACATGGTTGGTTTTAGTTTCTTGTGGTGTTTATGTGTCTTTTGTGTGTTGTTTGTGTGTGTCTGTGAGTGAGTGAAACTCGAAGTGGGTTTGGTTTCTATTTAAACAGAGGAAGGACTGATGCTGACGTCATTAGTCGTCATCGTTAGTCAACTGACTTAACCGTTGACTTCTTTTGACTGACAAAGGAAAGAAAAAAGGAATCTTTAGTTATGAAAGAGTTGCCTTTCGTTTTCATGTCGCTTCTATCTCACTCACACCCGTTAATATTTGATTTATTTCGTTTAAATTTCTCCAAACGACATATATCATACGAAATTGAATCCCACATGTCTTATATGAAGTTTAATTTAATTTGGATAGTTGAACAAAAATGATAATTACTCTTTCATTTAGCATGCCTTCAATTAAATGTTTTCAACAACAACAAAAAACTACTATTGAAAAACGAAAATCAAATCTTCTTATATATATATTGGTTACTGATTAGTATGCTGTCAATATTATAAATGCAGAGAAAGAAAGCTAGTAAGAATATAATTATTAATTAAGAAAATTGTTATTCTATTGAATTTTATAATTAGTAGACTTTTTTTTGTTTATCTCTTTGACACATTTATGTTTCAAATTAAATGTCGTTATAACATTTTTTAATGTGTTGAGAATTTCAAAACGATATTTTTATAAATTGGAAGGACTAATCATTCTTGAAACAGTTTACTGATATTTTCGTAAGTAATTGTGTTTTAACTCTAAGTCCATTAACGAAAAAAAACACACACAAATGTGTTATAAAATAGTAGATAGATAGCATCTCGTGCAACATTCATAACAGCAAAAGAACAATGTACAGAAAAAAATAAAATAAAAGAAAGACACGACTTAGCTTTTTTAGCTTGAATTGTAGGAGAGACAAAAAGATGGTTAAAAGCATTATTTCACGCAAACCCATGTGAGCAGCAATACAAATCTACTTTATTGCCTAATTAATCATTTACTTAATCAACACTGATTAACTAAGCTCAAATACTTGATGTGCTTTGGTTATGTTCACATTAAACGGGTGTTAGTTCCGGTCCGGATGATAAACAACAGTAAACACGATAGTTGCTCTGTATTTTAATTGTATATCTGTTTCTATCCATGATTAATAGGTTAATTAGCCAGATTCTTTTGTTTGGAATCAAATCGATTTAGGTATCATATCGAAAGAAATATCTCAGATGAGTTATACCTAGCTACCCCTAAGGTAAATTATAAAAATATTAGATATTTTGTTACTTTACGATTAATTACATTCCAAGAACGACATTCGAATAGTAGGATTACTGCATATATACCAATACCAATATATTGTAGGAACACGTTTTAGTCAGTCACTAAATCGGCCTACTCATCATCATTATCATCATCATCTCTCATTTAAGATCAAAACAACTTCTAATTTTCCTGTTAAAGCCACACTTTATCCATAATTGGGATACATAATCGCCCCACTCCCCGTCTTTATTTAGTATAAACATTAACGCACATATTAGATATTAGTAGATGATTATGTTTATTCTTCTATTTCTATATATATCCAAAATATTTCATTTGGATGATGGTAACCAACCGAACCAAATATGAAAAAT